AAAAGCACGCCGACAGCACTTCAAACGAAAGTGAAAGTATTCACGCCGACGGAGAAACTTTCATCGCCGAAGCCAAACCCGACATTGACCAGGGGTGTCAGCGCAGTCTTTTAGAGGTAACTGCCACAAAAACCATGGGGCTATCTTTGCTTAAGCCTCATCTTTTTTGTTGGCACCTGCATATTGCCCACGAAGACGTTCCAGCCCTTTACGATAGGCTTCACCATCACCGTGCTCAAAGAAAAGAGGATAATTGCGATGCGCGTCTGTTAATCGCCGTGCGTGCTTGATTGGACACCAGTATTGCTCGGTCCGAGCTGACACTTCTCGAGCATAGGCGGACACACCATTACCGTATGAGCAGTAAAAACAGTTGAATTTTTCGATTAAGTTGAGGTAGGGGAGATCAGCACGGTCGAAGACCATATACTCAGATCGTGACACTTTTGGGATGCCGTATATGGGAAAGCAGATGGCTTGAAACAAACTCACGAACGTATCCAGCGCGGCAAATGCAACCCAGCCGGAGTAAACCAATGGCGCTGTTAACACAACAGTTATACGGCTGTTCCTCAGATACCGCCAGACTCCGATTCTATGGCGTTGCTGAATCTCTACAAACCGATGCGCCAGTTCTTGTCGTTGCTGCACAAATTCCGCGCGCAGACGTTCATATTCCTGTTCGAGTTGCTCCTGATATTCGGAAATGCGTGTCTGTATCTCTTCTATCTTTGTGGTCATCACTCATTCCCTTTGCGTCTGCGTTGATTTCAATTTTCGTGTTTGCGCGCAGAAGACCCGTAACCCTTACAGCACACTATGCTGAGCTCAATGTTGGTTGCTAATTTGGCTGAAGATTGACCGAGGCGAGCAAGCTGCTGGCCAGCATGACACGATTGATATCGAGGTGCGATTGCCAGGTTGCCTGTTGCTGATTTGTTTCGTCCAGCCAGAACGACTCGATGTAGCTTGCTAATGGATCAAACCCAGCAGCGAGATCTGCGTCCGGGATTAAGCTGCTAGAAGCATCTATCTGTCGCAGACCGATCGTTAAGCCCAGTTCGCGAAAGGCCAGGCGTTGAGAGGCTGGTAAGCCAAGTGTTGGTGATGCCATGAAATGTTGCAGGCTTTTCAAGATGTCACCGCTTAAATCCTTCAATAACCCTGCAGTTGCAGATGGGATATCTAGCTGAACTAAGCGCTGTGCGTCTGACAGCAACCCTCCGATGCCTAACGGATCATTTGTTACCCAGTTCTGATCAAGGCAAAAAGGCCTGAGTGCTTCGATAATCTTTTGCAGTTGATTGTCCGGATGGGTTTGGTGCAGAACGAGCGCTGTCACAAAACCGTCCAGCGGATCATGGTGGCCCGCAGCAGAAACTAATGGGCGGCTTAGATCGATACTCATTTTCCACATCAGGTGATGTGGCGTTGATTTTGACATAAAGCCATTAAATGCGGCTTCAGCCAGTTCTCCGGCCCAGCGACCATAGTCGACGACGCCGGTAGCATACTCTGTATCATGAAGTGCCTGCATCCACCTGGTTAGATAGTGGTAATACTGCCCATCTCGGTCCCATTCGGTTTGCGCATCATACACTTCGTCTGGTTTGCGTTCTGGCAGCGGTTTGCCGATACGCAAGCCCGCGACGGTGGGATGCTTGGAGGCGCTGGCATCATCCAGACCACTGAGCCAGCCCTGACGAACATCATCTCTGCGATGTTTGCCTAACACTTCGTGCACCTGGCTGACAAGCCCCGTAGCATACTGCAGCATGCGGGGTTGCGAGGAAATAGTATTGAGCGCGAGAAAATTTTCTACCGCGTATGCATCTGTCCAGAGATAGCGTCTGGGTTCTGCATCACCATCAAGACCAGTTTCCCGAGCAAATGCCATCATGATCTCAAGGGCTGTATTAATCTTTTGCTTGTTATCCATGTACGTACATTGGGGTCGGTTGTTTGCTCCTCCAATTGGGGGTGTTACGTATACACAGGGCTGCTCAGGACGCCTAACGTTAGAGCCTGTCACTGGTCGAGGGCTGCAAACAAGATGGGCGACGAGAAAACCACATTTGAGCAGGCGCGATGGCGCATGGTGCGTGAACATATTCACGCCCGCGGGGTCCGTGATCCGCGTGTATTAGAGGCCATGTCCAAGGTGCCGCGGGAAGAGTTTGTGCCCCTCAAACTGCGCGACAGCGCCTATGAGGATGCGCCGCTACCCATAGGTCAAGGCCAGACTATCTCGCAACCTTATATAGTGGCATTCATGGTTGAAGCGCTTGCGCTGCAGCCAGGCGCGCGGGTGCTCGAAGTTGGTGCTGGTTGTGGCTATGCCGCGGCGGTGATGGCGCAGATGTCCGCTGAGGTCTTTACCATAGAACGACTGGAGCCCTTGGCTGAGCTGGCCGCCAATAATCTCCACAAGGCGGGTTACTACCGCGTACAGGTCCGGTTTGCGGATGGTACCCAGGGTTGGGAAGAAGTAGGCCCCTTTGATGCGATTTTAGTTTCTGCGGGCGGACCCAGTATTCCAGAATCGTTAAAGCGTCAGCTGAAAGTGGGTGGCAGGCTGGTGATTCCCGTTGGCACCGATGCTACTGCACAGGAACTGGTGCGTGTGACTCGAACGTCAGCCGAGGAGTTTGATCGTGAAGACCTTGCGGATGTTCGATTTGTACCTCTAATCGGGGCTGAAGGTTGGGAAACCAGTGAGGGTGAAACACCTGCGGCAAGGGTCATACAGACGCAACCGCGGATCAGCGCTTCACTGCCCAAAGCTATTGTTAGTGAGTCGCAGTTATTTGACGATCTGGAATCGGCGAACCTGTCTGAGTTAATGGAAGATGTAGGTGATGCCCGTATTGTACTGATCGGCGAAGCCAGTCATGGGACGTCAGAGTTTTACCGTTTCAGAGCCCGGCTTACCCAGCGTCTGATCGAAGAAAAAGGCTTCACGATTGTTGCTGCTGAAGCAGACTGGCCGGACGCTGCGCGTATTGATCATTATGTGCGTCACCGGGATGCCTCGCCGCAGCAATGGCAGGCATTTGCCAGATTTCCTACCTGGATGTGGCGTAACGTAGAAACCCAGGGTTTTGTTGATTGGCTGCATGCTCGCAACGCCAAGCTTCCATATAGCTCACGTGCGGGATTCTACGGCCTGGATCTTTACAGTATGTATACGTCCGTGCAGGCCGTGCTGCAGTACCTGGATGATCGGGACCCGGAGCTGGCTGCCGTTGCCCGAGTGCGTTACGGGTGTTTGAGCCCCTGGGAGGCCGATCCTGCGGCCTATGGCCATGCGGCGGTGACAGGTCGTTATCGCAACTGCGAAAAAGATGTGACCGAAGTACTGGTTGATTTGATGAAAGCCCGGGCGAGGTGGCATGAAGAAGTTTTAAGCCATGATATCCAGGCGCTTGAGGTAGACGCGCAGAAAGCGGAGCGTGTCATGGATGCTGTGCAGAATGCCCAGGTTGTGACCAACGCGGAATCATATTATCGGACGATGTACTACGGCTCACGTGCGTCATGGAACCTACGCGACAGCCACATGTTTGAAACACTCAAACAGATACTGGCGTTCCGTGGCGAAGACGCTAAAGCGATTGTTTGGGCGCACAATTCACATATAGGTGATGCCAGCGCTACGGAAATGAGTTTGCGTGGTGAGCACAACATTGGGCAGTTATGTGCGCAAAGCTTTCCGAAGGTTTCCTACCGAATCGGATTCGGCACCGATCACGGTACCGTAGCTGCAGCGACAAATTGGGACTCACCCATGGAAGTCAAGCAGGTGGTGCCTGCACATCGGCAGAGCCATGAGTTTCAGTTCCATCAAACCTCAGCACCAGGCCTGATCCTACCGCTAAGAAGCGCTTCAGAGTCTTTACGACAGGAGCTGAGTAAACGCCGCCTGGAAAGGGCGATTGGCGTTATTTATCGTCCCGAAACTGAATTAGCCAGTCATTATTTTGAAGCTGATCTTGCCCGCCAGTTTGATGCCTATATCTGGTTAGATGAAACGAGCGCCGTCACGCCGATTGCAACCCGAATGCTTGAAGGGCTACCGGACACTTATCCGTTTGGGGTCTGATATTTTATCTAAGGCGCGCTTGTGTCTGGCATTCCGATGCTTCCCTACTGAGGAAAATCCGTCCCCAACCAGGCATTCTTTATAGCCGTGCACGGCGTGCATAGTGCGGCCATCAATAGTACGGATGATGTCAGTCTTACCAGCATCGCTGGCGCCATGGCAACTGGCGGAATAGATAGCGCCATTCGAAATTCATTTTCATAGCTCACTCAACGCCTCGTTCACGCTGCAATGAATTTCAAGTGGGCTGAGATAAGACAGGTCTTTGGTCAGCTCTAAAGCGACTTTTGCGCGGGCGTTATCAGCAAGCTCGCTGCGGAGAAGACCAAGAAAAGTCGGGGGCGCAACCAACACCAGAAATTGATACTGTCGCAAATCTGCATTTAGTTTTGCGGCAACCTGCTTTGCAAAATTCTTAGTTGCACTGTCCTTTGCGTTTGTTTTTGGTTGCATGGAATGGCGTCCTGAGCCGGATCGATCATGACTGCGCCCCGGTCGGTCAGTAACCAGATCTGCGTTTGCTCTTCGAGCCAAAGTATTCACAAGGGATTCAATTTCGATCAGTTGTGCTGATTTATTTAAATGAAGTAACCGACATCGCCCAGCGTCGGAAACAACAACCATTGTTGAAGGGTTAATTTTTCGCATGCCGCTACTATAAAATGTTAGATACAGCAGCGGATACTAGGGGTTTCCACAGAATCCAAAGTCTTGCAGCGGTAAATACCAATAGGAACTGTGGGCTCTCGAATTTTTTCTTAAGCTGGGTTTTTTGGATTGATGAGATTATGAACGCCGAAAGTCTTAATTGTTGGAACGGCTGGATTTAGCATTGCTTAAGGGGGCCTGTCTAAACTGTGTGCGTCGCAATTGCCTGTAACTGCAGCGTCTTGAGTTTTTACGCCAGCTTTAAAAGAGAACAGGATACTGTCGACAGTAAATTGACCAACAGCGTTTGCCAGTCAATAGAGGTGATTGGCGGCAGGATAAGCAGTCTCGCATCCAGACGCTGGCTTGTGCTGAGCAGAGACTCAGGGCTGAGGTCGGGAATACGCACAACATCGTCGAACAGATGAGCGATTGAATCGGGCAATCCGTTGGGTGTGGCTGCAATAAGCTTCAGCCCTTCTCGTGTGGCAATAGTTTTGGCCGTATGTGCCGCCTGGTCCGGGTTGCTGCAGGCGTGTTCCATGACAAGCACGATACTGGACCCAGAGCGCCAGGGTTCGTTCACAAACAGCACATTCTGCTTGCTCGCAGCGATAGTCTGGTAGTGGTGACCGGTGCGCACGCGAATACCTGAACGCAGTGGACGCCCGACAATGATTAACTCCCTCTTTGCAGCGGCCTGCTCCAGCGCTTCAGTGGTTCTACCTTGGGTAATCTGAAAAGAGCAGTTGAGATTTAAACGGCGCGCGGAAGCTTCCAGCAGGTGGCGCTTTCTTGCGGCTTCCTTTTTGAAAGCGTGAGCTAAGCTTTCAGCTGTGAATTCAGTCACCTCGTGATTCACAATGGCTACCTCTACATTGCCCGGCAACTTAGCGGCACCCAATAAGTCTAGATCCTCTATAAACAACCCATGCACCTGGGCAGGCGCGGATTGGGTAAGAGCCAAGGCGATGTTCAGCGCCTCAGTATCTGTAGTGCCATAATCCAGAAGAAATAGAACGTTAGCTTGTGGCTTTTGTGTCATCGACGTCTGCCTTTTTTTGATCGGGGTGTGCAATTCGATCAAACTCTTTAAGTTGAGTAATTACAGCCTCATCTATGTCTGCCAGCGGTATGGGCTGATCGTCTTTTGTCAGCATAATCTGTAGCGCTTCATCCACGTTGTTGATGGTGTAGATATGAAATTTACCCTGATCTACCGCATCAATGACTTCCGCCTCCAGCATAAGGTGATGTTTATTTGCAGCAGGGATAATCACACCATGGCTGCCGTTTAAGCCCTGTTGCTTGCAGACCGAGTAAAAGCCTTCAATCTTCTGATTCACGCCGCCGATGGCCTGCGCACCACCGTGCTGGTCCATCGAGCCGGTGATGGCAATGGTCTGCCTGGCGGGTAGTTGTGCGATAGCGGAAATAAGCGCGCACACTTCGGCTATGGAGGCACTATCGCCGTCCACGCTGCTATAACTCTGTTCAAATACCAGACTGGCAGATAACGACAGTGTAAAGTCGCGAGCATATCTGCTGCCAATATACGACGCGACAATCAGAACAGCTTTGGAGTGGATATCACCGCCCAGGTTCGATTCGCGCTCAATGTCGACTACCTGACCACGACCCAGTCTGGTGGTCGCTGTGATGCGTGCAGGCTGTCCAAAATTGATCTGACCGATATTGACTATTGCCAGGCCATTTATCTGGCCGACCTTAGTGCCGCGTGTTTCAACTCGAATTACCCCGTTGCTGATATTTTCCTGAATAAGCTCGCGAAATCTATCCAGTCGGTAAGTGCGTTTGTTCAGCGCATCTGTTACGTCCTGGCTGGTAATCAGGTGTTCGGGAGATGCTTTCGCGAGATAGTCAGCTTCCAGCAATAAGTCTCTGATTTCACTGACATGAGTCGACAAGTGCTCTCGATCTTCAACTTCCCTGCTGCAGTATTCAAGCACCCTTTCCACAGCGGTGTGGTCGAGGTGAGATATGCCGGTCTCTTTGACAATGTTAGCGATCAGAGAGACGTAGGCAACAATGTTATCGTCAGTACGGGGTACGCGATCCGCAAAGTCGGCGACCACTTTGAAAAGTTCTCCGAAATCCGGATCGTAGTGACGCAGGAGATGGTAAAGTTCGCGTGATCCTAACAGAATAACTTTTACGTTGAGGGGCATAGCCTGCGGCTCAAGGGACACGGAGTAGGTCATGTTTAACAGCTGACTGACGGATTCAATGCGCACGCGGTGATCGTTTAATGCGCGCTTCAGCGCTTCCCAGGCAAAAGGCTTCTGCAGGACGCGCTCTGCATCAAGGAGGAGGTAGCCGCCGTTGGCGCGATGCAGTGCTCCGGCCCGGATCTGACTGAAATCCGTGACCAGATTGCCATACTCTACACGGTGTTCCAGTTTGCCAACAAGGTTCTCCAGGCTCGGATTGCTTTCGTAGATCACCGGAATGCCTTCCAGAGCGCTGTTGTCGACCAGCAGGTTGACTTCAAATCGCTTAAAAAAATTGCTGGGGTTCTGCATGCCCGCGAAGGGATTGAAGGTGACCTCTGTCCCTGCTGCCATGAGCGTGTCTAAATTGTTTAGAATTTCGAGCTCACATCTAGCGAGGTAGTCCATCACGTTCTGATTGTCACTGTAGCGTTGACGTAACTTCAATAGCGCTCGTGCGACAACCTTCTGCGCTGTATCGCGGCGCAGTTTGCGTTGATCTTCGAGCAGTGCCTGTTGATGAGAAGGGTAATTGCGCAGACGATCTACAAGTTTCTGCGTCATGGTGCTGATCGCTTCCTGATACGTCTGGCGCTCTTCCTCAGGCAGGCTCAGAAAAGCTTCCTGTTCCATGACTTTGCCATCTGCAATGGGCGCAAAGACAAAACCATTGGGCGTGGGCAGCATGGCCAGATTGAGCTCACGCGCTTCATTTTCCAATTCAAGCGCATCCTGAGTTTGCGTTTTGTGGAAATCCTGTGCATAACCCTGCATTGTCTGACGATATTCATCTGACTCAAAAGCGGCGGGGATCATTACCTGGATATTGCTGACGAATTCCTGCATATGCTTGCGGAACGCCACACCCGCAGCGTTGGGTAATTCAATTAATAGCGGCTGACCCGGGTCGTCGAAATTCTCCAGGTAGCAAAAATCACCGGGGTTCTCTGTTGGCTTTGTCGCACTGCGTATCGCTCGGGTAATTGTGGTGCGCTTGTCCGTTTTAGGAGAACCCAGAGCGTAAAGATTGTAGCCGTCGAAAGTCATGCCGATACTTAGAAGTATCGCGTCCAGCGCCCGCTCCTGGGCGATGCTGGGCTGTAGCAATTCAACCTCGGCGGTGGAACTTTTCAACAACGTTGAGACGTCTGTTTTCTGAAACAAATCCTGAGCAACCAGTTCTACCACTGAGATAGGCCTTTTCAAATCCGGGAAGCGTGTTAACCATTGCCAATTTGCGGTATGCAATACATAAGTGGTTTCCGAAAATATTTGTTGCTGTCCGCAGTCAGCGCCGAAACCACGCGTAAGTCTTGTGGGAATTCCCAAGTGAAGATGCAATCAGCGCGTCTTATGCTGCATACATCAATTTTGATAGTGCAGATTTGACCGCCAGGAGGTTGTTTTTCTCGTGAAACCCGAATCCATATCCCGACTCCTGCTATTGGCGATAGCCGGTATTTTTCTCTCCGCGGTGGTCTTTGCTGAACCCTCAAAGCATTCTGGCGCGACTGTCGAGGTAGCGGCTCTATCTGAGCGAATAAACACAGGAAAGGAGAACGAACATGTCGCTTGAAAGATCGATTATGGCATTTGCCGGCTTTATGGTTTTACTGTCGTTGGCACTGACGTATTTTGTGCATCCCTATTTTGTCTGGCTGACTGTTTTTGTTGGTGCCAACCTGTTTCAGAGTGCGTTCACAGGGTTTTGTCCTGCAGGCATGATTATGCAAAAATTCGGTGTAAAAAGTGAGCGTGAACTGCTAGAGAGTTAGTCTATAGACCGTCTGTTGAGTGTTGCCGGGATTTTTCAGTGCCTGCGCGCAGCGCAGGTTTGGAAGGACCCTCAGTTCAGGTTGACCGCGTATATCAGTCGAAGCAGATCGTTGGTATCTACGGGTTTGTGCAGCAGTGTGCAGTTGCTGAGCTGCGCGCGGGAAATGTCCTGCGCAGAGGTGTCACCGGTCATCATGACGACCGGCAGTTCCCGACCCAGAGCCGTGCGCAGGCGTTTGACCAACTCAATGCCGTTGTAGCCGGGCAAACGGAAGTCGGTGATCAGGATGTCGGGCTGGGCACCGTTACTGATGTGATCAAGGGCTGTGTCGCCGTCGCCTGCTGTCAACACACTCACCTGTTCCGTTTCCAGCAGCATGAGCGTGGCATCGACAATGCTTGCGTCATCGTCAACCAGGAGCACCAGAGGCTGGTTTCCGGCATGGTGTGGGTGCAGTGGTGCAAGCAAGCCAAGTGCATTGTTCGTACCAGCAGGTACAGAAACGCTGAACGTCGACCCCTTGTCTACTTCTGATGATACTCGTAGCGGGTGGTTAAGAAGGTCGGCGATATGTCTAACAATGGCCAGTCCCAGTCCCAGACCTTTATTTTTCGCACCGTTGGCGTTTTCAATCTGATAGTACTCGTCGAATACTCGTTCGAGGTCCTCAGCTGGGATGCCAACGCCGGTATCACACACTGAAATGTTGACGTTTGCGCCGTCTGCTTGACAACGGATATTTACATCGCCCGAGTTGGTATAACGAGTTGCGTTAGTGACCAGGTTTTCCAGTAAGCGCTCCAGTAAACCTGGATCGCTTTCCACCATAAAATTGTGCTGTTCAGCCACCAAGTGAATGCCTTTAGCCTCGGCTTGTTGGATGTTATCGGTAACGATTCGATCGAGCAGTGGTTGTAGCGGAAAGTTCGATACCTTGGGCTTTACAGCGCCTTTGTCAAAGCGCGAAATATCCAGCAGAGCGTCCAGCAGTTCGCGCATGCTGGTAAGCGATTGTTCCATTTTGCCGGCAATTTCCAGAAGAACAGGGTTGTCGAGTTTTGCATTCAGCACGGCCAGATACATGCCCAATGATTGCAATGGCTGGCGCAGGTCATGGCTGGCAGCTGCAAGAAACCTCGATTTCCCCTGAGTCGCCTGCTCAACCTTTTTGATAGCCTGTTCCAGCGCGGTTGTATTTTCTGTTTGTTGGGTGACATCGTAGCCGGTACATAACAGACCCATTGCATGGCCATTGGAGTCTTTCAGTAAGCTGCTGTGCCACTGGATTTGCCGGTCGCCGCCATTTTTCATATTGATTCGATTGATGTGACCATCGTTGCCGCCGCGTTTGACCACTTCTGTAAAATAGTTGCGCATTTCGGCACGTGCTTCCTGGGGAATAAAGATGTCGAACCAGTCAGCGCCAGCGAGTTCTGCAGCACTATAGCCTGTTAATTCTTCGAAGTAGGGATTGCACCGCAGAATTTTCCCCTGTGTGTCTAACAGAAGAACGATGCCTTGCAGTGTGGAGATGAGTTTGTCGGAAAAGCTGGGGAACAGCTCGGCCTGGTGTCGTTGAGTGCCTTGCAAATTGTGGATCAGCCCGATGCATGTTGGCGTGCTGCCAAGTTGCGCCAGTTGCAGGTGCAAAACACTTTCGAATTCAGTTTTGTCTTTGCGTCGCAGTCGCAGGCTGATTTCCACCGGGTGATCACTTTTCAGCGCCGCTTCGAGGCTTTCTTCCAACTCGGTGGTGCTCAGGTTCACCGCCAGGTCCACAGGGGTTCGGGTGCTTAGTTCATCCATGCCGTACTGCAGATTGTTCAGTGCGCCATTGCTTGCGCTGATAAAAAACATACTCTCGGCATCAAAGACAATAATTTGTTGACTTGAATTCTGCAGCACGCCCAGCGCGTTCTTTGGGGTCAAAGCTCGGGTAGCTAAATCTTCGATCACTGCGTGAAAGGTAACGCCATTGTCTGTCAGATATCTATTGAACTTGATGTTGATCAGGAGCAGCGTTTGATCCTTGCGCGCAGCCAGTATCTGCAGCCCCTCTCCTAAAACCTGCAGGTGCTGTCGAGTTAAAGTGGGCAGCGACATATCGTTCGTAATACTGCGATATGCTGCGGGCAGCAAGCGGCTTAAGTGTTGGTTGGTCAGCTCCTTTTCCGTATAACCGAGCAGGGTTTCGGCTTGGCGGTTAACGGATTCAATAATACCCTGAGCATCAAAAGTGATAACGGGATGGGCCACCCGTGCAGGCGGCAGTTGTTGTGCACACATATCTGTTCTGCTCGAATCCCGGGGTGTAAGAACGGGAATGAAGAAAAGAGCTAGCTACAGTCCCCAGTTGAGCATATAAATTCACGTACATAAATACGTAAATTTACGTCCATATGGACTGCATGTACGTATTCATTGACCCGGCTACCTTTTGGGCGGTTCAGAATGTCAGGTAATTTCGAGCCCAGAACGCCTGCAGATGCGCCGATGCCAACAACATATTCAGGTAATGTATTTTGTCCCGAGCCTATGTGGACGTCCTACCTTTTTACTTTCTCATTCTAAGCACAAATCGGCCTTGCAGCATCTTTATCGCCTGGTTGATACGTAGTTCATCGCGGCTAGTCACAATAGGTAACGGTGTAACTTGCTGGCATGCTGAAGCTTTGATTGTTGGGGCGCATTTGATTGCGCAAGTTGTGCTTTCTCAGGGTGATGTTTGTGCAGAACGCCCGAATACTGTGTCCAGCCCCACGCCCCCAAGCGTCCCTGGCGGTATTCGTGGCGTTCTCTTTTGCTTTGCGTAATTAGTGTCTGTTCTCACTTGGATTGTCTGGTCGAGCCCGGCGATGAGCGTTGGGTGACTTTGCGGTAAAGGTGCCTGAAGTGAATTGCAGTCTGTCGTTCGAATCCGGATTGTTGCACCTGGCCGCTTTCGTTTTTGGTATAACGTTAATGTTTCTTCCGGTGAAGGTTGCTTATGCAGCTTGATAAGACAACGCACATCAACTTCTGGTACATCGTGATGGCCATGTTGATGGTCATGATCATTCAAGGTTGGTGGCAGACGCTCCAGCAGGTTGAAAAAGTACCCTACAGCGATTTCCAGAAACTGCTGCAGGAAGGCCAGCTGGAGAGCATCAGCATTTCGACAACGGCTATCCGCGGCACGCTCAAACAACCCACGGCTGAAGGCCACAGCTATATTGAAACCCTGCGTGTTGATCCGCAGTTCGCAAAAGATCTCGCGCAGTATGACGTCAAATTTGCTGGTGTTATAGAAAACAACTGGGTGGCTCAAGTGCTCTCCTGGGTGTTGCCCGCTGTAGTTTTTGTGGGTATCTGGATGTTGTTTATCCGGCGCATGGCAGACAAGCAGGGGTTTGGCGGCATGATGTCAGTGGGTAAAAGTAACGCCAAAGTCTACGTGGAAACAGACACCCAAGTGACCTTTGCGGATGTCGCTGGTGTTGATGAAGCCAAGCAGGAACTGCAGGAGATTGTTGCATTTCTGCAGGATCCTGACAGCTATGGTCGGCTCGGTGCCCACGTGCCAAAAGGCGTCCTGCTTGTGGGGCCGCCGGGCACCGGTAAAACCCTGCTCGCCCGCGCAGTTGCAGGAGAAGCGGGTGTGGCTTTCTACTCCATCAGCGGTTCAGAGTTTGTTGAGATGTTTGTTGGTGTTGGCGCTGCAAGGGTTCGTGATCTGTTCAACCAGGCGCGCCAAAGTGCACCGTGTATTATTTTTATTGATGAGCTGGATGCGTTGGGTCGCGCACGTGGTGCTGGCCCGATCATGGGTGGGCACGATGAAAAAGAGCAGACCCTCAATCAGCTCCTGAGTGAATTGGATGGATTTGATCCGCAACAGGGAATTGTCCTGCTTGCCGCAACAAACCGTCCGGAAATTCTCGATCCAGCGCTTCTGCGGGCCGGTCGATTTGATCGGCAGGTATTGGTTGATCGGCCGGATAAGCAGGGGCGTGTTGATATTCTGAAAGTTCATGTGCGCAAGATTCGTTTAGACGATCAGCTGTCGTTACCGGAGATTGCCGCGATAACACCAGGTTTCAGCGGTGCTGATCTGGCAAATCTGGTTAATGAGGCGGCTATAGTGGCTACTCGACGTGGCGCCGAAAAAGTCAGCCTGGATGATTTTACCCGGGCTATCGAGCGAATTGTCGCCGGGCTGGAGAAGAAGAATCGGTTGCTCAACCCTTACGAGCGCAAAGTGGTGGCTTATCATGAGGCGGGGCACGCGCTTGTCAGACTGGCGCTGCCTGGGATGGAAACGGTGCACAAAATTTCGATTATTCCGCGTGGTATCGGTGCGTTGGGTTATAACATTGCCCGACCGACAGAAGATCGCTACCTCATGACGGAGCGTGAGTTGTGCCAGAAAATGGCTGTGTTGATGGGCGGGCGTGCAGCGGAGATGATCATCTTCAATGAGCTGACTACCGGCGCTACAGACGATCTTGCACAAGCGACCAATATTGCCCGCACCATGGTTATGCGCTACGGAATGGTGAAACCGTTAGGACAAGTGACGTATGAGGGTGAGCGTCCCAGCTTTCTCGCTCAGCCACAGGAGAATCTATTTGCATCACGCACCTATAGTGAATCAACATCAGCGAAGATTGATGATGCCGTGCGGACCCTCGTCGAGCAGGCATTTAACGACGCCACGCTTATTCTGAAAGCCAACCTTGATCCCCTGAAAGAGACCGCTGAACGTCTTCTGTCTGTAGAAACGTTGTCTGCTGCAGATTTGCCTATGATACCCGCGTTCGAATTAAAGCACTGAGTGATGGTTGCTGAGTTGCTGCCTGATACCCAAGCGTTGCTTGGTATTTTAATCGGCGCAGGCGTAGGGCTTGCTATTGGCCTGGAGCGCGGTTGGCAGGAGATTGCTGCGCAGACAACGGCAGCGGCAGGCGTGCGTACCTTTACCCTGGTTGGTTTGCTGGGTGGTCTGGTGGGTTGGTTGCAACTTACCCAATTGTTTGACCTGGTTGTCCCTGGCTTTCTTGCGGTGGCGTTATTCATTGCTGTTTCCTATGCGCTGGAGGTCTGGCGGGGTGGAGATGCAGGGCTGACAACGGAATTTGCATTGCTCATTGCCTTTGTTCTGGGTGTGGTTGCGGGTGCAGGATACTGGTTGGCCGCGGCAGGGGTATCGGCCACCGTTGCTCTTGTTCTGGGTCTGAAAACACGCATTCACAGGGCTGTGGCGGCACTCAATCAATCGGAGCTGATAGCAACGCTGCAGTTACTGCTGCTGGCTGTTTTGATTGTACCGTTGTTACCGGATCACGGTGTTTTTGGACTGGCTGATTTTAATCCGCGCATGATCGGTTATCTCACGCTGTTAATTTTGGCCATATCCTACCTGGGTTATTTCAGTTTGCAGGTGTTGGGTCATCGCAGAGGAACTCTACTGGCCGCATTGCTTGGTGGAGTGGCTGCTTCGACAGCTGTTACATTGAGTTTTTCTCGGTTAGCCCGGGATAACCTTTCCGTAAACCGACAGTTGAGCGCAGGTGTCTGCATAGCGTGTGCAGTTATGGTGCCACGATTACTACTTGTGGTTGGATTGGTATCGCCATCGTTGATCGGGCCCCTGGCGCTGACGATCTGGCCACTATTTCTGGTACCACTATTGAGTGGCCTGTTTCATTTTCGTCGCATAGCGCATCAAACAGCCGGTTCGCGTTTGAAATTAGCCAATCCGCTGTCGATAAGCACTGCCTTTGGGTTTGCGCTCCTGCTCGCTGCGATGTTCTTAGCCGTTCCTTTAGTGGAAAAGTGGGGGGGGCCCACCGGCCTGTATGTTCTAGCAGCGATTTCAGGTATGACCGATGTAGATGCCATCTCTCTGTCGTTGGCTGGAAGAGTGGGCACTGCCAATGATTTATCTGGTGATCTGGTCGATGCGATTGTGGTTGCAGTCACTTCAAACAGCTTTTTTAAAGCCGGTCTCGCCTGGATTGTATCTGCCGGAGAATTGCGAAATACAGCGCTGGTGTTGGCGTTCAGCGCTCTTCTCACCTTGATATTGCTTGCCTTGTGATCCTCTTCTGCGGGAGATTTTCTTCGTCTGCGGGCATTCCCATCTCCAGCAGCGGAAATTGCGTATATAGGAAGACAGGTTGAACTCCTATGCTGACGCAACAGGCAGTTATAGTGGTGAAGAGGTTTGCTAGAAAAGCGGAGGACTTCAAATATACAAACTGGAGATGCTTATTCGATGTTGGCGAATTTCTCTGGTATCGCGTATCGCAGCATGGGCAATTTGCAAGGCGCTATGCAGTTTGTCAGTCAAGGCGCTGAAGCGCTGTGTGGTTACAAAGACACCGCTTTGCTCGCAAGCGAGCCGGATTGGGTTGACCTGATTCACCCAGAGGATCGACCGCGTGTCCAGGCGCTACGTCAGGACGCGATAGAGGCGGGCGAGCGTTTTGAATTGCAATATAGAATCTCGAATAATGCAGGACAAACTCTGTGGGTATTGGAGCAAGGCTTAGCTGGATCTACTGATGACGGTGATGCGATCGTTGAAGGATTTATAAGTGATATTACGCAGAGAATAGCTTACGAGGAGCAACTGCGACTGCAGCAGGAAGAGATGGCTCATGCAGACAGGCTCAGTATCCTTGGCGAAATGATGGCTGGTGTTGCTCATGAAATCAATCAACCCTTAACTGCTGTCTCTACTTATGCACAATCGTGCCTTCGCTTTATTGACCCTGAGAATAAAAGACCGGATCGGCTGCGCGAAGCGCTGACAAAAATGATCAGTGAAATTCAGCGTGCAGGTTCAGTCGTGCAGAGGATTCGCGACTTTGCGTCCGAACGGGTCAGCGAAAATGAAAATATCGACTGCAATGAACTGATTGTGGAAGCCAAACAACTGGCTGACGCCCAGGCGCGAATGCGTGGTATTCGCCTCCAGCTGCAACCCGCGGCGGAGCCCGTTTGTGTCTGGGGTGAACGCGTTGCGCTGCTACAGGTGCTGCTTAGCTTGCTGCGTAATGCTTTTGAGGCGATAGATGAGGCCAATTCAGAAGCTCAAGTGAAACTTGTCGTCAACAGGGTTGATGACGAGGCCGTCCAGATTGCGGTGATTGATTGCGGCGCAGGCGTTGCGGATCTTGAACTGGATGATCTGTTTCGCCCATTTGCGACACAGAAACAGGAACGTCTTGGGCTGGGTTTGACAACCAGTCGCGCTATAGCGACCTCTCACGGCGGGCGGCTTGCTTACAGTAACAACCAGAACCAGGGTGCAACTTTTTTCCTCATGCTGCCGCTGAGCAGCGCACGAATTACGGAGGTTCAGCCGCAGTCATTAGAGGACAGGAATGGAACGTGATACAGACAGGGGAACAATCATGAGTAGTGATCAGGTCGTAGTTGTTGTGGATGATGATCCTGGTGTGCGAGATTCGTTAAGTATGCTGTTAGAATCGGTCGGGTTAAACCATCGTTTGTACTCCAACGCAAAAGACTTTCTTGATGAGGTGAGTGACATCCCGGGAGGGTGTTTAGTACTAGACATTCGTATGCCGGGAATGAGCGGGTTGGAGTTGCAGAGTGAGTTGCGTGCGCGAAATATCCTTTTGCCCATTATCTTCATAACCGGACATGGTGACATTGGCATGGCGGTCAAAGCCATGCGCCTTGGTGCGCTTGATTTCATCACCAAGCCCTATCATGAACAGCACCTGTTAGACCGTATTCACGAAGCGCTGGCTTATGAAAACAACAGCAGAAAACAGTTGATTGAACACGATGAGCTGGTCAAGCGAATAAGTGCGCTGTCGGAAAGGGAAACGGAAGTATTTGAGCGTGTTGCCGCGGGTCAGGCCAACAAGTTCATTGCTTATGATCTGGGTATCAGCGAGAGAACCGTGGAGGTGCATAGAGCGCAGATCATGAAGAAGCTTGGTGCGCGCACATTGGCGGAAGTGGTCCGCATTCGCCTTGAGTCGCAGCGTCCTGTTTCCGAACCCGTTGTTTCTCAGTCACGTTCCGAAGCGTATTAACCGCTGCGGTTTCTTCCAACGCATCCGGGATCTGAAGTGGAAGGCTGCGTAGCAACGGTATATGTGATTGAACCGGATGCAGCCATACGCGATGCAATGCAGACATTGCTCAGCGCGTTTGAGGTGCCTGTACTGACTTATGCGGTGCCTGAAGAATTCATGTCCGCTCTTTCAAGCGATGTCAGTGGCTGCGTACTTTGTGAGGCTTTGTTGCCAACAGGCAGTGGTCTGCAGGTTGCCAGAGATTTGCGGGAAATGGGTCATGAGATCCCGCTGATACTGTTAGTTGAAAAACGTAATGCGCAGATTATTGACGCCGCCCGTGACGCTGGTGTGCAGACCGTACTGGAAAAACCGTTAATCTACGATGAACTGATGCTGGCGCTGGAGGAAATAGGAGGATCAGCCTGGCCAGGGTTAGCTGCAGCGCGCGGAGTCGAAGCAAAGCTTAGCAGCGGCACAGCTGTACACATACGCCCCATGATGCCCAATGGCAGCGCGGGTCATGAAGCGCCTGTTGTTTATTTTTCAGCGCCTGCACGGCCGCAGAATTTAAAGGGATCTCTCAAGCAACCCCATAACAGATTGCTTAACAGTTTTTCTGACATCCACTATCCGAATAATTTTGCCCTGGTGGCGATGGTCGAAAGTGCAGCTGGCGTGGAAGAGGTAGGGTTGGCTCGCTATGCAGCGACGCCAAACCAGGGCGCAGAATTTGCGATTGCTGTGACAGACGCCTGGCAGCGGCAGGGTGTGGCGAGTGTTTTGCTAGGGCACTTACTGCAATGTGCTGAGAAAGCCGGCATTCGAAACTTGTCCGGTCTGATAAGGCGTGATAATCAGGCGATGCTGGCATTGGCTCGTAAATGTTTGTTTACGCTTTGTACAGATAAGGACAAACCCGATATTGTAGTTGCCACAAAAGAACTGGGGAAATAACGAATAGCTCTTGTTGGACGCGATAAATAAGCTGTTTGTCATCTTATTTACTGTTAGTTAAGGAGATCAAGTGATGGACCTTAAGCCCTGGCGTCCGCTGCAGGACGTAGATGATCTATTCAGTCGCTACACCCGGCTGCTCAATAATCGTTTACCCGCTATGTTTGATGAGAATGGTAACGGTCGTGATCAATGGGCGCCGAGTGCAGATATCAGCGAAACCAAAAAGGAATATCTGATAAAGGCGGATTTACCCGATGTAGAAAAGTCTGATATCCATGTCTGTGTAGACAATGGGCGGCTTGTTATAGAAGGCGAACGTAAGCATCGGGAAGAAGAAAAAGATGAGACAGTGCACCGGATCGAAAGCTTCTACGGTAAATTTTATCGTTCTTTTTCTCTGCCAGATAATGTCGATACCGCGAACATAAAAGCAGATTGTCGTAAAGGGGTGCTGCGTGTGCATGTGCCGAAAATCGAAGCAGCCAAACCGAAACCAGCCATTGAGGTTAAGGTCAACTGATAACAGCCAGTTTCTTTAATCCAGATGCCGGCCACACCCGTATCTGTTAGGTAGAATTAACGTGAACGGGTGGTTGCGTCGGCAGTGGGTTGCATAAACAATGAAGTTTACATTGGTCGGCTGGGGTTGAAGCTGTCTTGTCAAAATCCGGTGCGCCTGCTGCGACGCTAAAAAAGTCGTTGAACCTGCCGTTGTTAGTCCTCTACGGGCTCGGTACCACTATTGGTGCCGGCATCTATTCGCTGGTTGGTGAAATTGCTCGAGTTGCCGGATATTTTTCGTCGTTGTCTTTTCTTTGTGCTGCCCTGCTCGCAGGTTTCACCGCCCTATCGTTTGCAGAGCTGAGTGCGCGTTATCCAAGGGCCGCAGGTGTGGCCCTATATGTGCAACAGGGTTTTTCTTCGCGTCGTCTGGCTTTGTTTGTAGGTTTGTTAGTGGTGTTTGCAGGGGTGGTATCTTCAGCAGCACTGCTTAATGCCTTTGTTGGATATCTGCAGGTATTTTTTGGTGTTCACCGTGTAGTCATTATCTGCGCCGTTGCGTTTGTCATTGGGCTTATTGCCATTTGGGGCATTCTTGAATCTGTTGTTATTGCCAGCGTCATTACGCTGGTTGAGGTTATCGGCTTGCTGGTTATTGTCTGGGTCAACATGCCGGCATTAATGACCTTGCCTGAACGTTTGCCGGAGTTGATTCCGCCGCTGCAGGGGTCCGCCTGGTATGGCATATATCTAGGTCTTGGCCTCGCTTTTTATGCGTTTATTGGGTTTGAAGATATGGTTGATGTGGCGGAGGAGGTAAAAGATGTGAAACGCAATCTGCCTCTGGCAATTCTGCTGACCTTGGTGCTGACAACCGTATTGTATGCGCTCTTAATGACGGTAGCGGTTCTGGCGCTGCCACCAGCCACATTGGGCAGTAGTGGTGCGCCTTTGCGGGCGCTCTATATTGCGGGTACGGGCGGGTCAGCAGATTACATCAGTATTGTGGCTTTGTTTGCCATCATCAATGGCGCATTAATACAGATCATCATGAGTTCAAGAGTCTTATATGGATTAGGTTCCAGGCGACAGCTGCCCAGTATTCTGTCCTGTGTGAATGCGCGTACGCGAACACCTGCTGTGGCAACCGCTGTTGCGGTTTGCCTGATGCTGACCTTTGCGCTGATTAGCAACCTTGCGTTTCTTGCTCAACTCACCTCAACCATCATTCTGATTCTCTTTACACTGGTCAATACTGCTCTGGTGAGAATCAAACTGCGGGAAGCGCTTGTTGAAGATGTCCTTAACCTGCCCATCTGGCTGCCTGTTTGTGGTGCGATAGCGAGCGGGGGTGTTGTCCTTGCGCAATTCTATAGCCTGCTGTTTTCGGCCTAGTTGAAATGGTCATGGGTACTTACACGAGAATGGCAGCGCCTGACGCTTCATTGATTTCAGCCTGCGTCGCCAGGAGAATTCAGAGGTATGGTCATGACATCCGTATCGACACGGCTGAGGATGTTTTCCGCGGTGTTACCAATCAGGTAGCCTGCCAGCCCGGTTCGCGCTTTTGTGCCCATCACCAGCATGCATGCTTTAGTGGATTTCACCAGCTTTTCTATGACAGTACCGGTGGCGCCTTCGCTGGTATGGACGTTGTATTCATCGATATGTAGTGCCTGGCATAAGGCATTGATAGCCGCTCGGCTTTCATCAGCCATTTCGTCCCTGAGGCGCTCATAGTTTTTTACCGTGGCTACCTCGTTTATCCATACACTGAGCGAGGGATAGACGCAGACAATGTGCAGGGTGCCGCCGATCGCTCGGGCTAATGTGCTGGCATGCTCCAGCACATTACGATTCAGGTCCGCGTGAGCATCATCAAATACGTCCACTGCTGCAAGAATTGTAGGATTTACTGGCCAGGCTCTGGCGCGGGTCAGTAGCACGGGTACCTTTGCATGACGAATAAGGTTCCAGTCTTCTGCAGTGTGAGGATACAGTGCGCCGTTGTTTTCGCCGCGAGGTTTGAAAATCAAATCTGCCTGCTCTGCGTCCGCGGCGTGCAGAATCCCTTCCCAGATATGTTTATGCCAGATCGTGGCACTTTCAATTTTAAAATCTGCCAGACCAGCCTGTTGCACAGCATCTTCAAGCAGGGGTTCTTCTGCTTCCAGAACAAATGTTTTAAGTTCAATGGAACCATCTATGTATTTGCTTTTGAGATCTGCCAGACCTTCGTAAACGACCCTGACTACCTGGAAGTGAGCATCGGCTGAGTCCGATTTACACAAAGCGGTCGCTTTGCTTAAAACAGGCCCTGCGTCTTCAAGATTCTGCAAGGCGACTAAAATGTTTTTATACATTGATCAAGCTAACGTAAGTTATTAGTCAGAAAAGATTAGATGAATATGCTGAATTTCGGCTATTGGGAAATTCCCGTAAGCGCATGCGGTGAATCGCGAAAAGCGCAGCAGTCCTGGTAGAAAATAAGCCAGGCCTGTGCCAGGGGCTCACGCAGTTTATCCGCCCGCCGCTGTTGTTTCTGATAGAACTTGTTAAGGGAGGAGTTTTTTGTGCCTGATTTATCCGCGGGGAATTTCCGAATCATCGCTCGGGCCAGTTCGGTGTCCTGATAGTCACCTAGAAGAGACTGCAGCTTTTTGGCTGCCTCAGTCAGCCGGTCAATGTCCGCATTAACACCGGCGAAAGTGTCCAGCTGATAACGCAGTTTCTTCAACGCGATACGTACGGTATGAATGTCGTCCGCATGGGAGAACTTGTGGAGTCGGATGCCCGTATCAAGCATGTCTGCAATCGCGGTGGGTAGAACGTGAGCGAGGTGTTCTCTTACGCTGTGGGTCTCAGCGTCGCGGCAGCTGTGGATCTGTTGTATGACTTTGAGCAGATGGCTATGCAGAGCGTAGAAGTCTTCTGTAAGGGTTTGCTGCAACTGGCGCTGGCGCTTTGCCTGTTGCCTGCATAGGAATTTCTTATACGCCCGACATTTCCCTCGAGAAAAAATTGACGCCAATTGAGCGTGATGAACGTCGAGGTCGCGTACTTTGCCCAACGCCCTGGTAAGACGCTTCAGTTCAGGCTGCAAAACAGTATCACCTGATGGGGGCATGACATCACTGAATAAATCCAACGCTGCGCGGGTTCTGCGTGTGGCAATCCGCAGTTGGTGCACGCCTTCGGGGTGTACCGCTTCAAATGCAAACGGTTCGTGGGCAAGCAGCGTATCAGCACATTCCTGAAGCGTTATCGCCGCATGTTTGCGCCAATGTCGTTCTGCGGTTTCAATCACCGATTTCAGCTGCAATGAGGGTTGTCTGTCTGGACACGGTGCGTACACGCCGCGTTGCAGTTTGGCCATTCTGGAAGGGTGCAGGTACTTTTCCGCGCGCGCGATTAAATTGATATGATGCAGCAGGGTTTCATGTCCCTCCAGGAGTTCGAATTCAAATTCAATATAACCGTTTGTAAGCTGGGCACTGCTGACCGTATCTACAGCCCACTCAATGTATGTCTTTTTGTCGCTTGGGTGGGTGAGCTCAAACAGTCTGCGTTGGCTGTGCTGTTGATGGACAGGTTCAAGATCAGCTGCCGCAATACCCAGCGACTGCAGCTGGTTGCTGACGCGACTTTCCTGGGGGATGCTGATGTCCGATTCGGTTTCTGCGCATTTGTCGTTGTAGGTATATTCCGTTTCTCTGCGTTTGAACGTAGCTGCTGTTGCCGGGCTGGATTTTAACGTCAGGGTTGTCTGGCCGGAGGTGTTACTCCGTCGCAGTGACCAACCGACCTGTTCGAGGTCGCGGTTGCCTGTATCAAAATAGACGTCGTCCATGCTCTGCTGGCCTTGTTTATCTAACGAGAAGCCAAAATCCTTCAGTTTCCGGTAAAGTTTTTTTTGCGCAGGCTTACCGCCCATGCCGTAGCGGACAAGGAACTTCAATTCCAATTCGGTTTTTGTTGAGCCAAGGTCATGCATGGCCATGATCATGGCGACTGTTGGCGTGAAAATCCAATGGGGGAAGTGCGTACTTTCCTGTTTTTAATAGTAGAACTACGGATAGCCAAGCTGACCGGTTGATTCGATCATCCAGTTTTATCGGTAGGGTACGTGGCCATGGGTGACGCAAAGCAAGCGCTGAAAGAATATGTTCAGAAACTCAAAACAGAGCGTGATGAGTTACGCCTGAAACTGAAACTTTCGAATATGGAATTTCGTGATCATTGGGATAATGCTGAGGTCAAATGGAACCACCTGGAGCAGAAGATGCAGGATTTAACCCATGAATCCGCGGAATCGTCTCGAGCGGTTGCACATGAACTCGCAGAAATGTATCGGAATATGCGAAACATCATTAACCGATAGTTTTTTGTTCAACTTGTTTGCAGGGTGCACACCCGGCAGGTCGGCAATAGCTAGACAGTCGCTATCACTTAGATAGGCAATACAATAGTGCGCTGGATCAGGTGGCGAAGTTCTTCCAGTTCATGTGCTACGGGTTTCAGGGCTTCGGCGTGGATGGGGATATCTTCGCCGCACTTGCAGATGAACCCGATACCACTATCGACGTCCGTGATCGGAAGGCCCTGTTGCTTACCGCACGTTGGGCATTGTAACGCCAGGGTGATGCAACCCTGGAGATTGCAGTGGAAGTGTACTTTTACAGGATTTTCCATCCAGACCTCTAAGACGCCGATAATTTATGCATCTTGAAGTAGGTTGCTCTATGAAGTGAATCCGTAACTTCCCGTAGCAACAAATTTCCTTTTTTATTAAGTGTATTACTCATTTACCGAGGCCACTTTGCGTGCTAGAAAGCGCTACCAATTAATCACTTAAGTTATGAACGAATTAACAGACGAAGTCCTTGTTGCACTGCGGCGAATTATCCGCGCAACAGATCTGCATTCTCGCCGCTTAGGTAGAGATACCGGGCTGACCACGCCACAGTTGGTCGTGATGAATGCGATCGAAAAATATGGTGACCAGTCCATTTCAGAAATTGGTCGCCAGGTCAGTCTATCCCAGGCAACAGTTACAAATATCCTTAACCGGCTTGAGACTAATGGTCTGATTACCCGCAAGCGCAGCAAGCATGACAAGCGTCGAGTGGACGTTTTTCTGACTACCAAAGGGGCGCGTCTGCGTGCCGGAGCTCCGCAACCGCTGCAGGAAGAGTTTGTCCAGCGCTTCAGTGAGCTTGCAGGTTGGGAGCAACATCAGATCGTTGCAGCGTTAATGCGTGTCGCCACCATGATGGACGCAGAAACCCTGGATGCAGCGCCCATGTTGGCAACTGGAGAGCATGTATTGTGAAGTTCGAGCTCTTGGGTTTAGAGCAGCACCCTGCGTCTGAATGAGCTTATCAGCGGGATTGCCTGACGGCTGACAGATCAGCTCTGGCTCGCCAAAATATAGTGTTGCATGTGATCCTGTGCTTCAGATTGGCAGGCAAACGGTCCTTGTAATCCTTCCCGGGCGCGGAAGTACCAGCCGTCTTTCTGTTGTGTAATTCGTTTGCCGGTGTTGTCTTCATTGAGGCCATCCAGGTCGATATGAGCATTGCTGCTGAGACGCGATGCGACCTCCGCTACAGGCATATCGAAAACACGATGTTTGCCGTTTGCGCGACAGCTGACCCGTGCAGTCTGGGTCTGGGTGTTCACTTCGATAACGAGATAAAGGCGTCCCTCAAGAGCGAACAGGCGTCCTTCCATGCGACTGGCGAGCGGTGTGTCATTAAGCTGCATGTTTTGACCCTCCTTAAGTTTCCCTACTTTGGCTGTCTTCTAGGTTAAGACGCTGTTCACTTCTATTCTGCCAACGCGTTCACAAAACGCGGATAAAGGTTGGACATGGAATGATCAGTTTAGCCCGAGCAATCAACGAGCCTTTGTCGACTTTTTTCGATGCTTTGTTGTGCCTAATCTGTGCCGCATTAAAACAGAGCGGGTTAAGCCGGATGTCTATTGCGCCAAATCAACAGTTGCCACACCAGACCGGCTTGGTGGTAACCACAGAGGCCAGCAAAATGAGTCCACAGGTGGAAAAAGAAGTACTACAACAGGTCAGTGTAGCGCCGGGCGATGGCGTCGGCCCGGAAATAACCCAGGCGACGCTTCGTATCCTGAGTGCGGCTAAGGTGCCGCTGCAGTTCAACACCATAGATATGGGACTAAAAGTCTGGGAGCAGGGTTTAACCTCTGGCGTAACCGAAGCCAGTTGGCAGTCGATTCGCGACAGTGGTGTGTTACTGAAAGGACCAATGACAACGCCTCAGGGTTCGGGCATGAAGTCTCTCAATGTCACCCTGCGGAAAAGTCTGGGTCTGTTTGCCAACGTTCGTCCGGTTCGCTCTTATACCCCCTATGTGGCTTCCCACCATCCGGACGTTGATCTGGTCATTATCAGGGAAAATGAAGAAGACCTTTATGCCGGTATAGAGCATCGTCAGACCCAGGATGTGGTTCAGTGTTTGAAGCTGGTCTCGCGGCCGGGGTGTGAACGTATTGTGCGTTATGCCTTCGAGTTTGTGATGACTCGCAAACGCAAGCGCCTGACCTGTATGACCAAAGACAACATCATGAAACTGACGGATGGCCTGTTCCACGAAGTCTTTGATGAGGTGGCGAAAGAATACCCGGAGGTGCAGGCGGATCACATGATTGTCGATATCGGTATGGCGCGGGTCGCCAGTGATCCAGCATCATTTGACGTCATTGTTACACCTAACCTCTACGGCGATATCCTCTCCGATATTGCCGCAGAGGTGGCGGGTTCCGTAGGCATGGCGCCGTCGGCCAACATTGGAGAGTCGATCAGTATCTTTGAGGCGATACACGGTTCAGCGCCGGATATTGCCGGGCAGAATATTGCCAATCCCTCAGGTCTGCTGATTTCTGCGGTGAAGATGTTGGCACACCTTGGGCTGGGTGATTATGCAGAGCTTATTCACAATGCGTGGCTGTGCACTATCGAAGAGGGTATTCACACAAAAGATGTTTATCAGGGAGGTAAAGGTTATCAGTGTGTCGGCACTGACGAGTTTGCTTCGGCGGTGATTGAACGTCTGGGTAAGACGTCAAAAACTCTCGGGCAGGCGCATTATCCGCGCAAACGCCTTGATGTGACGCCGGCTAAACATTCCCATCAACCCGTGCAGGAATTGGTCGGGGTCGATGTGTTTGTGCAGGCTCAACTGAAGCCACAGACATTGGCCGATCAGATTAAGGCTGTGGACGTTACTCCGCTTGAACTTACGATGATCACTAATCGTGGTGTGCAGGTATGGCCCAACGGTGCACCGGAAACCTATTGTACAGACCACTGGCGTTGCCGTTTTAAGGCCGACGCTGATCATGTTGGTGAGTTAGATAATCGCCAGGTGTTGACGCTGCTCAATCGATTAGATCTTGCGGGGGTTGATTTTGTGAAAACCGAACACCTGTACAATTTTGATGGGCAGCCTGGGTTTTCGATGGGGCAGGGACAGTAGAGACCAACAAAAAAGGGCACGTAAAACGTGCCCTTATCAGTGCGAAGCTTGATAGCCTCAACAAGTTGTTACCACTCAAAACCTGCACGCAGGTACGCAAAACGTCCGGCAAAGCCGAAAGGTGAGCGTGTGGAGTAAGGGAAGATGCCGTTGAAGCTCTGGCCAGCAGGCGTTTCAGTTGGATATTGATCAAACACGTTATCCACACCAATGCCGATATTGATGTTGTCTGTTGCGGCCAGGTTCATAGACAGATCAACAATCCATTCTGCATCCAAAGTGAAGTCGTTTGCTGGGTTGTTAGACGGATCGACAACTTCGCCGTAACGTGTTGCACGGACGTTCACATCAGCTGCTTTATAGCGCCAGTCCATGGTTAAGATGATCTTGTCCTGAGGAGCGCTTTCTTCAAAGGTCAATCGATTGTCCCTGGAGAAAAGTGTCAAAGATGGAATAACCGTGTTAACAGGCACTTTTTCAACTTCGACATCAGAGAAATTCATACCGGCGCTGAATTCAAAAGATCCCATATCGTTGGTTTCAAGATCAAAGCGGGCAACAATGTCGATACCCGTAGTTTTGGTTTCGATACCGTTCTGGAAGAAGCGCACGCGGCTTACACCGGTAACACCGGCAGCAGTGAGCACATCTTCTACTTCTGTACCGCCCAGATTTTCCGTTAGAAAAATCTGGTCTTCGATTTCGATCTGATAAAAATCGACGGTGAGGTAGAAGTTGGTCGCTGTACGCCAGACAAAGCCTGCTGAAATACTGTCAGAAGTTTCCGCGTCCAGCGACTGACCACCTAAAGCGACTGCAGCTGCAGATTCTGCCGGGAAGGTGCCAATTTCAAAAGGCACGCCGTCAATAAAGTTGGTTGAGCTGGCGGTAAAAAACTGCTGCTGCAGAGACGGTGCTCTGAAGCCAGTTGAATAGCCACCGCGAATGGCAAAGCTTTCGGTGATGTCATAGCGAGCGACAAACTTACCAGTTGTCTCGTCGCCGAAGTCTGAATAGTCTTCATACCGAATGGCGGCGCCGAATAGCAGCTGATCGTTGGGTGTCCACTCAACGTCAACATACAGAGACACCGAATCGCGATCTTCGTCTACTTCTGATTGTGGCGTGAAGCCTGCAAATACCTGGCTGCCACCTGCAAAAGCGACACCGTCTGCTTCAGGATCCTGGGCTGCAGTGAAGTTCACACCCAGCAGGCCGCGATAGCCGCCCTGAATGTAAGAGTTGGGTTCACCAGCAGAAATTTCGAAGTTTTCTTCACGGAACTCGGTACCAAAAGACAAGGTGACAAGCCCGGGTAGCAGGTTGTCAAAATCTCTTGTGACGTCGGCATTGACAACAATCTGCTGATATTCAAGTGCACCGGCGTCAAATTTGGTTTGCGTAACAGCCGGTCCTAATGACGCGTTCAAGCTGTCTTCAACGGAATATTCCAGCTCATTGTTGCCAAAGGTGACGCTGGCATCGTAATCCCATTCTCCGAAGTTGCCGCGGATACCACCAGCCAGGCTGATGTCTGTTACCTCACCAATAATGGTGGGCAGAAATCCATTGGGATAAATCTCCGTCAGGTTTCGTGGTGAACTGCGGAAGTCCACGGTTGCATCCCCCGCGCGGCGGTAGAAACCGGGAGAATCAGCTTCACGGTCCTGATAGCCACCAAAGGCGTAGAGTTCAGCGGTTTCGCTGATCGGTAAACCGGCATTAGCAAAGAAGCTGAAATCTTCAGCGTTGCCGTTGCCGTAACGGTGGTTCAGACGGTTGAAGCTGTTGTTGCGTGGATCCTGAATGCCCGAACTCAGAGGGGTTTCAGGGTACTGGTTACGCGGATCGAGGCCGGCGCGGTTGCTCGGTTCACGATCTTTATACTCCGCGGCAAGGGTCAGATAGCCTTCTTCACCTAGCGGCAGACCTTTCCACCCCGATACTTTCAGAGTCTCGCCATCGCTGGCGTTGCGGTCGGCGGCGTTGATTTCAGTTGAGTACTGGCCGAAAAACCCGTCAATTCCGCCACCTTCACGATCCTGCTTCAGGCGCACGTTGAGTACACCGGCGATGGCATCGGAACCGTATTGGGCAGATGCGCCATCGCGTAACACCTCAACCGCACTGATGGCGCTGATGGGAATTGCATTCATGTCTACCGCAGCAGAGCCACGACCGACAGAGCCATTGATGTTTACCAGCGATGAGCTGTGGCGGCGTTTACCGTTTAACAGAACCAGCGTCTGGTCCGGCTGCAGGCCACGCAAGGTAGCGGGGCGCACAATATCTGTACCGTCGTTGATAGACGTCTGGTTGAAGTTAAAAGAAGGCACTGCCGCTGCGAGCGCCTGGTTCAGCTCCAGGCGACCGGTACTGGTAAGTTGTTCGGCGTTAAAAACATCGATAGGCACAGCAGTCTCAAGGTTCGTGCGTCCTTCGCGGGAGCGCGAACCAATCACAACTACTTCTTCTATGGGGCGCAATCCAGCATCCTGCGCGATGCCGGGCAGTGCCCCGGTGGTGGCCGTCATGGCCAAGATCATACTTAGCGTCTTGCGCATAGTTTTGTCTCTCTTTCTTTTGTGTGTGTGTGCAACTGTCCGGCCCCCAACAAGCCGAAACTTTCCAGGCGTTGCACGTCTGCGAACGCGCGCAAGGTAACATTTGTGAAACATATCGACAAATTTTGTAATAACACGTTTTTTGCACATTTTCTGGCTGGATAATGCAGAGCGACGTTTGATCGGTGTTATTATTAGCGGTTTGCTATTTGACACTTAAGAAAGAGGCATAAGCATCATGACAGACACCGATCTGGCGCAATTTCGCGAATCAACACGGGCATGGCTTGCGGATAATTTTCCGGCATCCCTGGCTAATAAAATGCTCGGCTACGAGCGTATTTCCGATCCGGAAATGGCGCAGCAGTTAGAAGTCTGGCGACAGAAACTGGCTGAACAGGGTTGGGGCGCACCAACCTGGCCAAAAGAATATGGTGGTGCGGCATTAAGCCAGCCTGAAGCCCGTGTCATCGCTCAGGAAATGGGCAAGATTGGCGCAATGAACCCGATTCCATTGCTGGCGGGTATGGGCGTGACCATGGTCGGCCCGACGGTGCTTGAATACGGTACGGATGAGCAGAAGCAGAAGCACCTGCCTGGTATTGCCAGCGGCGAAGTGCGCTGGTGCCTTGGTCTTTCTGAACCAAATGCAGGGTCGGATCTGGCTTCGCTGGCTACCAAGGCGGTTGATGAAGGGGACTATTTTGTTTTGAACGGCCAGAAAATCTGGACTTCCGGTGCGGATATTTCTCAGTGGTGTGGTGCCCTTGTGCGGACTGATTCGAATGCTAAAAAGCGTGACGGTATCAGTTTTGTCATGCTGCCTATGGATCAGGAGGGTGTGCAGACCAAGCCGATCCGTCTGATTGCAGGTGCCTCTCCTTTCTGCGAAACGTTTTTCACTGACGCCCGTGCGGAAAAAGCGGACCTTCTGGGTGACCTGAACGATGGCTGGAGTGTGGTCAAACGTTTGCTGCAACATGAGCGCCAAAGCCAGACCAGCGCTCGCGGCGCGCCCACCAATAAAGCAGATTCGTTGCAGGAAGTGGCTAAAAAGTATGTCGGCACGGATGGTGAAGGCCGCCTGGCAGATGCTGATCTGCGTACTCGCATAGCCAATCATCTGATGGACGCTCAGGCACATGGTTTGACCGTTGCCCGCATAACTGCCGAAGCTCGGGGTAACCCCAAGGTGAGTGCCGCGGCTTCTATCCTGAAAAACTCAGCGACCAAGGTTGCGCAGACAAAATCTGAGCTGACTATGGAACTTATGGGTAACCAGGGTATTGGTTGGGAAGGGGATCACTTTACCGCGGATGAGTTAAACAACGTGCGCGATTGGTTATCCGGCAAAGCCATATCCATCTACGGCGGCTCCTACGAAGTGCAGAACAATATCATTTCCAAAAACATTCTCGGTCTACCCGAAACCACACAGAAGGGTTAAACACATGGCAGCATTAACAGAAGAGCAGAGCATGCTCCGAGACCAGGCGAAATCCTGGGTGACAGAACAGTCTCCGGTCCTCAAATTCAGACAGATGCGCGACAGCGGTGTCGAACTGAAGTACACCCCGACAACCTGGAACGCGATGGTTGAAATGGGTTGGACCGGTATTCTGGTGCCAGAAGAATTTGGCGGGTCTGACCTTGGTTACCTGACTTTTGGCGTTGTTCTTGAAGAGCTGGGGCGACAACTGACCGCTTCGCCGCTCTTTGCCTCAGCCCTTGTTGGCACTTCAGCCATTCTGCTGGCGGGCAACGACAAGCAGAAGCAGGCATTGTTACCCAAGGTGGTTGATGGCAGCGAGATTTTAACCCTCGCAGTTGATGAAACCGCCCGACATGCGCCAGCTCAGATAGCGCTGCAGGCTACCGCCTCTGATGGCGGGTTCAAGCTGCAGGGAGAAAAAACTTTTGTCATGGAAGGCATGGCGGCAACCACTTTTATTGTCGCGGCACGTACGTCAGGCACTGCCGGTAATGAAGCGGGCATAACCCTCTTCTGCGTCGCTGCGGATGCTGCTGGTTTAACGCGTGCACCTATCCATACCGTCGACAGTCGTGGGCACGCTCATCTAAAATTTGACGATGTGTTTGTCTCAGCGGACAGTGTGCTGGGGCAGGTAGATGCAGGTTACGCAGATCTGCAGGCAGTACTTGACCGGGCCAGCGCTGGTCTTGCCGCGGAAATGTTAGGCACGGCAGCTCAAGCGTTTGATATGACGCTGGAATACTTGAAAACACGTGAACAGTTCGGCCGCGTTATCGGCTCGTTCCAGGCATTGGGTCATCGTGCTGCTGAGTTGTACACGGCTATGGAACTGGCCCGTTCCTGTGCCGAGCATGCACTCCAGGCCATTGATAGCCATGCAGACAACCTTGCCGAGGTGTGTTCCCTGTCGAAATGTCGAGTGGGTGAGTTTCTTCACGTCATGTCTAACCAGCTGATTCAGATTCATGGCGGTATCGGCATGACAGATGAGTTCGACGCAGGTTTCTATCTGAAGCGGGCGCGAGTGTTGGAAACCGCCTTTGGGAATCAGGCTTATCATCGCGATCGTTACGCCAAAGCGCTGGGTTTTTAACCCAGCGCCATAGGTGCCCTGCCAGTTACGCCAGCTACCATCGGATAAAAAGAAAAATAAAAAATGTCTGACATGATCAACCCAGAACATAGTGAGAAGATATACATCAAGTCTGACGAATTACTGCGTGATTCGTTTGCCCTGGCGCTCAAAGTTATAGAGTCCGGTTTTCGGCCGGATTTCATTGTGGCTGTCTGGCGAGGTGGAACGCCTGTCGGCATAGCTGTCCAGGAATTGATGAAATATGCCGGTGTTGAAACGGACCATATTGCAATTCGAACGTCCTACTACCAGGGTATTGATAAAACTGACAATCAGGTTCAGGTGCACAATTTAGGTTATCTGTTGGAGCATCTGAACTACGACAATTCTGTTCTGATTGTAGATGATGTATTTGATCGCGGGCGCAGTATTGAAGCAATAATCTCAGAACTGGAGCGTTTGACCCGACGCAACCTGCCAAAAGATATCCGCATTGCTACGGTGTGGTTTAAGCCTGAGAAAAATGTCACAGCTTTGAGTCCGGACTATTATGTTCATGAAACCAACCGTTGGCTGGTTTTTCCGCACGAGTTGGATGGGCTGACCGACGAGGAAGTGCGTAGCGGCAAGCCGCTGGTTGCGGAACTGGTGTTTGCAGCAACCGAAGCTGCTGGTAAGGCGGATGGCTGATGGCCAGTGAAGTTACCCTGCTTCTCGAACGATACAAGCAGGGTGATACGGGTGCATTTAATGCGCTTGCGGAGCTGATTTACCCACAGCTGAAATCGATGGCCCAGCGTCGGACGCGCGGTGAAGGTGGCCTCGGCGCAACAATGCTGGTCAATGAAACCTTCCTCAAGCTGCTCTCCGGCGGCGAACTGAAATTCGAAGATCGACAGCAGTTTTTTGCGCTTGCCGCATCCATCATGCGCCAGGTCATTGTTGATGAAGTACGTTATGTCACCGCACAAAAACGCAGTGGCAGTGAACACACCTTCACGGATGCAAAAATTGCTGATCCTGCTCATGAGGAGGCTGAGTTTCTGCTGCAGGTAGATCAGCTTCTGGAACATCTGGAACGTGACGATGAGCAATTGGCACGTGTCTTCGAATGTCGTTATTTTGCGGGTTTCACCACTGCGGAAACCTCGGAAGCACTGGGTATTTCCACTCGCTCAGTAGAGCGCATGTGGGCATCCGCTCGAGAACGCATTGCTGCACTCATGCAGGACAGCACCCGGTAAATCTTGTGGTTAGTGCGTTTATAACGGTCATTATCTGTGGTGTTGCGATAAACCACCAGGCCCGCACCGGGCATTAGCCGCTCGATGATTGATTGACGATGATGGTTATTCATTTGCTCGTTCATCTCTATAAGGTCCATTGCCAGGTAATCGACACCTGATCTCGCGCTGCGAATTGACCGAAATTTCCTTTCCGCGTGCCTGAAAAGTTGTCAAACGCCAGGCGTACAATCGTGTCGTCATTCAACTGATATTCAAACCGATTTGAAATCATGGAATCATTGTCTTCTAAGGAAGTGTAGAAACGCAGCTCATATTTCAGCGTGTCGTAGGCGAATGTTCTGCGTACGAATGTGGTGAGGATCTGTTCCGTATCTGGCCGCGTCAGTGTTTCAGGGGCGTTTATGACATGGTCATACAGATACTGGACGTTGATGAATGTTTCGAACGGACCATTTATATCGAAACCAACAGCTGCCCGCCACTGATCCAGTTTTTTGTGCGTAAAAGTTGTTGGTGTGCGGATGTTAAACGTCCGATCATCAATGTATGACGCTTCCAGTCGCAGAACAGCCTGAGAAACAGACGTTTGAGCCGCGAAACCGTAGACTTCCCGGCGGGCGTTGCTTAATACCAGGAAGGGTGTGCCGCCAGGTAAAACGGGAACACCAGCTTCAACAGGTGTTTGTGCATAGGGTTCAAAATCCAGCCCAGACACTGCTACCAGTTGCAGATCGACCCCACCAACGTAGCGTGAGAATCTTATGCCAATTGTACCTTCCTGGTCGTCCGGTCCTGTTGCAACAGTGTCAATGCTGTTGCTGGAGTCCTGGTTGCCAAACTGAAAGCGTGGCGCAGTAAGCGCAAAGCGGGCGTCGGCTGGTGGTATAAAATGCACCGAGGTGTCTGGGATGATGGCGAGTTCGCTACGCCAACCTGCAATGGTTGTGTCCACATAGATGCTCCACAGACCAATGCGCGATGATCCGAAGTCCTCAAGAATAAACTCCTCAAAACTCTGCGGGTTGAGAACATCCAGTACTTTGATGCCATCAAGGGCACCCCAGACAATCTGTTGTTTGCCAAGCCGCAGCTGGCTGCTACCCAGACCCAGTTCCAGATAGGCATCACGAAGTTCGAAAATCCAATACTTGTCAGTGGCGTAGGGTCTGGAAGCACTTGAATAGCTGTGAAAATCCGGCTCGCCGGGTAGAAACTGATCCTGGGCGTCGCCGCGAATACGCCCGGACAATACCCAGGTTTTGTCTCGGCTTTGAGACCACTCGACATATGGCTCAAGCTTAAGCTGTGAACCTACGGATTCATTCTGGTCAGTGCTGTGATAGTGGGTGAGGGTAGTGATCAGCCCGTTGTCCCATCGGTCATACAGAGAATCCGTTGGCGCAGTGCTGCCGAAAGTCAATGTGCAGCCCATGCAGAACCAGGCTGAAGTGATCAGCACGATCAAATGTCTGTTAGTGTCACAACTTACCATGATGCGGGTAATCCCCGGGTCAGGTTAGCGGGCGCGAATACGTCCACAGCAGCTTCAATATCGTGGTTGATGCTTATGTAATCGAATTGAGTTGTGTGACCTGTGATGTGATGTGTGGCTTCAACGGTTGAAGGCGTCCATATACCATTAATCTGACGCAGCCCATCGATTGTTATGGTCTTAAGCGATTTGTTTTTTGGATCCACGAAATCGATTTGTTCTGGGAACCATGTTCTGGCGCTGATGCGCGCTGTGAAACCTCCATAACCCAGTTGTTTGGCAGTAGATTTGTCTACAGGTTTACCCTGGATGACATAGATAGTGTCATCTGCGGCCTGCTCGGAGCCCAGCAGGGTGAAGCTGTAATCGTCCAGGTTGAATTTAAAATCAGATTGCATGTCTTCGAAAGTGAAGTCTGTGCCAAGAAAATAGTCCCCCCGGTCGGATGCGGGAATACGCCGGGTTTTCCCCGCCGCAGGAATATACAGCCAACGCTCGTCATTTTTATTCAGTGTCTGGTGATCACGGCTCAAGAAGGTGAGCTCTCGCACCCGCTTCGGCTCCAGATAAGTAATCCGTGTCAACTTGGCGTCTTCGTCTGAGGCGCGAAACACAACGGCCTGCCGCTGACGTACTCGTCCACGCTTGTCGGTGAGGGTCATCTGTATCGTGCGCGTGGTTTGTTGTGCTTCTGCGCGGTTTGCTACTGCCGCTGCAACTTCCTGGGCTGTGAACGCCTCGCTGGTCGGGCTATAGATTAAGATGGCGATGCCTACAAATGCGAGACTGCCCGTGGTTTTAACAATGGGCGCAATACTGATCTGTTGCAGGCGTTCCCGGAGAACATAACAAGCAGGCACAATTATAAGGGCAGACAGGAAGCTCGCCAACGCAGCTACCGTAACAAGGCCGCCAAAGCGCTGCAGAGTCGGGAGATCTGAGATCATCAGGACAGAAAAACCTACACCCAGCGCGGCGGCGTTAAAAAAGCAGGCGCGTGCGGTACTGGGGACCACCCTGCCAATAATATCGTTCATATTCACGATTTCGCCTTTGTTATCAGCGGTGCGAATCTCATATTGCAGGCGGTCCACCAGGTGAATGGCAAAGTCGACACCTACACCTACTGATATCGCTGCAAACATGCTGGTTGCGGGTTCAAGGTAGATATCCAGGGTACCCATCACGCCATAAATGCACAGCACGGTAAATGTCACTGGAATAACGGCGATGAATCCGACACCGATAGAGCGGAATACGCAGATGGACATAATCAATACCAGCAGAAGAGACAGGGCAACGCCGGTAAAATGACTTTCCTGCAGACGTGTCATCCAATGGAAGGCTACATTTACGTCTCCGGCAATTGTGGCTTCCATTCCAGGCTCAATAAAACTGTTGGATAGATAGTCCTGCAGTTCCAGGACCACTTCGCGGCTGTCGGAAAAGTAGTGGGAGTTCAACACGGTGCGCACTAGAGCGGCGTCGTAGTCTGGCGTAATTTCTTCTTCCAGGTCACTTGGGTCGCCAGATGCTTCATACACCATGAGGTACTGGGCGATGGCGTCGTCGGTGTCAGGCAGGTTTCGGCTCTCGCTCACCTCCTGGTTGTTGATGGCGCTGTGCAGCAGAGTAAGGTAGTCGGCAATACTTACGGTTTTGCTCACATGCTCGTGATCTTCAAGCCATGCCTGGAGGTCAGCAATTTTTTGCATCCGCCGAGCATTCAGCAGACCGTCCGGCTCCTCTGTTGCAATAATGACATCAAGAAAAGCGGTGCCTGCAAATGTATTGTGAATGCGCTCGTCTGCGATGCGAATGGGTTCGTCCGGAGCAAAGTTGTTCACTTGAGATCGGTCAACGCGAAGTTCCAGAGCGCCAGTCACAGCGATCACGATGATCAAAGCAAATGCGCCGACAACTGCGAAGGGATAACGTGCACCCAACAGGCTGACGTTGCCCAGCCATACGCCGATAAAATCCGGACCTTTCATACCAAAATCTGAAAACAGCGGGCTGGGTTTAGGCTGCAGCAACGTTAATACGGCGGGAAGGACAAAAATTGAAAATACCCAGGCCAGCGCTACGCCGAGCATGGCGTACCAGGCAAAATAGGCGATGGGTGGCATGATTGAAATGACCGCGATACCGGTAAAACCAGCGATTGTGGTCAACGTTGTCAGTGTGATGGGGCGTGCCATGGCTAACATGGCATCAATGACAATCAGGCGCGGGTCTGTATCCGGTAAGCGGGCTCTACGTTCAAAGTACGCTGACAGAATATGAATCGCGTCAGCAACAGAAATGGCAACCAGAATAACGGGCAGTGCATTGGTGATAGCAAAGTAGGGGATACCCTGCCACGCCATGATGCCGAGGCTTCCACCAGCAGCACCCAGTAGTACGATGATGGGACCCAACAGCGCTGACGCGCGCATGAATGCAAAATACAGAAAGATAATCACAATCAGGAAGACAACAGGCTGCAAAACACGGGCATCCGCGTCTATATAATCAGACAGATAGCCGCTCACGGCCGCGGGCCCGGCGATATAAAAATCGAGTTCCGGGTGCCCCAGGGTTTCGATGAACTGCTGCACCTCGAGATAGGTGGTTGATGCCTGGCGAGGGTCTATAACCTCCGCCATGATGACGGCGGCCTGCTCATCTGCTGAGACTAAGGTATCGATGTGGGGTGGCATATTGCGCCATCGGCGGGCTGTTTCGCTGATACTGTAGGTATCATCAATGTCTGGATCAAAATAGGGGTCAACGAGAATGCTGCCAGCAGCACCGGTTATGGATGACTCCGACGAAATGCTGGCGATTCGTTCGGGATCGATATTGTCGATCTCACCCAGGGCTGCGGTAATCTGGGCGACAACTGCGAGGGTTTCAGCACTCAATACGCTGTCACCGTTCTTAGTGAAGACCGCCACCGCAATAGGTTCAGTTAAACCAAAAAGTGTTTTGGTCATCTCATTGGCCAGCAGCGATTCGTGCCCTGCGGGAACAAACGCATCGATGGAGGTATCCTTAACCAGACGCGTCAGCCCGCTACCGGCGAGGACGATAAAAAATAAACCCAGCGAGACGGTTAACCAGGGTTTTTTCGTAAGCTGATCGTAGAAATTATAAACGGCGGTGGTCTGGTTCACGGTGTTGCCTCAATGAAGTCGGTTGTTTCCAGCGCGTGGCTAGAGCCTGCTTGTTTGAAAATTGATTCGTCGATGTCCTGCCATTGGCGGATATAGTCGGGCGGCGGTAAGGTCGCTGCGCCCGGACTGACCTGATCGACAACTTTCTGCGTGTTTACCCATTTTGAGCGACTTCGCAGCGCTGCACGACTGACGCCGACAGCGACCTTTTTGCCGTTCAGGTCTACAAAGGTGTGCTCAAAGTAAAACCAGCGTGTGTCCCAATACACCAGTTGTGTGTGCACGTTATAACTCTGCATCAGCTTCAGGGTGCGTCGATAACGGGTCAGCCCACCGCCGAGCACAGCAGACCACTTCTGATCCATCATGGCCGAGAGCACGCCCGTACGGGCCATCCATTCGGTGCGGGATACATCCATGATCTGTAGATAGCGGCCATTGTTCATATGACCAAATACATCCAGATCATGGGGCCATACCCGAAATCGAGTGACGCAGGGTGCGTCATAGTTGAGGCGTATGCGACGCATGCTGGCGATCAGCACGATGATGAGTCGCAGATATAAGTTCATGTGTCCTCCCCGGTATGTTCGATTTAATCCCGCTTGTTTATATAGATCGTAAAACTGCGCCAAACCCCGCCAACTTTTTTTAAATCCAGTTCTGTGCATTAAAACTGCACAAATTTGGTGCGCTAATATTTTGAAGCGCAGCATCTGCACCTTTTTGTAACTTCATGCCCTTTTATTGTTCAAAAAAAGAGCTCGTTTTCTGGCCCACTCTTTGCAACACCGTTGAGCAGGAATATGTCTGAGACACAGGACTAAAACCGTTTCGGACGTTCTTAGCATCCATGGTGGTTAGAGGGAGCCTGATCGTGGCCTACAACAACGCTATACACGCAATTGTGTTTACTGATTTGGACGGTACTTTGCTTGATGACCGTTACGATCTGGCTGGCGCCGCCTACATGTGTAATGAGCTTTATGCGCGAGGCGTTCTGACGATTCCTGTTTCCAGTAAAACCAAAGCGGAACTATCGGAACTGAAAGCCCTTTTTTCCTACGACGCACCGCTGATCAGCGAAAACGGTGCCGGTATTGTCTGGCCGGAATATCTGCAGGCTGCTGTGCTTGAGTATGGCGATCAGTTAAATCAGAGCGAAAGCTTTTCGCCCCCTAAGAGTTATGAACAGATTTGTGAGGTCCTGGAGAAAATAAAGCACGGTCAGAATTTTGTATTCAGCGGTTTTGCTGAGATGTCAGCAGAAGAAGTGGCATTGGCAACCGGGTTGGATATACATGGAGCGGCCCTGGCGAAGCAGCGGTTGGCATCGGAGCCGATTATCTGGAGTGATGAATCAGTTCGCCTGGCTGACTTCAAAGCGCAGCTTAACGCGCACGGCTTACAGCTTGTCGCTGGAGGACGCTTTTATCACGTCATGAACCCTACCGACAAAGGTGTCGCGGCCCGTCGGATGATGCAGGTCATCGCCGCAACCTGCGGCACCAAACTCATCATTCTGGCGTGTGGCGACAGCCCAAATGATAAACCCATGTTGGAAGCCGCGCAGGGCTGTGCGCTTTTCCCGCAACGCGATGGGAGCTACATGACGTGTGCTCACCCCTTTTCTGTAAAGGCAAAATCTGCCGGCGCTTTGCCGTGGCTTGAGGCGGTTAATGAACTGTTATCCAAAGCACCCGAGCTTTCCAAACGAGTGGTTCTACCAGCTTCGAAGCAATAACGAGACTTTATTTTGAGTGACTTTTTTCAGAACGGTATCATTACCACGCTGCATAACCTTTCCAGCAAGGAACTTTCGGACCTGGAAGCTGAGTTAGAACTGTTTGCTCGAGAACGGCCTATGACGCTGGTGTTGCCTTGTCTGTACTCCGAACTCCGCCAGCCAGCACTGGCAACCATTATTGATGAACTTGCTCAGGCTAAGTATCTGTCACACATCGTCATTGGGCTTGATCGCGCCAATGAACAGGAATATCAGCACGCTTTGCAGTATTTCAGCCGCCTGCCCCAGGACCATACGGTGATCTGGAATGATGGCCCTCGTATGAGTGCCGTTGCTGATCAGCTCAGGACATTGAATCTTGCCCCTGGAGAATTGGGGAAAGGCTGTAATGTCTGGTACTGCTTTGGGTTGATCCAGGCGATGGGGCAGGCGAAAGCAGTGGCACTGCATGATTGCGATATCTCCACCTACGATCGAAGCTTGTTGGCACGTTTGTTATACCCTGTAGCCCACCCACGCTTTAACTATGAATTCTGTAAAGGATTCTATGCGCGGGTCGCCGACGGCAAACTGAATGGTCGGGTCAGCCGCCTGCTGGTATCTCCATTGATTCGCACCATGAAAAAAGTCACTGGCGCTCATCCCTACCTGGATTATCTGGACAGCTTCCGTTATCCCCTTGCGGGCGAGTTTTCCATGCGCGCGGATGTGCTCAAAGATCTGCGTATTCCTTCGGACTGGGGATTGGAGATTGGTGTGCTGTCTGAAGTTTTTCGTAACTATTCGACTAACAGATTGTGCCAGGTGGAGGTTGCTGATAACTACGATCATAAACACCAGCCCCTCTCCGCTGAGGACGTCAGCAGTGGTTTGTCACGTATGAGCATGGATATCGCTAAAAGCCTGTTCAAGAAGTTGGCTACATTTGGCACCGTATTTGATATGGGCACCGTGCGCACCATCAAAGCTTCCTATCTTCGTGTCGCCTTAGACCTGATTGAATCTTACGCTAATGATGCAGAAATCAACGGCTTGAATCTGGACCGTGATGCGGAAGAGCGTGCGGTAGAGCTGTTTGCCAGCAATATTCTTAAAGCTGGAGAATCTTTTTTACAGAGCGGTGAGGAAACACCTTACATTCCTTCCTGGAACCGGGTGACTAGCGTTTATCCGAGCGTCTTTGAGGATTTGTTAGCAGCTGTAAGAGAAGATTTTAGTGAGCATACAACTAGGAAGGCTAACAAAGAGTTAAATGCGCTCTAGTTCAAGCCATACAACCTGATAGGGGGCAAGCGCCAGTGCCTGTTCCGCAGCATATGTGGTTTGGGTCAGAAGATCTTTTATGCCGGATGCGTTCAGCAGATCCGGGTCGATAAAACTGCTCAGTGAGACAGATTGGATGTTCGCAGAAAATGAAGCAATGACCAGAACCTTCTGTTGTGTTGCATTTCGTCTGATCACCAGAAGCTGCGCGCCACTGATTATCACTTCCTGGTTTGCTGCCGGGCTGAAGGCAGGCTGCAAACGTCTTACCCGGAGGGCGTGGGTTAAGGCGTTAAAGACTTCGTGCGGTAAGCTGTTGACGTCACTGATTTCCTCCTGGACATTGCTGACATGCAGCTTGCCACGGTTGATTGAGCGCGTACGTCCGGTTCTTTCCACTGCGGCCAGGTCGTTCTGGCTGCCCAACAGCGCGCGCAGATATAAAGCAGGCACACCTTGAAAAGCCAGCAAAAGCTGATGGGCGCCAACGTAGGCGGGAATAACGTCGGCGCTGCCGCCAAACGCCGCAAAAAGAGAGATATTCATCTCGTAAGCTTTCTGCTCGCCTCCACTGGTAGTGCGCATGCTCACAAAACCACCGCGGTCGTGTACGTTGCTGATCAACTTTTCGATGTCTTCGGCTGGCAACAGACCTTCAAGTGGTCGCAGGCCGATACCGTCGTGACTGGCGATGAAATTCAGATACGCACATCCCTCAGGTGGTTGCTGCAGTTCGCTTGCCCAGTTCTGCAGATAGCTGCCGTCGTTGAACAGATAGCTGTACAGCAGCAGAGGCGCCAGGCTGAATTGATACACCATATGCGCTTCGTCCTTTTGTCCGAAGTAGCTGACGTTTTCCTGATGCGGCACATTGGTTTCCGTCAGCAGCACAACGTCGGCCCCCGTGTAATCTATCAGCAGGCGCATGATTTTCACGACCATGTGTGTCTCTGGCAGGCTCATGCAGTTGGTGCCGAGACGTTTCCACAAGAACGCGATGGCATCCAGGCGTATGTAGCGGGCACCACGTTCAATGTAATCAAAGAGGATTTCAATGAACTGACACAGCACCTCCGGGTTGCTGAAATTCAGATCAATCTGATCGTCGCTGAAAGTGGTCCATACATGTTTGGGTCCCGCGTAGGTCTGCACTTCGCTCAGCAGCGGAGTGTTGCGAGGTCTGATTACCTCATCCACGATGGTGTCTGCTGGCAGCTCAATAAAAAAATCACAGCCTGGTGCACAACCATTCACAAAATCCGCAAACCACAGGTGTTCCCTCGAACAGTGGTTGATCACAAGGTCAAACATCAGATCAAAATTTTCGGCCATGGCCTCGATGTCCTGCCAGTCGCCAAGATCAGCGCGCACGCTGTTGTAGTCGACAACTGCAAAACCGTCATCAGAAGTAAACGGGAAAAACGGCAGGATATGTATACCGCTGAAATAGTCAGCAAGATAACTCAGGGCAAACTGGTTCAATACTTGAAGCGGTGGTTTGTCGCCATCAACCAGCGTATCTGCATAGGTGATCAGCAGAACGTCCTGTTCGTCCAGTATTGGTGCGGTGGTCTGGGTGTTCGTTTCTGATGTTCCTGTGCTATCTGCCTGGCGGCGCTTCGACACAGTCTGCAACAGCACTTTGGTCAACTCAGGCGCAACGCCACCGCCATAAAGGTGCGAAAGATACTCCAACAGGTAGTACTGCGTTGCGGTGGTCGGTGGCTCAACCGGGTTTATGCCGCCGCTGTTGCCGCGTAAGTCAGCAAATGCAGTGTCGGTATTTTCTGTTTCTGAATCGTTCAAGGAATGCTCTGTTCTCTGTTAGTGCGAAAGATAACAAATTTCCGCTGCAATTGAGTCAACCGCTATTTACAGGTGCACAACATGGTGCTGCTTGATTGGATAATACTGTTCAGCTATCTATGTGGCATGTTGCTGCTGGCAGCTTATGTCGGGCGGAAACAAGCTAACAGTACAGACTATTTCCTTGCTGGTCGCGGCATGGGCAGTGGTCCGCTCGCAGCCTCGACCATGGCGACTCAGTGTTCTACCAATAGTCTGCTGGGGGCGCCTGCTTTTGTGGGGTTTACACTGGGCGGTGGTTTGCTCTGGCTGCAATATGAACTGGCAGTACCGTTGGCCATGGCAGCGCTGATCTGGCTCATCGTACCGGCTCGGCAGGCGCGGGTAACCTCTATTTATGAGATTCTGGAGCAACGTCTGGGCATTGCGAGCCGCAGATTAGCCAGCGCAGCTTTCCTGTTGTTTCGCGGTGTGGCTACCGGTGTCACGATCTACGGTGTTGCGCTGATCCTGAGTGCGATTCTCGGCATCTCGTTCACCTGGTCTGTTGTCTTGTTAATGGCGATAACGATTTTTTACGATGTGCTGGGTGGGCTGCGGGCAGTTGTACTCAGTGATCTTATTCAACTTGGCCTGTTGGTGACGGCTGTCTGGGTCAGCGTATTCCTGCTGGCGGATGCCACCAGCTGGTCAGCTTTCTTTGCCGATCGTACTGATACACTGGTTAATGATTGGGGTTTCAGCGGTAATGATTACGGGTTCTGGCCCATGCTCATAGGTGGCTTCTTTCTATATATGGCGTATTACGGGTGTGACCAGAGCCAGGCGCAGCGCGTTCTGGCTGCAGACAGTGACGCGGGTTCGCAACGTGTTCTGCTGTTAAATGGTCTGCTCCGCTTTCCACTGGTATTCAGTTATTGCCTGTTGGGCATGGGGCTGGCGGCGTTTGCCAGCGCCCATCCGGAGTTCATCAATACGTTGCCGCAGACGTCAGCGGGCCTGCCGAATTTCAACATGGTTTTTCCTACCTATGTGATGAATTATTTTGCACCTGGCTTTGTAGGCCTGGTTATGGTGGGTTTGATTGCGGCAGCAATGTCCTCAGTTGATTCGGCAATCAACTCCCTCTCCGCGGCTACCATGGAAGATTTTGTGAAGCCGTTTAAAGCGTTAAACGAACGCCAAACCCTCACGTACTCGCGTGTCACCACGTTGTTGTGGGGGCTTTTCAGTATCGGGTTTTCTTTCCAGGTTGAGCAGATTGCGCCCACGGTGCTGGAAGCCATCAACAAGATTGGCTCGATGGCCAACGGCCCTCTGCTGGCGATGTTTGTGGTTGCACTGCTGGTGCGAGGGGTCAGCCAGAAAGCTGCGCTGAGCGGTTTTGTCGTTGGGCTGTTGGCCAACATTGTGGTGGCGCTGTTGTTACCGCAAGTGTCCTGGCTCTGGTGGAATGTGATTGGCCTGGGGGCTTCGCTGTTAACGACATTGATCATACAAATGATTCAGGGGCTTGGCGTGAGTCGTGCTTTTTACAGTTATCCGCCGAGGCGCCGGACAGTATCTGCTCTGCTGGTGATGGCCTTGTTTATACTGGGATGTTGCCTCTACCTGGACCAACTGAACGGCTGACCTTGTTGCAGCCGCACCAGAATGTGGCATTTGTCGCAGAACTTTCTAAGATGCCGCCACGCTCTGTTAAACCAAAAGAGCTGCTACGGCACAAGAAGTACCGTTTTCTCTGAATGTTCAAACCCAGGAAGACATACAACGCGCGGGTGCCTTTGTCAGTGGCCTGCCGTATGCCGGAGCAACCGGTGCAGAAGTCACCAGTATTGACCTGGAGCTTGATCCCTACACGTTGGTGAACCTCAATGCGGGATTCATCAGCCAGAACTGGGAAGCGGCGTTTCTTCTAAACGCCAGGCAGGTCGGCAAGTCCCATGTAACGGGGTGCAATTGCGCCCCGTTATCTGCCCTTAAATTCCGGTGGTCGTCTCTCAACAAACGACTGCACGCCTTCGTTGAAGTCCTGTGACTTAAACAGATTGAGTACAGACATCAGCACGTGATGAGAGTGACTTTCGAAATCTTGTGTCAAGCCGTGTCGGAAAAGGCGCTTAATCTCTGCAATGGCCAGTGGTGCATTGCCCGCAATTTTTTCCGCCCACTGATTGACCGTGTCAGAAAAGTCCACATCCGCACAGGCAGTGTTGGCCAGGCCATACTCAACGGCCGTCTGAGCATCCATATTGTCACCCAGCATGGCCACCTCGCAGGCTTTAGCCCAACCTAATAATCTGGGTAAATACCAGGTGCCGCCGCTTTCGGGCACCACACCCATTTTGGCAAAGCCCGGCATCAATACCGCGCTTTCGCTCATGATGCGCATATCGCAACCCAGGGCCAGATCCAGACCATACCCGGCAGCCACCCCATTAATGGCGCCGATGACTGGCGTATCCATACGTTGCAGGGTGACCGTACATATTTCCCTGGTCGAGTAGTGTCTGGCGCCGGCGGATGCCAGATCGGCACCGCCAATGCCTTCCCCTGATGCAGCTTGTTTGAGGTCCAGCCCGGAACAGAAGCCACGTCCGGCGCCGGTCAATACAACGACACGTACATTGGCGTCATCGTCGGCTGCTTTAAACGCATCGTTGAGTTCCGCAAGCATGGTAGACGTGATGGCATTCATGGCTGCTGGTCGGTTTAAAGTAATCCAACGCACATGGCTTTTGTCTTCAGTTAGCACTTCGTTCATAACAGAGTCCTGGGGTTCGAAAAGACTCAGTATACAAATTTCACAGCGCCGCCCACAGCTGTTGAGCCTGTTGATGATGTTGTGCCATCAATCCTGGCAGATCTATATTCACCAGCGCGCCGCCCTGTACGCGCCATTGCCCGTTAATCATCACCGCTTCAGCATGATCCGCCCCACATAAGATGAGAGCGGCGAGCCCGTCTTCGCTGCCACTGAAGCGTGGCTCGTCCAGCTTGAATAGAGCAATATCGGCGGCAGCGCCTGGCGACAATCGACCCAGCTCCGGGCGGTTCAGGAGATTGGCACCTCCCTGGGTCGCCCAGCGCAAAGCATCAAGGTGTGAGGTTAATTGGTCGGTTGGCGCTTGTGATGATTCTCCGAGGCGTTGTATTAACAATGCCTGACGTACTTCCTGGATCAGGTTTGAGCAATCGTTCGACGCTGAACCGTCAACGCCCAGCGCAAGGTTTACTCCCGCAGCTTCCAGGTCGGCCGCTGGGCATATTCCCGAGGCCAGAATCATGTTTGAGCTGGGGCAGTGGCTCACCCCGCAGCCTGCGGAGCCCAGCCGTTTTATCTCGTTGGCATTAAAGTGAATGCCATGGGCAAACCACGCTCTGCTGTTTATCCAGCCTAACTGATCCAGATAGTCGACTGGTCGAAGGCCGAACTGTTCCAGACAAAATGCCGTTTCGTCGTGGGTTTCAGCCAGGTGTGTATGTAGCAGTACGTCATGTTCTTCGGCTAATTCCACACAGGCCTGCATAAGTTCTGCAGTGACAGAAAAAGGTGAGCACGGTGCCAGTGCAATCTGCGTCATCGCGTATGGCGTGTTCTGATGGTAACTGCGAATGAGGCGCTCGCAGTCATCCACAATGGTCTGCTGGCTTTGTACGATGTTGTCAGGTGGTAGCCCGCCTGATGACTGTCCGAGACTCATTGACCCTCGGGTCAGCACCACACGTACACCAAGATGATCCGCAGCCTGAACCTGTCTGTCGATGGCCTCATCCAGCTGATCTGAAAAAACGTAGTGGTGGTCTGTTGTGGTGGTGCATCCGGATAACACAAGCTCTGCAAGAGCAAGCTCACTGGATACTCCAATCATATCGTTGGTTAGATTTGCCCAGATCGGATATAAAGCAGTAAGCCAGGGAAACAGGGGTTTGTTCAGGGCAGCTTTTTTGGCTCGGGTCAGGGTCTGGTAAAAATGATGGTGGGTGTTGATTAAGCCGGGCAGCAAAACCATGTTGCTGGCATCAAAAACAACATCTACTGAGCCACTGGGTACTTCACCTGACGCCAGCACTTCGATAATTGTATTGTCGGATATGATCACACCACCGTCTGCGGTACCTGATCGCTGACCGTCAAAACTGGCGCACGGGTTTTTAATCCATGTGGTGGTCACAGAAAAATTACCTGTACGGTCTACAGGAAAACAAATTTGGCTATAAAAATGGTCGCGATGACATACACAGCTGCCGGGCATTGGCGTGCGCCGCCACTACATAGCTTTATGCCAGCATAGGTGATGAAGCCGATACCGATGCCGTCGGCAATAGAAAAAGACAGCGGCATGGCCAGGGCTGTAACCACTGCGGGTGCAGATTCCGTGATGTCCTGCCAATCCAGATCAGCCAGACCTTTTGCCATCAGGCAGGCAACAAATAACAAAGCTGAAGCTGTTGCGTAGGCAGGGATGCTCTGCGCCAGGGGCGCAAAAAACAGGCAGGCGAGAAAGATCAGGCCAACAAATATGGCCGTCAATCCGGTACGTCCGCCAGCTTCGACCCCCGCTCCGCTTTCAATGTAGCTGGTTGTCGAAGAGGTGCCGACTAAAGCACCGATCACGGTCGCCCCGGAGTCTGCCAGCAAGGCTTTGCCTAAGCGCGGTAGCTTGCCATTCTGGTCCACTAAACCTGCCCGTGTAGCAACACCCACCATGGTCCCCGCCGTGTCAAATACGTCGACCAGCAGCAGCGTGATGATTACCGTGACCATGGAGATGTTGAATGCAGCGGCTATATCAAGTTGTAGAAATACCGGTGCGGCTGAGGGAGGTAGCGCAATGATGCCTTGAAATTCTGCCTGCCCGGTCAGCCAACCGATAATGGTGACGCCGAGCATGCCAATAATGACGGCACCAACTATTTTTCTGGCGGTCAGGGCGACGATGAGAAAAAAGCCTAACAGACAAAGAAAGGCCGGAGCACTGCTCAAATCGCCCAGGCTGACCATGGTGGCAGGATGAGCAACTATGATGCCGGCATTGCTTAATGCAATGAAACCGATAAACAGACCAATACCCGCAGCGATGCCCAGTTTCAGATTCCGTGGGATAGCGTTGATCAGCCATTCGCGTATGGGTAGGGCACTTAGAATCACAAACAATATTCCCGACAGAAACACGGCGCCGAGCGCGGCCTGCCATGTGTGTCCCATGCCAAGGACAATCGCAAAGGTGAAAAAAGCGTTCTGCCCCATACCCGGAGCCTGAGCGATAGGATAGTTGCCAAGTAGACCCATGAGGATAGAGCCAACGGCGGCGGCGATGCAGGTCGCAACAAAAACTGCGCCGAAATCCATGCCTGCCTGCGACAGTACCGAGGGGTTGACCACGGTTATATAGGCCATTGTCAGAAAGGTTGTAAAGGCTGCGGTGCCTTCAACGCGGACACTGGTGCCGCGCTCGGAAAGCTGAAAAAACTGATCAATAGATGGCATGGACGATCTCGTGGCAGCGGCGGTGTGTGTTGTTTTTTGTCAGAAACCGCTGCATGCGGTTACCTTAGCGCGATATCTGTTGCGCGCCAATGCCCTCTGAAAGTATGCGTAAGCTAAATCAAATCGGTTTCTCTGCCGCACCAATATTGTTCACGCCGGCCTGGTCTGCACTCATTTGGAGCGCGACGCGTTTAGCGTTGGGACATTTTACGTGTTCGCTCATGGACGGCGGTAGAAAGCTTGCGCACAATGCCGTTTGACGCTGTTGGTTTTCGAGTGATGAAAGTAGAAGTGAGCACAGGTGCAGGCATTGAGACAGCTTCAGGCGAGGCCCAGCAGGGTTGGCGTGCAAGTCTCAGCCTGAATTACAGTCAGGTAGGCGCGCGGACGCTTCTGGCCCACCAGCACACTGGTCCCCTTCGAGTGCAGCGACCCTTCTTTCCGGAAGGAGGTGTTAATCACACGTATGTACTGCATCCTCCCGGCGGAATGGTGGGTGATGATGTGTTGGATATTGCAGCCTCTGTTGGCGCCTCTACGCATACACTGATCACTACGCCCGGTGCTACAAAAGCCTATCGCAACGTATGCACACAGTCGCGCTTAACCACCACCCTGCAGGTGGACGGCACCCTGGAGTGGTTGCCGCAGGAAGTTATCCTGTTCGATAAAAGTAAACTGGCCAGCCAGACACAGATTATTCTGGGTCGACAAGCGCGGTTAATCAGCTGGGAGATTGTGTGTCTGGGGCGTCCAGCGGGCGAGCTGCCTTTTGTCGACGGCTACGGCCGCTTTCTGACGACGGTACAAGACTCAAAAAGGCTACTGTTGCACGACAGTCTGATGCTGGACGCAAAATCTTCATTTATGACTTCGCCCTGGGGTCTTAATCAGAACACGGCGATTGGCGTAATGCTTGCATATCCCGGCACTACCGAGCTGCGAGACAAAGTGCGGGATGTCCTTCCCTCTGCCAGTTTCCCTGTTGGCGTTACCTTGTTAAACGATCTGCTTGTGATTCGTGGCATGGCTGCGCAGGCGCAGGATCTGCGGCGGATCTTTATCCAGGTCTGGGAACTTATTCGTCCGCTGCTTCTGGCGCGCGCAGCCTGTCCACCCCGAATCTGGAACACATAGAGCTGGAACATATAGAGTTGGAATATATAGATCAGGATCACTTAGATCGCGAAGAAGAGAGAAACAGATAAATGGAACTCACACCTAGAGAAAAAGATAAGCTGCTTCTGTTTACAGCCGCGCTGGTGGCGGAAGGCAGGCTTGCCAGAGGCGTCAAACTTAATTATCCCGAGGCAGTTGCTCTTATTTCTAATGCGATTGTGGAAGGGGCGCGGGACGGCCGGCGGGTGGCAGATCTGATGCATTACGGCACCACGCTGCTGAGCGCAGACCAGGTGATGGAAGGCGTTGCGGAAATGATTCACGAAGTACAGGTAGAAGCGACTTTCCCCGATGGCACAAAACTGGTGACGGTACACAATCCCATTCCGCACGAACCGGGTCTGATTCCTGGGGAGGTGCTGGTTGCTGAAGGTGATATCGAACTCAACGCAGGCTTGGCGACACGTTCGATCACTGTCGCCAACTCAGGGGATCGACCCATTCAGGTGGGCTCCCACTACCATTTTTTTGAAACCAACAACGCCTTGATCTTTGATCGTGAGGCAACGCGTGGCATGCGGCTGAATATTGCCGCGGGTACAGCCGTGCGCTTTGAACCCGGCCAGGAGCGCGATGTAGAACTGGTGGACTTTGCCGGTGAGCGAAAAGCTTATGGCTTTCAGGGCAAGGTGATGGGTGATATGGGGAGTGCGCAATAATGGCGAAGCTTTCAAGACAGGCTTATGCGGATATGTTTGGCCCTACCGTTGGGGATCGGGTGCGTCTTGGCGACAGCGCGCTGATTATTGAGGTAGAAGCAGACCACACCCGTTACGGCGATGAAGTAAAGTTTGGTGGCGGTAAAGTGATTCGGGATGGCATGGGGCAAAGCCAGCGAACTTCTGAACATGTTGTTGATACGGTCATTACCAACGCCTTGATCGTGGATCACTGGGGTATTGTTAAGGCTGATGTGGGTATTAAGGCAGGCAGAATATTTGCGCTTGGCAAAGCGGGAAACCCTGATACCCAGGCTGGTGTCGATATCGTGATTGGCCCCGGCACCGAAGTGATCGCCGGCGAAGGTCAGATCCTAACCGCGGGCGGGATCGATGCGCACATTCATTTTATCTGTCCACAGCAGGTGGACGAAGCATTGATGTCCGGCATAACTACCATGTTGGGGGGCGGTACAGGTCCGGCAACCGGAACCAACGCGACTACGTGCACCCCGGGACCGTGGAATATTCATCGCATGTATCAGGCAGCAGATTCGTTGCCGGTTAACATCGGTTTTCTGGGCAAAGGTAACGCCAGTTTGCCCGATGCTCTGAAAGAGCAGGTGGAAGTCGGCGTGATGGGTTTGAAGCTACATGAAGATTGGGGCACAACCCCGGCGTCTATAGATAATTGTTTGAGTGTGGCAGAACAGTATGACATTCAGGTTGCGATCCATACCGACACCCTGAACGAATCCGGGTTTGTTGAAGACACGCTGGCTGCATTTAAAGGCCGCACTATCCACACCTACCATACTGAAGGAGCCGGCGGCGGGCATGCGCCGGATATCATCAAGGCGTGTGGTTCGGCTAACGTTTTACCTTCGAGTACCAATCCAACACGACCATATACCGTGAATACCATTGATGAACATCTGGATATGTTGATGGTCTGCCATCACCTGGATCCCAGTATCCCCGAAGATGTTGCCTTTGCTGAATCCAGGATTCGTCGGGAAACGATAGCGGCAGAAGACATTCTGCATGATCTGGGTGCATTTTCGATGATCGCCAGCGATTCACAGGCGATGGGTCGTGTAGGCGAGGTTGTATGCCGAACCTGGCAAACCGCGCACAAGATGAAAACCCAACGTGGCCCGCTACCCGAAGACAGCAGTCGTGCCGACAACCATCGTGTAAAACGATACATCGCCAAGTACACAATCAATCCCGCGCTTGCTCACGGCATCGCCCATGAAGTGGGTTCCATCGCCGTAGGAAAACTCGCCGATCTGGTGTTATGGAAACCCGCTTTTTTTGGCACCAAACCCAGCCTGATCATAAAGGGTGGATTTATTTCCGCAGCGCCGATGGGGGATCCCAACGCGTCGATACCCACCCCTCAACCGGTGATGTATCGACAGATGTTTGGCGCGTTGGGCGCCGTGCGTAACCATACTTGTGTGAGTTTTATGTCTAAGGCAGCGATTGACCTTGGCGTTGCAGAATCGATAGGTTTAAAAAACAGGGTAGTGGGCGTAACAGGCTGTCGTACGGTGCAGAAAAAGGACATGTTATTGAACACTTACCAGCCGGATATTGAAGTGGACCCACAAACCTACGAAGTGCGGGCCGACGGTAATTTGCTGACTTGTGAGCCCGCAACGGAGTTGCCCATGGCACAAAAGTATTTTCTCTTCTAAGCATGCTTGAACTAACAGAAAAACTGAGTAAACCCGAATCCAGCACCGGGGTGCTGGCATTGCCTTTTGAGATTCGCCAGAAGAGTCGTTTCCGCGCGGTTTTAGCTGATGGGCGCGATGTGGCCGTTGTCATCGAGCGGGGCTCGGTGCTCAGACATGGCGATTGTCTGGGCGACAGCACCGGTGAGGTGATATCTGTTGAAGCTGCACCTGAACGTGTTTCGACGGTGAGTGCTAACAACATTACTCAGCTGGCTCGGGCAGCCTATCACCTGGGGAACCGTCACGTGCCTCTGCAGGTTGGGAGTGGCTGGGTACGCTACCTTGCAGATCATGTGCTTGATGGTATGTGTGAACAGCTTGGTCTGGAGATCAGGCACGAAGATGAACCCTTCGAGCCGGAAGCTGGCGCGTATGGACATCATCACCATCATGAGTGATGTCCGTCTCTGGCAATTGATCAGTTCTACTTTGCCGGTTGGGGCTTATGCTTATAGTGGAGGACTGGAAACGGCTGTTGAACTTGGCTATGTGAATGACTTTATGTCCTGCAAAGACTGGTTGGCTGGACTGCTCGGAGAGTCGTTTGCTTTCAATGATTTACCGATGTATTTCCGTCTCTACGATCTGTGGGAAAAACAGGACCTTCATGCAGTGGTGCAGGCTACCGAGAAGCTGCAGAGCCTGCGGGAAACTCAGGAGTTGCTGGCCGAAGACAGGCAGACCGGCGCTGCTCTGCAGCGACTGATGCTGGACCTTGATGTCGCTGATGCCGGTGTCTTGCCGCAGCCAAGTTTTGCCACCATGTTTGCGCTGGCCTGTGTTCGTTGGGATGTTACGCGCACTGACGGCGCTCATGGTCTGGTCTGGGCCTGGCTTGAAAATCAGGTTGCAGCCGCAATCAAACTGGTGCCATTAGGGCAAACCGATGGACAACGTCTGTTGCTGCAGCTTACGTACGAATTGCAACAGGCAGTGACCACCGCTGATTTGTTGGATGATGCAGACATAGGTCGCTCGCTGCCGGGCCTGGCGCTGCTGAGCAGTTGGCATGAAACGCAATACAGCCGATTGTTTCGCAGCTGAAGCAAACATGTGGATTAAATAAGAGGTTGGATGAATGAATAAAACAGCATTACGTGTCGGCATCGGTGGTCCGGTAGGCTCGGGGAAAACCGCACTCACTTTAGCTTTGTGTCAGCTGTTACGGGACACGTTCAGTATCGCTGTGGTCACCAATGATATTTATACCCAGGAAGATGCGCAGTTTCTGACCCATCATGGCGCGCTGCCCGCTCAGCGTATCCGGGGTGTTGAAACAGGAGGCTGTCCGCATACTGCCATACGTGAAGATGCTTCTATGAATCTGGCAGCTATTGCGGAACTCCAGGATCTTCACGGAAATCTGGATATCATTTTTGTAGAAAGTGGCGGCGATAATTTGAGCGCTACTTTCAGTCCTGAACTGTCAGACCTGACGATCTATGTCATCGACGTTTCTGCGGGAGACAAAATTCCCCGCAAGGGTGGCCCGGGTATTACCAAATCAGATCTGCTGGTCATCAACAAAATTGATCTGGCGCCTTATGTAGGGGCATCACTGTCTGTTATGGATACAGATGCTAAACGCATGCGAGGGGAGCGACCCTTTGTTTTCACTAATTTGAAAGAATCAACGGGTCTGAACGATATTGCCGAATTTATAAAACATCAGGGTTTATTGACCGCCTGAAACTGGCCTGGCAAAGCGGAGGCGGGGATATACACAGCTTCGCTGAGTGAGAATTCATCACAGTTCGGTTGTGAGTCATCACTGTCGACGATAAGAAAGGTGGCGCCTGGTTGAAAAGCGATCAGCGGCATATGCCAGGTGCCACGGTGATATTGAATGCTCTGTTGTCCATTACTGACAAAGCCCATTAATTCTCCGGGTTCGCCATTAGAAGTAGACTCCGCAACTACAATAATCATCTGTTGCTGCTGCAGGGGGATGAAAGCCTGGCTACCCAGAGGGTGCCTTTCCAGCAGAGTGATCGGGTAAGGAAGTTGTGTTGCCTGTAAACACTGGGCAATGCTGATGATTGCGTGGCAACCGGGCGCTACGTCGGTGGTGGCAAGATTATCGAAACGAAGAAATCTAGCATCGTTCATCGGTTTGCGATCGTCTTCTGCTTTGTCATCACTTCTGGTTTCTATCACCTGACCGAATGGCGCAAACAGTTCCTGGGACAGGGGTTGTAGCTGTAGTTCCTGTTTCACAGAGTTAGGCTTCCAAAAGTGAGGGTATGCCGCGTAGTCGGATCCGGCTGATTCCACCATCCGGGAAAATATCCATACGTACGTGGGTGATAGCATCGTGGGGTTTCAGATCGGTGAAGGTATGAATATGGTCCATTGTCAGCTTTTGTTCAGCCATTAACAGCGGCCAGTTTGCTGAGGCTGTTGCCAGGTCTTCTTTTGTGTCGACATGCAGGTTGATACATTTAAGAGAAACCCGATCTGGGTAATTTCCTTTAAAGTGCGCGGTATCAATTTCAACTTCACTGATGATGCCGGGTGTGCCCAATTGCAGGATAACCCAATCGTTACCTGGTGTGCGTCGTCGAGCCGTTTCCCAGCCGTCGCCCATGTTCACGCCACGGCCGGGAATATTGAGATTGTGCATGCTGCCAAAATGTTCGTCATTGCAGGCTAAGGCTCGCCCACCATTCTCCAGAGCAAACAGATCGGTAACGCTTCCTGGCGGATGTTGTTGCCATTCTTTGCGGATTTCACCGTAGACGCGTAAACGCGCGACACCGCCGTCCGGGAATATGTTCAGCCGCAGGTGGGTGACCGGCTGTTCATATCTGACTGGCATGAACAGGTGACTATCTCCTGCCAGCTTGCTGTTGGGCACAATGTTTACCCATTCTGCTGTCTCGGCAGGGATCTGCGCATTGCTGTAGCACGCATCTATAGACGCAGCCGGTGGATAATTGCCTGTGAAATGAGAGGTATCGATATCAAAGCCGTGGATGATCCCGGGTGTACCCAGTTTAACGATGCAGTAGTCATAGCCGGGTGTACGTTTGCGCCGGCTCTCCCAGCCGTCCATCCATTTGCCATTGTCATCGTACTTATCCGGGATGAAGACAGGCGGTTTGGGGTCAATCAGCCTCGATTTATCTGCAAAAAAATCATCCGTTGCATAAACCACCTGGCTGCCCAGGCGTGGTTGCGCGAGATCTATCCATTGGTGGAACGGGTGCGGGGTACTACTCAAAACAGTTGCTCCAGACGTAGACGGGCAATTTTGTGAATCTCGGCGATGGCCTTATCAAATTCTGTGTCGTAGCTGTTTTCCAGACGTTCTTTAAAGGCCGCCATGATTTTGTGCCGATTGCTGTTTTTCACGGCCATGACAAACGGGAAGGTGAATTTCTTTTTGTAGTCCTGGTTGAGCCGCTGCAAAGTGGCAAATTCCTCAGGACTGCATTGATCCAAACCCGCGCTGGCCTGTTCGTCTGTAGAGGCGGCGGTGAGTTCACCAGCCACCGCCAGACGACCGGCAAGATCAGGGTGTGCGCGGATCAGCGCAAGGCGTTTGCTTGTCTCCGCCTGGTCGACAATCGCGGACATAATGGCCGATAGTTCCGCCGCTGTGGATGCCTTTTGGCCCTCTGCCCAACTGCTCTGTGCGATCCAGGGTGAGTGCTCATAAACGCCACCATAGCGCTGCACAAAAGCGTCCTGATCCAGTGTCATGTTGTCTTACTCTGCAGGGGATGAGCGGCCCGCCAGTGGTTTGCGATATCTACACGTGTGCAACACCATACGCCTTCTTTTTTCTGGACATAATCCAGAAAACGCGCGAGAGCAGCGGCGCGCCCAGGTCTGCCAGCAAGCCTGCAATGTAAACCGACGGACATCATTTTTGGCGATACCTGACCTTCGGCATACAACTGCTCAAATGTGTCGATAAGGTAGTCATAGAACTGGGTGCCGGTATTAAAACCCTGGGCTGTAGCAAACCGCATATCGTTAACGTCCAGTGTATAAGGCACCATCAACTGCGGATTGGCAAATTGTGTGTCCCAGTAGGGCAGATCGTCTGCATAGCTGTCTGCGTTGTACAAAAAGCTGTTGTTCTGGGCGACCAGCTTATGGGTATTGGGGCTTGTTCGCCCCAGGTACCAGCCTTGAGGAGCTGCGCCTGTGACCTCCTGATGAATATCGATGGCCTGCTGCAGGTGGTGGCGTTCCGTTTCCTCGTCGATGAACTGATAGTCCAGCCAGCGGTATCCGTGGCTTGCAATCTCCCAGTCAGCAGCATTCATCGCGGCCACTGCATCGGGGTTGCGGGCCAGCGCCATGGCGACGCCAAACACGGTGACCGGCAGCTGGCGTTCGGTAAACAGACGATGCAGTCGCCAGAATCCTGCTCTAGCGCCATATTCATAGAGACTCTCCATGCTCATGTGACGCATGTTCTGATAGGCCTGGGCGCCAATAATTTCCGAGAGAAACGCTTCTGATTCGTTGTCGCCGTGGAGCAGGCTGCGTTCGCCGCCCTCTTCATAGTTGATCACAAACTGCAGTGCCAGCTTCGCCTGGCCTGGCCAATCCGCTTCCGGTGGTTTTTGCCCATAGCCAATGAGATCTCTGCTGTAACGCTCTGTCATAATCTATTCACCGGGACTTGCTGCTGTTTGTGCTTCTGGACGTGTTGCATACCAACTGGCAATTCTGCTTCTTTCCTCTTCCGTTATCTGCGTCAGATTGCCGATAGGCATCGCACGACTGACAACGGTTTGTTCGTAAATCCTCGATGCCTGCGCCTGAATCTGTTCTGTAGTTTCTAACACGACGCCTCCCGGTGGGCTGGTATAGGCAGCAAATGTAGGCTGTTCCGCGTGACATGAAACACATCTGGTAAGAATGATGCTGTGTGCTTCATCAACAGAGACGGCTGTAGCAGTGACGTCAGACCGTTTTGCGGGTGCCAGCGGAACCGCGACAAGCGCGATTAAGCCAAGTGCGACTGCCACCGGCCATAGCGGCGCTTTGCCTTTGTGGCGGGTTACAAAATAGTAACGGATCAACGCGCCAGCAAGAGATAAAGCAATCAGAATCAGCCAGTTATAGGCGTGGGAGTAAGTTGAAGCGTAGTGATTGCTGATCATCACAAACAAAACCGGCAACGTGAAATAAGTATTGTGAACCGAGCGTTGTTTGCCTCTGATACCGTATTGTGGATCTGGCGCTTTCCCTTCCTGGGCAGCGCCAACCATGCGCTTCTGACCTGGAATGATGACAAAAAATACGTTAGCCACCATGATCGTGCCGAGCACCGCGCCGTAGTGAATGTATGCCCCTCGGCCACTGAATACCTGACAGAGTGCCCACGCTAACAAGCTGACAAATAAGAGAATGCTGATTGCCAGCGTTGTATCGTTTTTACCTAAAGGTGACTTACATAGAAGATCATAGATAAGCCAGCCGCCGGCAATAAATCCGATGGCCAGACTCACTGCGGCTAACGCGCTGATTGAGTTAACCGACTGATCGATCAGGTAAATTTCAGCGCCGTACCAGTACATCAAAGCAAGCAGGAAAATTCCGGAAATCCAGGTGCTGTAAGCCTCCCATTTAAACCAGTGGAGCGGCTCAGGCATCTGGTCAGGTGCGCTGATGTATTTCTGTGCATGGTAGAAACCGCCACCATGAACAGACCACACTTCGCCGCCAACACCTTTTTCGCTGTCCTGCTTGTCTCGTGGAGGCAACAGATGGTTATCGAGCCAGACGAAATAGAACGATGAGCCGATCCAGGCAATACCCGCAATGATATGGAACCACCGGCCAAGCAGGCTCAGCCAATCAACGATGTACGGCAGCATGTATTGTATCCGTTTGGTTTGTTTGTGCAGCGACCTCAAGATGCCGCAATAGTTGTGCGGCGATGGTGATGGCAATTTCGCCAGGACGTTTACTCGTGACCGCTGTGTCACCAACAGGGCAGGTCAGGCGATTGATCTGCACTTCGTCTAACCCCGCCTGTCTGAACAGGCGTTGAAAACGCTGACGCTTAGACTGTGAGCCAATCAGGCCGTAGAAGCACAAGTCGTCCCGTTTAAGCATTGCGGCACAAATATCAAAATCCAGGGCGTGGTTATGGGTCATCACTACGCAAGCGGTTTTTGCTGCGAGCGCGCTGACATAAGCGGCTGGTTGTTTCTGGTACGTTGATTGAATATTCGTGGCGGCATCAAGCGGTAACTGCTGCGGACGATTGTCGATACAGATCACCTGATAATTCGTCTGGGTCAGGATATTAACCAGCGCAGTACCGACATGTCCGGTACCAAAAATTGCAATCGCCGCCGTTGCAGGTTGGATGTGTTCAACCATTGTGGTTTTACCGACGGCAGGATGATGTGCACTGAATGCCTTCTTGCCTGGCTCATCGGCAAGGTCGGTTGTCAGATAGCCGCTTTGTCCCTGTGCCAGTGTTTCAGTCACCTGCTGTTGCCAGGTGGTTGGTGCTGCTCTGAAAGTTTCAAACAAGATGTCGACAACACCGCCGCAGCATTGACCGCAGTTACTGCCGAGTGGAAAGTTCCGCACAAAGGCTGTATTGCCACTGTTGCCTTCGAGTAACTGGTTACTGATGGCCTGACATTGGTACTCCAGTTCACCGCCGCCAATGGTACCTCTGGTGATGTCTGTGGTGACCCACATCCTGGCGCCCACTTCCCGTGGCGCAGAGCCACGTACCCGGGCGACCGTGATCATCACTCCGCGTTGTTGGGGAGACAGTGTTGCCTGTAGCTCGCTGAGTTGTTGCAGCCAACCGATCAAAACGTTGTCTCCGCCAGCGAAGCTTTAAGAATAGCTTCCGGAGTTGCGGGTGCGGTGAGTGGCGGACGCGGGTTACTGGGTGTTGCGATTGCATCGCGCAGGGCAAAGAAAGTAGACAGCGCCAGCATCAGCGGCGGTTCACCAACTGCCTTGGAGCGATAGATGGTCTGTTTATGGTTGGCCGCTGATTCAAGGATGTTTACCCTGAAATCAACAGGTGCATCTGCAATGGTCGGGATTTTGTAGGTTGATGGTGCGTGGGTTTTTAAAACACCTTCTGCATCCCAGTGCAGTTCCTCGGTTGTCAGCCAGCCAACACCCTGGATAAAGCCACCTTCGATCTGACCGAGATCGATTGCGGGATTAAGAGATTTGCCGCAATCATGCAGAATGTCGGCTCGCAACAGGCGGTTCTCGCCGGTCAGGGTATCCACCACAACCTCAGACACCGCAGCACCATAGGCAAAATAATAAAAAGGATTACCGGCGAACTGTTCCTGATCGAAGTGGATGTCTGGCGTTGCATAAAATCCGGTAGCAGATAAAGACGTGCGCGCTTCGTAAGCGAGTTTAATCAGCTCGCTGAAAGTCAGCCGGTGTTGTCCTGCCTTAACGTGATTGTTTTTAAACTCAACGGATGCGGGATCTGTGTTGAAGTGCTCTGCAGCAAACCTGATCAGTCGTTTTTTTATTTTCCGCGCGGCGTCGGCTGCGGCTTGCCCGTTCAGGTCTGAACCACTGGAGGCTGCGGTGGCAGAAGTATTGGGTACCTTAGCTGTATCGGTGGCTGAAATTTTTATCCTTTCCAGGTCGATCTGAAATTCGTGGGCGACAACCTGTGCCACCTTGGTAAACAAACCTTGTCCCATTTCAGTGCCACCATGGTTCAGATACACCGTGCCATCGCTGTAAATGTGAATCAGGGCACCTGCCTGATTGAGATGGGTGGTGGTAAATGAGATGCCAAATTTTACCGGTGTCATGGCGATGCCACGCTTCAGCAGGGTGTTTTTATCATTGAATGTTTTGATCTCGGCACGGCGGGCTCGATAATCTGAGCTGCTTTCCAGCGTGTCGAAAATCTGCTGGATGATGTTGTCTTCGATAACCTGTTTGTAAGGGGTGACATTCCGCTCATTGACGCCGTAAAAATTGGTTCTCCGTACGTCTAATGGATCCAGACTCAATGCGCGACTGATATCGTCTATGACATACTCGATCGCAAACATGCCTTGTGGGCCGCCAAAGCCGCGAAAAGCAGTGTTGGAGACCGTATTTGTTTTACACCGATGAGACGTGATGTGTGCGTTGGCCAGATAGTAGGCGTTATCGCAATGAAACATGGCTCTGTCATTGATTGCGCCTGACAAGTCTGCAGACATGCCGCAGCGCGATGCAAGGCTCAGATCCAGGCTGCTGATTTCCCCGCTGTTTGAATACCCTACCGCATAGTCAATGTCGAAATCGTGGCGTTTGCCTGTGACTATCATATCCATGTCGCGATCGAATCTAAGCTTTGCCGGCCGTCCGTTTTTCTGCGCAGCCAGCGCGGCGATACCTGCAAGTAATGCCGGTTGGCTTTCTTTGCCTCCAAACCCGCCGCCCATGCGTCGGCATTCAACCATAACGTCGTTGGAATTTCGGTTCAGAATCTGTGCAACAACATGTTGAATTTCAGAGGGGTGCTGAGTCGAGCAGTACACCAGCATATTGTTGTCTTCACCTGGAATGGCCATGGCAATCTGGCCCTCCAGGTAGAACTGGTCCTGGCCGCCAACGCTGGTGCTGCCGGTAAGCTGGTGTGGCGCTTCAGCAAACGCTTTAACAGGGTTGCCAACGGTAGCTTCCTTGCTCGGCAGGATAAATGAATTCTGCGCCAGAGCGGTTCGCGCATCGATGATGGAAGGCAGCTTGCGATAGTGGATGACAGCGAGGGATACCGCCTTTCGTGCTGTAATGACATCTTCGGCAACAACAGCAAATATTGGCTGGCCTGCATACTGAACCAGCTTGGCGCTTAACAAGGGGTCGTCATCCAGAACCGGGCCATAGTTGTTTTTACCCGGGATATCCGCCTCCACAAGTACGTCAACAACACCTTCCAGGGCCAGCACCGGCTGCAGGTCTATATGCTCAATTATGGCATGGGCGTGTGGGCTGACACCCAGGGCAATGTGCAGGAGATTTTTCGGTTCCGGCAAATCGTCTGTATAGCGGGCGTTACCAGATACGTGCAGGTAAGCGCTGTCATGATGTTGAGGTTCACCGACGCCACCGGTGGCTTTGACATCTGGATTAACGGCCATATTGATAAACATTGGTTAATGCAGAGGGCTGCGTGGTTGCAAGAAAAAAGCGACGCAACAGGTTCTGCGCTACCTGCGATCGATAAGCAGCACTTGCACGCATGTCATCTATGGGGGAAAAATCATCTGCAAAGCTGTCTAACGCCTGATCTATATTTGCTTCCGTCCACATGGTGGATAGCAGTTGTGCTTCGACGTGAGTTGCGCGTTTTGGAATAGCGGCCATACCACCAAATGCGATCTTTATATCTGTCACGATCTGCGTGTCGGGCTGCAGTTCAACCGCAAAACATCCGCAGACCGCTGAAATATCCTGGTCGAAACGTTTTGAAATTTTGTAGGCGGCAACGGTCTGATTTGCTTGCGGGCGCGGAATGATAATTTTTTCAATAAATTCACCCTCGGTCAGCTGAGTCTGCTGATAAGCGAGGTAAAACTCATCCAGTGCCACGGTGCGGGTTTTATCACCCTGGCGCAGCAGCAGTTGAGCACCAACGACCATCAAAGCCGGCATCGAATCACCGATGGGTGATCCATTTGCGATATTGCCACCAATTGTGGCGGCGTTGCGGATGGGTACGGATGCAAAGCGAGTTAACAATTCCGCGAAGGCGGGATAAAGTTCTATCAAAGCCGGCATCGCTTCACTCCAGCTCACAGCGGCACCCAGGGTAAGTTCTGTCTCCGTAAGCTCGATTGTTTTCAAACTGGCGACATCACCCAGGTAGATGACTTGGTCGATCTGTCGATGTGCCTTGGTCACCCATAATCCAATATCCGTGCCGCCGGCAAGTAGCTGCGCGTCGGGGTGTTCTAATATAAGTGTGCTCAATTCTTCGACGGTGGTGGGGGATGAAAAAGTGCGACCGGAGGCTTGCATGTGCAACGCCGGTGCAGAACGGCTGGATGCCTGCAGGTCGATCAGTTTTAAGCGAGCCGATTCGGCGATGGGGTTCTTAACAGCTGGATAGTCATAGACCGCAAGCGCTGCGTCCTTGATAGGACGATAGCCGGTGCATCGGCAAAGGTTTCCGGAAAGCACATCATCGACTTCGCGCGCATTCATCTGCACACCGTTTTCATATTGAGCAAACAGTGACATGACAAAACCCGGCGTACAGAATCCACACTGCGACGCATCCAGGTCAACCATGGCCTGCTGTACAGGGTGTGCTTCGGCAGCGGATCGAGAGAGGGCTTCGATAGTGAACAAGGCCTTGCCATGCAGGGTGGGTAGAAAAGCGATACACGCGTTGATGGCCTTGTGAGACAGAACTTGAGTGTGTTCATCCAGTTCTGCAACAACAACCATGCAGGCGCCACAGTCGCCTTCACCGCAACCTTCTTTGCTGCCGGTCAGGTTTAGGTCTTCACGCAGGTATTGCAGTACGGTTTTTGTCGGTTCGCAGGATGTTGCGTGGACCTTTTCACCATTCAGAATAAAGTTGATCACGTCACTCATGAGGACACGGTGCCTTTTTTGTAAACCCGTTCACCCAGTATGTACGTTTCACTGATGGAACGATCGTCACCCAGAATCATGTGCATGAACAATGCATCCTTGTGTGTATGTGCTTGTGCCAGTCGACGTGCAAGCAGTGGGGTTGGCGTGTTGTCCAGAATAATGAAGTCGGCCTCTTTGCCAGATAGAAAATTCCCAACTTTGTCGTCGATCCCTAAGGTTTTAGCGCCGCCTAACGTGGCCAGATAAAGCGCCTCGGCGCTGTGCAGGCTCTGTTTCTGCATCTGCAGGACTTTATAGGCTGCGTTGATGGTTTGCAGCAGGCTGAAACTGGTGCCGCCACCCACATCGGTGCCGAGACCAACGTTGACGCCATAAGCATGGGCTTTTTTCAGGTCAAATAAGCCGCTGCCTAAAAACAGGTTTGACGACGGACAGAACGCCATACCACCGCCGTGCTGTGCAAACTCCTGATAGTCTTCTTCGTGCAGGTGAATGCAGTGAGCAAAAACTGATCGTTCCCGTAGTAAGCCGTGTTGGGCGTAAACATCCAGATAGCTGCGAGCATGTGGGAACAGTTCAGTGATCCAGGCCACTTCGTCTAAATTTTCAGACAGGTGGGTGTGTATCAATGTGTCGGGAAACTCCTCCGCGAGTTGTCCGGCGGCTGCCAGCTGCGCATCACTGCTGGTTACCGCAAATCGCGGCGTGATGGCATACAGCAGGCGGTCCTGGTGATGCCATTTTTCGATGAGTTCGCGCGAGTCGTGGTATGCACTTGCCGGTGTATCCTGCAGGTTAGCGGGACAGTTTCGATCCATGAGTACCTTGCCCGCAGCTAAACGCATATTGCGCTGTTGTGCGGCAGTAAAAATTGCGTCAACAGATGTCGGGTGCACAGAGGCGAATACCAGTGCGGTGGTGGTGCCGTTACGCAGTAACTCATCAATAAAAAAGTTTGCGTCTGCCTGTGCAATTTCAGGGTCGCCGTAACGTGCCTCTGAGGGAAACGTATAGGTTTCCAGCCAATCGAGCAGCTGCGCGCCATAAGATGCAATGACATCCAGCTGCGGAAAGTGGACGTGGCAGTCAATCAGTCCCGGACAAATCAGGTGTTCACCATGATCAATAATCAGGCTGTCTGCAGAAAGTTGAGCACGTATATTTTCGGCAGGTCCCAGTTCGATGACCTTGCCATCTTTTACCAGCAACATACCGTCAGTAAAAAACTGCAGTCCTGCTTCGGTGTCATCCAGGCAATGAACGATCTGACCCCGGTGTGCTGTGAGCTGTGCTGACAAGCTAACTACCCCGGTAAGTGGAATATGACCACGGCGACACCAATAGAGGCACGTGATAATGACTGCTGTCGGTAATGGTGAAACGCAGCGTGATGCTGTCGAGGAATGCCGCGTCGTCGATGGCCCCGGTCTTTCTGAAATATTCAGCAACTGAAAAGGTCAGCTCATACGTGTCGGGTACCTGGCTGTTATCATCAAGCAGGGGCAGGTCCGTACGGCCATCGCTGTTGGTGACCGTCGTAACCAGCAACTCTCGTTCAGCGCTGACGCGATGTAGCGTCAGCGGGATGCCGCTGCCGGGTTTGCCATGTGCCGTATCTAAAACATGGGTTGTTAAACCGCCCATCAGAGTCTTCCTTTGTATAAATGCCTGGCGCGGTAATTGCCGGGCGTAATTATGTGCCGTTCTGTACGATAGCGCATTCAGTCTGGCTCACCTGCTCTGTGAACAGGAAAGCAAATATTGAGCCACGTGTTTGTAGGCATGGCAATGGCAGTTAAAGACGCGCCGACCGGGTGGTGGCTCGCGGCTTCATTGTTATCTATCCATTGTGCAACATGATAGCTTTTTAGCGCAGCAAAGTCGGCCTGGTCCGTGAATTGCATCTCATCAAGACCAGCCTGGAGCTTTGTGTCTGGGTGTGCGGGTTAACAGGCGTTTCTTAAGGGTTCAGTAGATTCAGGAGAGTAGGTGAGTGAGCAGATCGATTTTTGATTTTTCGAGCCTCTGCAGGGTGGCTATTACGCTGATAACTGGAACCATAGGCCTGGTTACTCAGCCGCTGCTTGCGCAGATGCAGTCGGAAACGGCGCAAATCCCGATCAAAGTTGTGGTTGTGTCAATGTTCGAGCATGGAGAACTCAGCGGCGACAGACCCGGTGAGTTTCAGTTCTGGGTTGAACGGTTACCTTTGGCAAAGCAACTCGACTTTCCGCTTGGACCTTATCCACTTCGTATGAATGAAGCTGGTGTGCTTGGCGTCTGCCTGGGGGGTGGTATTGCCAACGCCGCAGCGACGATAATGGCGTTGGGATTGGACTCACGTTTTGATTTTTCACAAAGTTACTGGCTTGTAGCCGGCATTGCCGGGGGCGATCCCGAGGACAGCACGCTGGGCAGCGCGGTTTGGGCCAACCATATAGTTGACGGTGATCTGTTATATGAAATTGACGGTCGCGAAATCCCTGCTGACTGGCCTTACGGCATGATCCCTCTGGGTGCAGAGCGCCCTGCCGAAACGCCACAGGATACGTCCACCGGTTGGACACTGGATACGATCCACTTTGCTTTGAACGCAGATCTTGCACGCTGGGCTTTTGATCTCACAGAGCAGATTAAAATTCCCGACTCACCGGGACTGCAGCGCGGGCGGGCAGGGTACACGGGGTTCCCGGCAGCACTCGCACCACCTGTTGTCATGATGGGCGACACGCTGTCATCCAGTACTTATTGGCACGGTGCCCTGTTGAATGAATGGGCGAATGACTGGGTGCCCCTGTATGCCGGTGACGAAGCTGAGTTTGTCACCACGAATATGGAAGACAGTGGCACGCTGACGGCGCTTGAGCGGCTGCACGAGATTGGTAAGGTCGATCTGCAGCGGGTCATGGTTTTGCGCACGGTGAGTAATTTTTCCATGCCGCCTCCTGACAAAACCGCTGCCTGGAGTGCAACTGCTGAATATGCTGACAAGGGTCTGCCAGCGCTGGAATCGGCATTCAGTGTTGGGAATACTGTGGTTCAGGCGATACTCGAGAACTGGTCAGAATTTTCAGTTTCAGTGCCGGGTAGGAGTGTGCCTGCAGGGACGACTGCGTCAGCAGCACCCAGCGCTTCAGTGGGCGAATGAGGTGGGCTGCGTCAGCCTTGTATGCACCCAAAGACCACAATAGGATGTTCTATCGCACCCCGATGGTGCAAAACAGCAGCATCGATATACAGTTTTGTTTGATGGAAATGTTATGAGCTTATTTGGTAAACGGCTTTGCCGTTTTTTGGTGGTTATGCTCGGGTTCGTGTCCGTTCAGGTGGTACAGGCACAGGACTGGTTCGAAGCCTTTAAAGATCGTGCGACGCCGGCGCAACTTCACCAGTTCTTGTATGTCATGCCCAAAGGTGGGGATCTGCACCTGCACATTACCGGTTCCGTGTTGTCGGAATGGATTTATGCTATTGCGCTTGAGCAGTCAGCTAATGGTTATCGTTACTATTCCAAACACAAAATCGAAAATTGTCCAAGTGGATTGATTGGTGGTCGAAGCACGCCTTACCTTATGCTTTATCAGACCGTTGATCAGGTGGGTTACGATGCACTCGACGCCTGCGAACAACAGGAATACGTTGCGCTGGATGAATTCACCCCCGTGCAGATTGAACGCTGGCAGAACGGCTTGCGTCTGGATAAGCCTTACGAAGGGCGAGATGAGTTTTTCAGTAAACACTGGGAGCGATTGGGTGATCTGGTCCGCAACCCATATGTGGTGGGGGAATTTCTGGTGCGTAACATGCAGGCCTTTGCCGCCGAAGGTCTGGTCTATATGGAGCCTCAGGTGCCGATCTTTGGCTTTCGAAAAGCGGATGGCCAGACCCTTACGCCGGATGACGTGATGGCCATATATATTGATCGTCTCGCCCGGAAGGACGCCCTGGACACGGGTATGACCCTGCGGATGCAGGTGTCTTTGCTGCGCTTTTTACCAGACGCCGAAGAGATTCTGACCTACCTTTACAAATTCGCCCATGCTTATGAGCAGGTGGTCGCGGTTAATTTTGTGGGCCGCGAAGATAACGACAAAGGTTATCCGCTGCGGTTTCTGGACACCTTGCGAGAGCTGCGCAAGACCTACAGCGGCGTGCAACTGTCGATTCATGCGGGGGAGGTGGATGAACCGAATTACCATGTCCGCGATACTCTGTTGTTGGGTGCGGACCGGATCGGTCACGGCGTTAATCTCATCACTGATCCAGGTACCCTTATCGATATGCGTTATGGCCCTTATCTGGTAGAGGTAAATCTGATTTCCAATCTGCTGCTTGAATATGTCACGCAATATGACCAGCACCCGTTTCCTGAATATCTGCGCACTGGTGTACCTGTGGCCTTGTCGACCGACGACCGGGGCATGTGGGATTCGACAATGACAGATGAGTTTTTTGTGGCGGTCACTGAGTTTGACCTGAGTTGGGACGAGATCCTTACCCTGAGTCGAAACTCGCTGTCATACAGTTTTCTTGGTGCTGCTGAAAAACAACGTGTTCTGGCACTTTACAACAAGCGTATCGAGCGTTTCGAAAAAGACTTTCTGCGCAAGGGTGACAAAGTCTTCGCAGATGCGCAGCCACCCCGTCTCGGGTTTGTCTGCCGACAGTATGAGTTATGTGACTAATTTTTTTGCAGGGATGAGAGTTCGTTTGGAAAACAGGAAGCAGATGATGCAGATGGTGTTGAAGTATGTTGTGGGCGCTGTGGTGAGCTTAGGTCTGCTGTTCGGTTGCACGCAGACCAAGCAGGAACAGACAACAGCAGTGGCGGAAAAACTGCCGGTCAAAATAGTGGTGGTCACCATGTTTGAGCGCGGCGCCATTGAAGGCGACGAACCAGGCGAGTTTCAGTTCTGGAAGGAGCGTCGTGAGCTGGATCAGAAGTTTGAATTACCCCACGCCCACCACGACCTCTACTACAACGCAGACAGCCAGATCCTGGGTATGATCACCGGTGTTGGCACCGCCAAAGCAGCTGCCTCGACCATGGCGCTTGGACTTGATCCACGTTTTGACCTGACACAGGCTTATTGGTTAGTTGCTGGCATAGCAGGGATTGATCCAGAAGATGCATCCATCGGCTCTGCTGCCTGGTCGGCTTATCTTGTGGACGGTGATCTCGGACACGAGATCGACATCAGAGAAGTGCCTGAGGATTGGGACGTCGGCTATTTTGCGCGCCGTACCCAAAAACCTTTTGATCCGAATAAACCGCAACCCAATGGCGAGATGTTTCTGCTCAATGAGCAGCTGCGTGATTGGGCGTTCGAGCTGACGGAATCCGTTGTGTTGCCGGATCTGCCTGGGCTTGCGAAAACACGAGAACAGTACACCAATCACCCCAACGCACAGAAACCTCCGTTTGTGCTCAAAGGTGGTCACATTGCTGCACTGACCTTCTGGCATGGTGCAATGATGAACGACTGGGCGAACCGGTGGGTCAGCTACTGGTCTGACGGCAACACCGATATGGTTACCTCGGCAATGGAGGAAACAGGCACCTATCTGTCGATTGAATACCTGCACAATTCAGGTCTTGTCGATAAGCATCGATTTATGGTTTTAAGGGCGGGTAGTAATTACACCATGCAGCCGCCAGGGGTTGGTGCCGCGGAGAATCTGTTACGTGAAAATGAAGGCTATGCCGGTATGGAGGCGTCGTTAGAGTCGCTGTATCTGGTGGGTTCCGTGGTTATCGATGAGTTACTTGATAACTGGGCTCTGTATGCCTCCACGATCCCCTCTCCGGAGATGTCAGAGACAATCGATTAGTTTTACCTGGCGCAATGTGCCTGTTTTTAAAGTGTTTTGGGCGCCGGGTTGAAAGGTGTAGATCAAAGCCCGCCGTTTTTCTGTGCTGTTGTTAGCGCCAGACCCATGCACACAGTGTGGGTCAAAGAAGATCAGCGAACCGGCAGGCACTTCAAATTGCACGGCATTGTTCAGATCAAAGGTGGTTGGGTCGGTATAGAAACCGCCCAGGTCTGTGCCATCGTCGGTGCCTGGTAACATACCCGATTGATGGCTGCCTCTGACGATTTCAAAACAGCCGTTGCTTATAGATTGGTCATCAAGGGTCAACATGACGTTGGGTAACAGATCCACATGATCGCAGTTGTGGATCCAGTAAGGTGAATCCTGGTGCCAGCCGAAGCCAGCGCCGCCTGGCCCTTTCAGATTCAGTTTGGCTGTCCACAACGAAAGATCTCTGGTCCCGAGAATCGAACACATTGGTACGGTCAGGCGCGGGTCATCTACCAGTTGGTCCAGGGCGTTATCAAATTCGACGATGGGTTCTATAACCCGAAAATTTGACTGTAACTCAGACACCTGATTGGCGGCTTCAAACTGCAGGGTGCTTCGCCCCACATCAACAAATCTTTTACCGTCGAGGAAATACTCGTGTCCCGCTGATGCCTGTCTTAAAGCGTTGGCACAGGCGCGCTCCAGGGCGTTATGCAGGTGCTTTACTTCGCTTGCCGAGAAAGCGTTAGCGCGCACCAGGTATCCGTCCTGCTGGTATTGCTGCAATTGCGCGTCGCTGAATTCAAGCGTTGGGTCTGGGTTTTGTCTTTCTCTATTCATTTGCGTGTCTTTACTTGTTTGCCAGCAGTTCACGTCACCTTCACGATCGCCACCCTAGGGTGTCCGGACTCTTAAAGTGGAACTGCTTATGAACTCCGTAGTTGAGCCTGTCCTCAGGAAGGCGATTGAACAGAATCGAATGTCTTCCTGCAAGCCGGTGTCCGAACGTATCCGTGCCAGGCTGGAAGCAGCAGGCGAGCGGTATTTTGCCAACGATAACATCCGTCGCTATATGCATGCTGACGAAGTTGAAGAGCTTCAGCATGAAGTCAAAGAAAAATTGCAGGAAGTGCTCAAGTCACTGGTGATTGATGTTGAAAACGATCACAACACGCAAGACACGGCCAAGCGGGTGGCTAAGATGTTTGTGCAGGAAGTGTTCGCTGGTCGTTATGCTGAGCAACCTGCAGTCACAGAGTTTCCAAATGTATCGCGTCTGAACGAACTGATGATCGTCGGTCCAATTGCCGTTCGTAGTGCATGTTCCCATCACCTTTGCCCAATCATGGGTAAAATCTGGGTGGGTGTTCTTCCAGATGAAGATTCTGCCCTGATCGGACTGTCCAAGTACGCACGTCTGGTCGATTGGGTCATGTCGCGACCGCAGATTCAGGAAGAAGCGATCGCTCAATTAGCCGATGTGTTAGAAGAAAAAATGGCGCCGGACGGGTTGGCCATTGTGATGGAAGCCGATCATTACTGTATGCACTGGCGTGGCGTGAAGGACACCGAGTCCAAGATGATTAACAGCGTGATGCGCGGCGCGTTCCGCAGCGATGCTGACCTGCGCCGAGAGTTTTTGACACTCAAAAAATAGTGTTAAGGCCGGTGTGATAAACGATCACCCAGAAAGGCGCCCTGACCAGTTGGATGCATCTGGTTGGGCGCCTTTTTTGTGACCCGGTCGCAGCCTGGATACAGATACATTGACGCGGGTTTCACGTCCTCAGGTCGACAATGGCGCCAGTTCGAATAAGGGATCGGTTTGTTTTGAAAGTTGCAGTTATCGGTGCAGGAATTACAGGCGTGTCAGCAGCATGGCACCTTGACCAGGGTGGCATGAGAGTTCACCTGATCGAGGCCGGCCTGCGTATTGGTGGTCAAGCACATACGCACCTCATATCCGTTAAGGAAGGTAGTGTCACCGTCGATACCGGCTTTTCTGTCTCAAACCCGGTTGGTTACCCAGGCTTTCACCATTGGCTGAATGGGTTTGACCTGGAGCTTAATGCGGCCCGTATGGACGTGTCTGTTCAGGATCAGGTTGAAGATCTGGAATTTGGCACTGTCAGTCTCGCAGCGATGACCGGCAAGGTTGGGCAGTTGTTCAGGTCAGGGTACTGGCGTATCTGGCAGGATCGGACGCGCCTGTTTGCTGAATTGGATGCCTTGCAAGGTACCGGCCAGAGCCTCGGTGACTATATACAGGGCAAGCGCTACAGCCGACGCTTCGTGCAGTCTTATCTGTTACCGCTGATCTCCGCGTTTCAGGGGTACACCGGATCCGCATTCGACATGCCACTGTCTGATGCGTTGAATTATCTTCGCTATCAGAAGTTGCTGCATTACCGCGGTGGCAGAGACTGGCAGGTTGTACAGGGCGGGTCATCTGCCTATCTGCAGGCCTTTGAAAAACAGTTCTCTGGTGTCATTCATACGAACAGTATGGCGTCTGATATCAGCCGGGATGGTCGACAGGTGAACCTGATCAGAGATGGTCTAGCAGAAACCTATGATGCCGTTGTACTTGCCTGCGACAGCGATCAAGCCCTGCATATGCTCGCAGATACAAGCTCTGAGCAGCGTACCGTTTTGGCTCAGGCGACCCCCCGTCGCAGTGACGCGTTTTTACATGGTGATCAGTCTTTCATGCCGCGAAACCGAACGTGCTGGGCAAGCCGAAATGTGACACGTGAAAAAAGCGGTCATCACTCTGTTACTTACTGGATTAACACAATTCAGGGCCTCACGTGTAGCGAGCAGTTTTTTCTCACGGTTAACCCTTCTCGAGAGCCACAACGGGTTCGCTGGCAGGGCAGTTATATGCTTCCTCATGCCGGTCAGTCTGCTCAGGCTCTGCAGCGTCGCTGGTCAGAGGTTTCAACCCAGGACATATGCTTTGCCGGTGCCTATTCCGGCTACGGTACACACGAAGATGGTTTTATCACCGGGTTGCACTGTGCTGAGCACCTGCTGCACATGGCGGTCAGCCGCACTGATGCGAAAGGCCGTGCCAGCGCGGCCTGATTAAATTATCCGAGCGTCCACTTTTCAGGAGATTAATGTGAATCTGCCGTTTATCCTCAATTTAGTATTTTTCCAGATTGTCTGGTTCAGCTGCGTTGTTGGTGCTGGCGCTTATGGTCTGCACTGGCTGGCATTAGGCGCCATGGTTCCATTGATGGTGTTGATCTGGTTCAGCCCGACCCGAAGAGCCGACCTTGCGCTGGCCACGGTCGCGCTGTGCGCGGGTCTGTTGATAGATAACGTCTGGGTTAAGACGGGGATACTGCTTTACCCGGAGTACACCCTTGCCCCCTATTGGATTGGTCTGCTATGGGTCGGCCTGGGACTGACCATTAATCATTCTATGTCGCTGTTTCGAGATCACACATTGATTGGCTCTCTGGTTGTTGGCGCCTTTGCGCCTGTGACCTATCTGTCAGGCGAACGCTTCGGCTCGGTGATTGTGCAGGAACTGGCACTCACCCCACTGATTTGCGTTACCTGGTTCGTGCTGTTCTTTGGTCTGGCCAAATGGGCATTAGCTATGACGCAGTCGTCAGAGGTACTGGTCGAAGCTCAAGAGCAGACCTGATATGTTGTACTGGCGTCACTGATGTCGCGGCCAGATTCGGGGAACACCCATAAAAGACAACCATCCCACTTCTTCAGCCACCACTAAGCTCGGTCTACGGGCCAAGTTGGTTCGTGTTTATGCGTTGCAGGTGTTGCTGATCAGTGTTGCTGCGTTGATTGGCGTGTTCATGACGTACGTCATTGTTGAAAACGTATTGACCCGGGAAGCGCTTGAAACTGAAGCGGAGTATTACTGGGAAGTTGTCCAGCAGGATCCCACACATCCTCTGCCAAATGTGCGCAATATGGTGGGTTATCTTGCCAAAGGGGACGATTACTCTGCGGTGCCTGAGAACATGCGCTCGCTTGATCCAGGGTTTGGGCGAGCGGAAGGCATGCAGGGCAAACCACTGATATTTGTCAGCCGTGAGAATGAGCAGACGCTTTATCTTGTTTTTGCAGAAGCTCAGGTAGCTGACCTGGTATTCTATTTTGGCCTGGCTCCGCTGGCTGCTGTTCTGCTGGTCGTTTATATCCTGCTGTTTCTAACCTATCGCCTTTCTCACGCTGCTATTTCGCCCATGCTTAATCTGGCCAAGTCCATTGAACAGTTCGATTTTCGTTCCACCCAGCGATTAGAGGTGCCGGTCACACCTGAAGACGTTGACCGCGAAACCCGCCTGATGGTTGAGGCACTGCAGGAATTCAGTTCGCGCCTGGAAAATTTTATCGAGCGGGAACGTACATTTACGCGTGACGCAGGTCATGAGCTGCGTACCCCGATAGCGGTGATGAAAGGGTCGCTGGATATTCTTGAGAGCAACAAAGAGCGGTCAGATGCCGATCAGAAAGTGCTGCAGCGTATGCGTCGAGTGGTGGTCGATATGGAGACCCTGCTGGAAACCCTGTTGATGCTTGCCCGTGAAGAAGACGTTTTTGCCCAGGAAGGACCTACCAGCGTCAATCAGGTCATAGCAGAGGAGATCGAATTACTCTCTGAATATGCGGAAAAGAACAGCAATCGGATCGAGCTGATTGAAGAATTCGATGTTGTCTGCAACGCACGCCCGAGGGTGCTTGCAATCATTATGAGCAACCTGATTCGCAATGCGCTTACCTATACGCATAAAGGGCGTGTCACCATTCGCATCACGGATCGTTACGTTGCGGTAACTGATACCGGTATCGGCATGAATGATGAAGATATGGACAGTGCTTTCACGGCATTTTTCCGCGGCGAGAAGGCAAAAAGTACAGCAAATGGTCAGGGGTTGGGGTTAGCTCTGGTGCGGCGCCTGGCGCAACAGCTTGACTGGCGTGTTGACTTGGACAGTGAAGAAGGTGTGGGTACAGAATTCAGAGTCTGGTATAGAAACTGAATCTATCGGTCAGTCGTCATCAGCCATACGGAAGCCGCGTCCGGCTAAAGTTTCTATGAGGGGTTTGTCGAACGGTTTGTCGACAATGCGGCGCAGATTATATACATGGCTGCGCAACGCATCTGAGTCGGGTACTTCGTCTCCCCAGATTTCCTTTTCCAGCTCCCGCCGGGACACCACGGAAGGCGCGCGCCTCATCAGAACGCGTAGAATCTCGAAGGAGCGCGGCGAAAGGCTCAGGCGCTTGCCGGCTCTGATGGCTATTTCCCGCTCTGTGTCCAGTTCAAGGTCGGCAACTCTGTAGGTGGTTTCAGAGACATCCCCTTTGTCCCGACGGATCAAAGCTTCAATACGCACGGCCAGTTCTGGTAGTTCAAAAGGTTTGACCAGATAATCGTCTGCGCCGACTTCAAAACCCTGCAGTTTGTCGTTCAGTTGATCGCGCGCTGTCAGCATGATCACTGGTGTTGTCTTCCGCGCGTCTTTACGCAAGCGACGACATACTTCCATGCCGTCGATGCCTGGTAGATTGATGTCCAGGATAATGGCGTCATATTCTTCCGTCACTGCCAGGTGCATGGCGGTTAAACCATCACCCGCGTAGTCAACGGTATAACTTTGAGATTCGAGATACATGCCAACGGTTTCGGCCAACTCATTGTTGTCTTCAACCAGTAGAATCGTGCGAAAACCTTGTTTCTCAGCCATGGGCGTTAGGATCCTGTTGTGAGCCTGCATCTTAATTGGACGTTGTGATTACACCAAGAACAATATAGTAAGGTGCATCAGATGAAGCTTTTGTGAGTGGCAGCTTGCGCGCGCCAGTGAAACAATAGGTTACGCCTTTGAGAAGCGATTTTGCACCATGGTTGAAAAAACACCGATCAATGATCATTTCTGGATGCCGTTTACGGCGCGTAATGGTTTTCGTAAAGATCCGCGCATAGTTGCTGCGGCCGAGGGATGTGAATACATCACCGATGACGGTCGACGTGTTTTTGATAGCATTTCGGGATTGTGGTGTTGTGGATTCGGACACAATCGCCCGGAGATCGCCCAGGCAGTGACCCGTCAGCTGCAGACGCTGGATTACAGCCCCAGCTTTCAACTGGGCCACCCCCTGGCATTTGAGCTGGCGGAGCGTCTGACACGAATTGCACCGGAGCCTTTTAATCACGTTTTTTTCACCAACTCAGGTTCAGAGAGCGCAGATACGTCGCTGAAAATCGCGCGTGCTTACTGGCGCATGCGAGGACAACCGAATAAAACCCGCTTTATTGGTCGTATCAAGGGCTATCACGGTGTGAATTTTGCCGGCACCAGCCTGGGCGGGATTGGACCCAACCGCAAACTGTTCGGGCAACTGGCTGAAGCGGATCATCTGCCCCAGACCTGGCGTGCCGAAGATGTGTTCACAAAAGGCCAGCCCCAGGGTGGCGAGGAGTTGGCTAACTATCTCGAGCAGCTTGTGGCGTTGCACGACGCCTCCAACATCGCGGCTGTTATTGTTGAGCCCGTGGCTGGTTCGGGTGGTGTCCTGGTGCCGCCCTCCGCCTATCTTGCTCGGCTGAGGGAAATCTGTACACAACACGATATTCTGCTGATTTTTGATGAGGTCATTACCGGCTTTGCCCGTACCGGATCCAGTTTTGGGGCGCAGACCTTCGGGGTGATGCCGGACATCATGAATCTGGCCAAAACGCTGACCAATGGCGTGATTCCCATGGGGGCGGTGTTAACCGGCAAAGAAATATTCGACGCCTTTGTCGATGATGATCAGGCCGATCATCAGATTGCCATGCCCCATGGCTATACCTATTCAGCCCATCCGGTAGCCTGCGCCGCAGCCCTGGCTGCCCTGGACGTATTTGAGCAGGACGATATGGTTGGCAGGGCGCTGAAGCTTGCCCCGGTGTTGCAGGAGAGTCTGCACAGTTTGCGTGACCTGCCTCATGTTGTGGATGTTCGCAATATCGGCATGATGGGCGCAATTCAGCTGGCACCGCGCGGTGCAGATCTTACTGTGCGCCCGTATGAGGTTGGCGTGTGGTGCTGGCATCATGGGCTGTATGTGCGTTGGGGAGGTGATACGTTGCAGTTTGCTCCGCCATTCACAGCCACGGAAGATCAGCTTGCGCAAATGACCCTGACGCTCAAACAGGCCTTAACTTCGTTGGTATAAGACGTTGGCAAACGCTTCGGCGACGTAGAACTTTTTCCGGTCAAAAAAAGGGCCGGTTGATGACTCACGTCAAAACCGACCCTCTTTGCTCGTTGTAGGATCAACTACAAAAGCTGACCCTCGAAACTCGCAATAGATATCACTGATCACCTCCTTTAGTTTTTGCCCGTGTGGCTCAGATTATGTCTATCCCGAAAACATTTGCAAGAGATGTTGTGAGGCGTCCTGAAGGTTACAATAGTGCGCTCAGATTTTTGCGGATGATTGGATATGGCGGACGAAAAACTAACGGGTCAGGAAGCCTGGGCACAACGCTCAGAAGCAGAGCTGCGCGGTAAACCGCTGGAGGATCTGACCTGGGTAAGCCCTGAAGGTATCCCCATAAAACCTCTGTATACAGAAGCAGATATTGAAGACATAGCACATATTCCCAGCTTTCCTGGCGATGCACCGTTTGCGCGGGGACCGCGTTCAACCATGTACACCAATCGACCCTGGACCATCCGGCAATATGCGGGCTTTTCCACCGCAGAGGAATCCAACGCTTTTTATCGACAGAATCTGGCAGCGGGTCAGAAGGGACTATCGGTTGCATTTGATCTGGCCACCCATCGCGGATTTGATTCTGATCATCCGCGTGTGGCGGGTGATGTAGGTATGGCGGGTGTCGCCATTGATTCAGTGGAAGACATGAAAATTCTATTTGACGGCATTCCGCTTGATCAGATGTCCGTATCGATGACCATGAACGGCGCTGTGTTACCGGTACTTGCAGGCTATGTGGTCGCCGGTGAAGAGCAGGGGGTCGCACAGAAAGACCTTTCCGGCACAATTCAGAACGACATTCTGAAAGAGTTCATGGTCCGCAACACCTTTATTTATCCGCCGCAAAGCAGTATGCGGATTGTGGCGGACATTATCGGCTATACATCTGAGCATATGCCGCGTTTCAACTCCATTTCGATTTCCGGTTATCACATGCAGGAAGCCGGCGCGAACGCGGTACAGGAGGTTGCGTTTACGCTCGCAGATGGTGTCGAGTACGTCCGTGCGGCCCTTGCCACCGGACAGGCGGTAGATAAATTTGCGCCGCGTTTATCGTTCTTTTTCTGTATTGGCATGAACTTCTTCATGGAGATCGCCAAGTTACGTGCGGCCCGGATTCTGTGGCACGAGCTTATGAGTCAGTTTAATCCGCAGAATCCATCCTCACTGATGCTGCGGACGCATTGTCAGACCTCAGGGGTATCGCTGCAGGAACAGGATCCATATAACAACGTGGTGCGCACCACGATCGAAGCGATGGCAGCTGTGCTGGGTGGCACTCAGAGTCTGCATACCAATGCATTGGACGAAGCGATTGCGCTGCCAACGCCATTCTCCGCCCGCATAGCACGCAATACGCAGATCATTCTTGCCGAAGAAAGTCAGATAACCCGTACAATCGATCCGTTAGGTGGCAGCTATTATGTTGAGAGCCTGACTAACTCCATTGTGCAGCACGCGCGCAAACTGATCGAAGAAGTAGAAGGTCTCGGCGGTATGACTAAGGCCGTAGTGTCAGGCATGCCCAAACAGCGTATCGAGGAAGCTGCGGCTCAGCGCCAGGCGCGCATTGAACGTGGCGAAGACGTGATTGTCGGCGTTAACAAATATCAACTTGAGGAAGAAGACGGCGAGCTCGATGTCCTGGCTGTTGATAACAGCAAGGTGAGGCAGGCACAGCTGCGTCGACTGAATGAGTTGCGTAATAACCGCGACGAAGCCAAGGTGCAGGCCTCGATGGATGCGCTCACAAAAGCAGCAGCGGAAAACTCAGGTAACCTGTTGGAGCTTGCGATAGAGGCCACTCGTAATCGCGCCAGCGTCGGCGAGGTGTCTTACGCACTTGAGAAGGTCTACGGCAGGCATGAGCCCAAAGCGAAGATGACGCCCGGAGTCTATGCCGAGAGTTATGGTGATGACCCAGCTTTTACTAAAGTGCGCGACGAGATCAAAATTTTCACAGACGTTGAGGGGCAGGCGCCCAGCATCCTGGTGGTCAAGATGGGACAGGATGGACATGACCGGGGTGCCAAGGTCATTTCCAACGCGTTTGGTGATTTTGGTTTCGATGTGAGTATGGGGCAATTATTTCAGACGCCTTCAGAAGCCGCTGCCCAGGCCAAAGCAGAAGGTGTGCAGGTCGTCGGTGTGTCCACCCTTGCTGGTGGACATAAATCGTTGGTCCCTGAAATGATTCAGGAGCTGCAGGCTGCAGGCATGGAGGACGTGATTGTTGTGGTCGGCGGTGTCATCCCGCAGCAGGACTATCAGGCACTCTACGACGCAGGCGTGCACGCTATTTTCGGGCCGGGTACAAACATTCCGGACGCAGCGAGTCAGATATTGAAGCTGATTCCCGGCAAAAACAGATAAAAAACATTAGATTAACAAGAAAGCAGGAGTAACAGATGATTGGACGGTTGAACCATGTGGCCATCGTAGTGCCGGACCTGGCAGCAGCAGCGCAAATGTATAAAACCTCGCTGGGTGCTAAGGTCACTGCGCCTGAGCCTTTGCCTGACCATGGTGTCACCACGGTTTTTGTGGAGCTGCCAAATACTAAAATTGAGCTGTTGCACCCTCTCGGAGAAGACTCGCCCGTGCAGAAATTTCTGGACAACAATCCCAGTGGCGGCATGCATCATGTTTGTTATGAAGTTGAAGACATTCATGCAGCAATTGCACATCTTGTGGATGAAGGCGCGCGGGTGCTTGGCGACGGTCAACCAAAAACAGGCGCTCATGGTCTGCCGGTGGTGTTCCTGCATCCCAAAGACTTCTGCGGCACCCTTGTCGAGCTGGAAGAAGTCAGAGCGGCCTGAAAAATGCCCCGTCTTGGCATTCGATAGCGCCGGGTGAAGGCGCTATCGATGGATTATTCAAACGATCGGCTATTCAAATTCTACAATAGCCTGGTCAACCATTAACGATTCACCTTCGCTGGCCATCACTTTGGCCACTACACCGTCTTCTTCGGCACGTAAACTGTTTTCCATTTTCATGGCTTCGACGACCGCTAGCTCTTCACCCGCTTTGACCTCGTCGCCTTCTTTAACCGACAAACTAACCAGTAGCCCTGGCATGGGTGAGAGAAGGAACTTGGACAAATCAGGTGGTGTCTTTTCGATCATGTGCTGTGCAAGTTCTGCCGCAGCTGGCGTTAACACCAGCAGCTGAGTTTCTGCACCGCGATAGAAGGCGAGATAACCGGCCTTGTGCTGTTCTAGCTGGAGGGTCACTGTCTGGCCATTGACCTCTGCTTCCACCAGGGTGTTGCCGGGTAGCCAGTCGGTTTGCACGCGGTACACTTTGCCTTCAAAGTCCACTTCAAAGCCATGTGCGACAGGCTGCAGTGTTATTGGATAGTGGGCCTTGTTTGCGATGACAACCCAATCCTGGTGAGCTTCCGGTTCGAACCTGCGCGTCTGACCGCTGATCTGGCTGGCGCGTTCGTTCAGGATGGTGTTGATCACGGCGGTTATGACAACTGGTATCAGAGGATCACTCTGGGGTACGTCGCCGGCGTGGAATCCGTCGGGGTATTCTTCAGCAATAAAGTTTGTGGTTATGCGGCCTTCCGCAAAACGGGGGTGCATGATCAATGCATTCAGGAAGCTGATATTATGCCGTACGCCACGGATGTAATAACTGTCTAAAGCATCAGCCATGTGTTCAATGGCTTGTTCGCGGGTATCGCCGTAAGTCACCAGTTTTGCAATCATGGGATCGTAATACATCGATACCTCGCTGCCTTCTTCAATGCCGGTGTCGACACGTACGTGGGCTGTTTCAACGGGTGCTTTATAATTCACCAGACGCCCGATTGACGGTAGAAAGTTTCGAAACGGATCTTCCGCATAAACACGGCTTTCCATCGCCCAGCCTTTGAGCTGAACGTCTTCCTGCTTTAGTGAAAGCACTTCATTGTTGGCCACGCGGATCATATGCTCCACCAGGTCCTGGCCGGTGACGAGTTCCGTGACAGGGTGCTCCACCTGTAAACGTGTATTCATTTCAAGGAAGAAAAAGTTCTTGTTGGCGTCAACGATAAATTCAACGGTGCCAGCCGAGCTGTAGTCGACGGCACGAGACAGGGCAATGGCCTGTTCACCCATAGCTTGGCGGGTCTTTTCATCAAGAAACGGAGAAGGTGCTTCTTCGATGACTTTCTGGTGGCGTCGCTGGATTGAACATTCTCGTTCGCCTAGGAATATGGCGTTGCCATGTTTGTCAGCGAGCACCTGGATCTCAATGTGCCTTGGCTCTTCGATGAATTTCTCGGCGAATACGCGGTCGTCACCAAAGCTTGAACGGGCTTCGTTAGTGGCGCGTTCAAAACCGTCGCGACACTCGTCATCATTCCACACCACGCGCATGCCTTTACCACCGCCTCCGGCGCTGGCTTTCAACATCACCGGATAGCCAATTTCAGAGGCGATTTTTACCGCATGTTCAGGGCCATCAATCACATCGGTGTAGCCTGGGATCGTGTTAACGCCTGCTTCAGCAGCCAGCAGTTTAGAGGTGATCTTGTCACCCATGCTGGTAATGGCTTTCACGCCGGGACCGATGAAGGTAATGCCAGCGCCGTCTAATGCTTCACAGAAGTCAGCGTTCTCAGATAAAAAGCCGTATCCCGGGTGTACAGCCTGGGCGCCGGTTTCTTTGCAGGCAGCAATAATGCGCTCAATCTGCAGGTAACTCTGGGCGGAAGGTGAAGGGCCGATGTGCACTGCCTCGTCTGCCATGCGTGTATGCAGCGCATTGGCATCTGCATCGGAGTAGACCGCAACGGTTTTGATACCCATGCGGCGGGCGGTTTTGATGACGCGGCAGGCAATTTCACCGCGGTTGGCTATCAGTATTTTCTCAAACATTAAATTTACCTTACACGCGGTTAAAGCGGGATGTTGCCGTGTTTACGCCAGGGATTTTCCAGCTCTTTGTCGCGCAACATCGCAAATGAGCGGCACACCCGCTCTCTTGTTTCAGCAGGCATAACAACATCGTCAACGTAACCGCGACTGGCGGCGACAAAAGGATTGGCAAACAGGTTCTGATACTCTTCGGTGCGCCGTGCGATGCCTTCGTCGTCGCCCAGTTCTTTGCGGAAAATGATTTCAACAGCACCTTTAGCACCCATAACCGCGATTTCAGCGCTGGGCCAGGCAAGATTAACGTCGCCGCGCAGGTGTTTGGATGCCATGACGTCATAAGCGCCACCGTATGCTTTGCGGGTGATCAATGTCACTTTTGGCACCGTGCATTCCGCATAGGCGTACAGAAGTTTGGCGCCATTTTTGATGATGCCACCGTATTCCTGCACGGTGCCGGGCATAAATCCGGGTACATCAACCAGGGTAAGAATGGGAATATTAAAGGCATCGCAGAAGCGAACAAAACGCGCGCCTTTCTTCGACGAATCGATATCCAGGCATCCTGCAAGGACCATGGGTTGATTAGCAACCACGCCTACAGTTGAACCCTGTAAACGTATGAAACCGATAACAATGTTCTGTGCGTATTCAGACTGCACTTCAAAAAAGTCTTTCTCGTCCGCAATCTTATGGATCACTTCTTTGATGTCATAAGGTTTTGATGCGTCGGCGGGGACCAGCGTATTAAGTGACGGTTCTTCACGGGCGCCAGGGTCTTCTGTGGGCCAGCGCGGTGGCTTTTCGCGATTACTTGCAGGCAGAAAATCGAAAAAGCGCCGTGTGCGCAGTAACGCTTCCAGATCATTTTCGAATGACAGATCGGCAACCCCGGATTTGCGCGTGTGAATACTCGCGCCGCCGAGTTCTTCCGGCGTGACAACCTCGTGGGTAACGGTTTTCACAACATCTGGTCCGGTGACAAACATGTAAGCAGAGTCTTCCACCATGAAGATGAAGTCTGTCATCGCGGGGGAGTAAACTGCGCCGCCAGCACAGGGCCCCATGATCAGGGACAGCTGTGGAATGACGCCTGAGGCAAGCACATTGCGCTGAAATATTTCTGCGTAACCCCCCAACGAGGCAACACCTTCCTGGATGCGCGCGCCACCTGAGTCGTTCAAGCCAATAATCGGCGCGCCAACCTTCATGGCCTGATCCATGACTTTGCAGATTTTTTCCGCATGGGCTTCGGATAAAGCGCCACCGAATACGGTGAAATCCTGGCTGTAAACAAACACCAGCCGCCCATTAATTGTGCCGTAGCCGGTGACTACACCATCCCCGGGGATTTTTTGTTCTTCCATGCCAAAATCGTGCGAGCGGTGTTCTACATATTTATCCCACTCTTCGAAGGAGCCTTCGTCAAGAAGCACTGAAATCCGCTCGCGAGCGGTGAGCTTTCCTTTCAGATGTTGTTGCTTGATGCGGTGTTCACCACCGCCGAGCATAGCGGCATCTTGTTTTTCTTTGAGTCGGGCGATGATGTCTTGCATAGAAACTCCAGGTAGCAGTCAGCCTCAGCGGCGCAGCATGATACCGTTTGCAGCAAAGGGCGGCTACTTATTCAGCGTCAGCCGGGGTTTTCGCGGCAATATGGGCCTGTATATCCACCGCTACGTTTTTGAAAGCCGGTGTGCGGCTGCGCGGGTCGACCTCTGTATTGACCAGAACGTTGGCCTCCGGGAAATACGCCAGCGTGTTGCCCGCAGGCAGGTCGAAAGGCACTAACCGCAGTGCAATCATCTGGCCAGCAGCCGAAGTGACATCAACCAGGTCGTTCGCTGTAAGCCCCAGCGCCTTGATATCTTCGATATTCATGAAGATACACCAGCGGGAATTTGTGCCGCGGTAGCTGTCTTCATTTTCATAGATCAGCGTATTGAACTGACCTTCGCTGCGCACAGTTGCCAGTCGGAACGACCGCTCACAATTGTGCTCGGGTAGACTGTTGAGTGCAAAACACGCGCGTCCGCCTGATCTTGAAAACTGCGGTGTTTTGAGCAGACGACCGTTAACGTGAAACTCTGCTTTAGCCACATCAATGCTGGCCAGGGGCTGCATGCCGGGTACCGTTGCGGCAATTGCATGGCGGATCGACTGATGGGTCTGAAAACACTGGAAATCGAAAACAGTTGGGTCGATGACCTGTGATGCAATACTTACCAGAAGGTCAGTTTCGCTGCGCGGACCGTCGATTCTATTGATGCCGCCGTCAGACAGGCGCACATAATTGAACATGCTTTCCTGTGTGGTGGCTTGTCTTTCCTCGTCTCTTGCGAGTACGGGTAACACCAGGCTTGCGCCGTTGTCTGAGCCGTAAATATGGCTGCGATTCAGGGTGGTGGTGAGGAAGGTTTTGCTGCCAATTCTATTCAGAGCGCCTTCTGCCCAGCTTCGATCAGGGCTGGCACTGAAGAGATTGCCGCCCATGATAAATGCGCTGTCCATATCACCCGCTGCAGCTCTGTCCAGACAAGCCATGGTGTCTAGTCCTGACTGGGTTGGCAGGTTGATACCAAGGTGTTGTTCAAGAGCCTCGAAAACGTCATTTGCCAGCACAGGTTTGACCCCGATGGTGCCAATACCCTGAACATTACTGTGCCCGCGTAGCGGCAGCAGCCCCGCTGAGGGTTTGCCCACCATGCCGCGCAGCAGTGCCAGATTGGCGACTTCTTCCACATTGGCGACGCCGTGCAGGTGATGGGTCAGACCCATACCCCAGGCAAAAACGACCCGTTCTGCCTGGCAATAGATCTCAGCGATGTGTTCGATGCGCGCCTTGGATACGCCACTTTGAGCTTCGATATCCTCCCAGTTCTGGCACTCTAAATTTGTCAGATAGGCGTCCGCATTTTCCGTGTGTTGGGCAAGAAATGTCTGGTCCGCGCCGCCTTTAGCGACAACCGCTTTGGCGATGCCTTTGAGCAGAGCAACATCACCGCCGATATGTGGCTGCATATACTCCGTGGCTATGGGCGTGCCCCCGGCAATCAGGGATCGTGCACTTTTTGGCATGGCAAAACGTACCAGGCCAGGTTCTCTGGCAGGGTTGATGACAACGACTTCGCCACCTCGCGTTCGGCAGCCCTGCAGCTGATAGATAAACCGTGGGTGGTTCGACGCCGGGTTTGCACCCAGCAGGATGATGCAGTCGCTGTGTTGAAGGTCTGCCAGTTCAACGGTAGCTGTGCCGGTACCCACGGTGGTGTGCAATCCTTCGGTGGTAGCTTGATGGCAGTAGTAGGAGCAGTTATTCACGTTGTTGGTGCCGTACAGCCTGGCAAACAGCTGTAGAACAAAGCCTGCTTCGTTGGATGAACGTCCCGAGGCGTAAAAGAAACTTCTCTGTGGCGGGGTCTGGCGCAGCTGCTCAATGGCTTTCTGCAGCGCAAACGACCAGCTGACTTCAGTGTAGTGCGTAGCATCCGCCGGTTTGAATATGGGGTTTGCCAGGCGCCCTAACCGGGCCAGCTCGCGCTCGTCGAGCTCGCGCAGCTCCGCCAGGCTGTGATTGAATATGGCGGATGGAATGGGTGGTTGCAGGTCGGTAGATTGAGCCTGCACACTCTTGTTGCAAACGGATGGAAATTCGCCCAGCTCGTTGGTCATGCCGCCGAGTTGACCGCCCATACCCAGACCACAGGTTTTACAGGTATTTTTGCTGGTCAGCGCTTTCGACGTCGCGCGCAATCCTGCCTGTTGGGCGGTGCGCAACGTATACAACACTTTTTTCATGCCGCCGCCGGCGGCTGGCGGATGTGTTTTGCTCATCGGAGAATGTTACCCCGAAATGGTTGTGCTGTCCGTTAAGAGACGTGTGAAGCGACTTTACTCCTGCGCGATTCGTTGCAGGATAAACTCGCTTACTTCCGCACCGTGGCTGCTCTGCAGGAAATGACCCGCCGCAGGAATCGGATCAAAACTTGCCTGCATCTGCTCTGCCCATTTACGCCCCCAGGCTTCGGTGAATACGTCGTCGCTGCAACCCCAGATAAAATGTACAGGTTTTTGCCACTTCAACAGTTGCTGATAGTGATGGGTCTGCGCTGCGCCGTTGCCGTTATCGTAGTGAATACCGGGTTGTTGCATGGGTATGGACAATGGGAAACGCCGAAAACCATTAAAAGCCTCATCTGGCATGCCTCGGTAGGGTGCTGAGAAACCCTGATACACATCGGCTGCTGCGCCGGTTAAACCTGGATCTTTGCCTTGTGTCAGCGCTGGGAAAATAACCTCTCTGGGTGCCAGGCCTGCGCTCAAAACGAGCAGGAGGCCAACATCAGGTTGCGGTCGATGGAACAAACCCCCTTCGTGCCAGTTTTTCACCCAGTTTCGCACGCCTTGCGAATACTCAAAATCTGGATGATGTAACCACGTATTCATAATGATCAGGCGGCTGAAGCGTTCCGGCATGTGTACAGCCTGGGCCAAGCCGATGGGACCACCCCAGTCCTGACAGACCAGGGTCACATCCTGCAGATCCAGATGAGTGATCAGGCTGGTCAGTACTTCCGTGTGGCGTGCAATGCTGTACCAGTGAATATCAGCTGGCTTATCGCTGCGCCCGAAGCCCAGATGATCCGGTGCGATGCAGCGATAGCCGGCACCCACCAATACCGGAATGATGTCGCGGTAGAGATACGCCCAGGTTGGCATGCCATGCATGAGCAACATTACCGGACCATCTGCGGGACCCTCATCAATATAGTGCACCCGCATATCCTGCCAGGTGTGGTAGTGCGGTGCGTAGTTGAAGTCCGTCAATTCAGCAAAATTTTCTTCAGGTGTTCGCAGGAAATCGGTCATGGCGGGTGTCCTTTTGAATGAAACTGAGCGCCGGCATTTTGTTTGACGGTCGAGCCAGGATGAAGCTTACAAAATATCCGGGCTCGATTCTTGCGCCAAACTGTGCAAAATCCTATCTCTTGAAATTAAATAGATGGGGAAGTCATGAATTTCGAATTTGGCGAAGAACAAAATCTGCTGCGCGATCAGGCGCGGGGGTTTCTGACCGATAACTGCCCACCCGCGGTGGTGCGACGCGTGTTGGAAGGTGATGAGCTCTATGCTGCGGATTTGTGGCAGAAGATTGTCGAAATGGGCTGGACCGCTGTTGTCATTCCAGAGGAATACGGTGGTTTAGGACTGTCTTATCTGGAACTGGTGGTGATTGCGGAGGAACTCGGACGAGCCTGCGCGCCGGTACCCTTTGGTTCCTCGGTGTATCTGGCAACAGAAGCGCTGCTTGCAGCGGGTAATGAAACCCAGAAAGGGCTCTGGTTACCCAAGCTGGCTGCAGGTGAAGCGATTGGCAGTTTTGCTTATGCCGAGGGCAACGGACAACCCAGCGCCGCCAGTCTGCAAACCCGATTTGAGGGTGGCAAACTATCCGGTCACAAAGCCGTTGTGGCAGATGCACAGATCTCGCAGGTGATGATTGTGGCCGCGCGCAGCGCAAGCGGAGACGGTGCATCACTTTATCTGGTGCCCACCGATCAGGATGGCGTCAGCTTTGAGGCGGTAAAAACCCTTGATCCAGCAACAAATCACGCCAACGTCACGTTCAATGGCGCGTCAGCTGAACTGTTAGGCGCTGAAGGTGGCGGTTGGGCCCTGTTAGAGCAACTGCTCGACGGTGCTGCGGTTCTGTATGCCTGGGAGCAGCTTGGCGGATCGGATCGATGTCTGGAAATGGCCAAAGACTATGCCATGGGTCGTTACGCTTTTGGTCGCCCCATCGCATCTTACCAGGCCATCAAACACAAGCTGGCCAATATGTATGTGAAAAACACGCTGGCAAGGTCTAACGCTTATTTTGGTGCCTGGGCCCTGAACACCGGCGCAGCTGAATTACCCCTGGCTGCGGCAACCGCGCGGGTCGGCAGCACCGAAGCTTATTACTTTTCCTCAAAAGAGAACATCCAGACCCATGGCGGCATGGGCTACACCTGGGAGTTTGATTGTCAGTTCTATTACCGCCGTTCAAAAGTGCTTGCTGTGACGATCGGCAGTGAAGGCTTATGGCAGGAAAAACTTATTCAAGCATCAGCGCAAGCTGACGTGGCATAACTGGAGATATCATTATGGATTTTGAAGATTCAAAAGAAGAAGCAACCTTTCGCAGTGAAGCGCGCGCCTGGTTGGAAGCGAATATCCCCAGCGAAGATGAGCTGGCCGGCATGGATGGCATGGCGCGGGCGAAGTTCTGGCAGAAACGTAAAGCGGATGCCGGTTGGGCGTGTATTCGATGGCCCCAGGAGTTTGGTGGTCGTGATGCCAATGCGATTCAGCAGGTGATTCTGAGTCAGGAAGAAGCCAAAGTGGCAGCGCCGGAAACCGGCGTGTTCAGTATTGGTCAGGGTATGGCTGCACCCACCCTGATGACCTGGGCGGATGAAGATGCGAAGAAACAGTTTCTGCCGCGTCTGGCCAGCGGCGAAGACATCTGGTGTCAGTTGTTCAGTGAGCCTGCGGGTGGTTCTGACCTGGCCGCGCTGCGCACCAAGGCTGAGAAAGACGGAGATGACTGGATCATCAACGGGCAGAAGATCTGGACCTCCGGTGCACACTATTCTGACTGGGGCATTCTGGTGGTGCGTACGGATCCTTCAGTGCCGAAACACAAAGGCCTGTCCTATTTCTATGTGGATATGAAAAGTCCTGGCATTGAAATAAAGCCGATACGGCAGATTTCCGGTGAAGCCAATTTCAACGAAGTCTATTTTACCGATGTGCGTATTCCTGACAGCCAGCGTCTTGGCGATGTTGGTCAGGGTTGGCAGGTCTCTCTAACCACCCTGATGAATGAGCGTGCCAGCATTGGCGCCGGTGGCGGTGGTACTAAATTCAGCACTGTGAAAAAACTGGCTGAAACCGTGCAGATCAACAACAAGCCAGCCATCGAAGACAGTCATGTTCGCGCGAAGCTGGCATCCTGGTATGTTCAGGAAGCTGGACTGAAATACACCAGCTATCGAACGTTGTCTGCTTTGTCGCGTGGCGCAATCCCGGGTCCGGAAAACTCAATCGGTAAACTTGTTGGTGCGGTAAAGTCGCAAGACATGGCTTCTTTTGCTATCGACCTCCTCGAGCAGCAGGGCATTGTTCGCGATGCAGCCGCAGATGAGATGTTTGGCAGTCTGTTTCAGGATACCTACATGGCCATCCCAGGCTTGAGGATTGCCGGCGGTACAGATGAGATAATGGCCAACATTATCGCTGAGCGGGTCTTAGGCTTGCCTCAGGAGCCTCGTATGGACAAAGGTATTCCGTTCTCGGAAGTGCCCACAGGCAACTGATCAGCGCGTATGTTTGACCGGTAGGTCAACAAACTCTGCAGGCCTGGATTCACTCTTGGCCTGCAGGGCTTCCATAATTTCCGCGTTGTTCATCATGGATGTATTCCAGATGCTGATGTAGTCCAGCGCATCGGCAGTGCTGTGATCGCGGGCATAGTTGATCATCCGTTTTGAGCCGTAAACCGCTGCAGGTGCTTTGCTGGCGATTTCAGCAGCAATTTCCATGACCCCATCCAGCATGCTTTGCTGATCCGGGTAAACCTGGTTGACCAGCCCCACCTGTTTGGCTTCCTGCGCGCCCAGCTTGCGTCCCGTATAGGCGAGCTCTCGTACAATGCCTTCCGGGATCAGTTTAACCAGCCGGGGGAATGTGCCAACATCAGCGGTGAGTGCAATGTTGATTTCCTGTACCACCAGGAACGCATCTTCCGTGGCATAGCGCATATCACAGGCGGTTGCCAGATCAACACCGCCACCATACGCGCCACCCTGAATTGCAGCGATAACCGGAATACGTGCGTTTTCCAGCACGTTGAAACTTTCCTGCATGTGCGAGATATGATTATAGGCAGCCACCGCGCGCTGATTTTTATGTGGCTTATCAGCAGTGTCAGCGCTGGAAAACATGGTTAGATCCAGCCCGGCAGAAAAATGTGGCCCGGTTGAAGAGATAACAATGACCCGAGCCCGGGCGTTGTTATCGATGTCCTCAATAATGGCAGGAAACTCCTGCCAGAAATCCTGGTTCATCGAGTTGCGCTTTTCCGGACGATTCAGGACGACGTGGGCGATCTGGTCTTTGATCTCCACGGCAAAACATTTGTAGCTCACAATCTTCTTCCAGTCATTTTGGGCTTGGATGTTACCCAGGTATAGTCGGGTAATAAATAGCGTCGGGGGAGAGCTATGCAGTTGATAAACGATGAGCAGTGGGCACAGCGATGCCTTGATGATGGTGAGTTCATGCAGGCAGCCCGCCACTGGCAGGGCGGCTTGTGTCTGCAGATAGGGGAGCAGCACAAAGCATTGACCCTGATTGACGGGCAGCCTCGGGGTGGTCTGGCGGATGGGGTGGAGAATGTGTTGGTGTTTGCGGGCGCGCCAGGTATCTGGCAAAAAGTACTGGCAGCAGTACCCGACAGATTTCAGCATGACCTGATGGCAAACATCTCTGCAGGGCAGGGACTGTCCAGGTCCGGAGACGCCGTGTTGCACGCTCAGTACTACGCTGCGGTCATGCGCGCTATTGAATTGCTGCGGCCAGCTACCGAGTCTGTTCTCGCGCACGCCAACCCGGTTCAGGGTGACTTTGCAGAGCCGGTTGGGCGCTACGTCTATCTAAATCTGGCGGGTGCGGATTACCGGGTTTATTTTGAGGAAGCGGGGCAAGGTATTCCATTGCTGCTGCAGCATACCGCGGGTTGTCATGGCAGTCAGTGGCGTCACTTGTTTGAAAACACGGCAATCACCTCGCGTTTTCGTTTGATTGCCTACGATCTGCCGTTTCACGGTAAATCTCTGCCACCTCAGAATCTAGCCTGGTGGACCGAAGAATATCAGCTGCGGGGTGATTTTCTGCGTTCGGTGCCCCTTGCGTTGTCCGCTGCATTACAGCTTGATAGGCCGGTGTTCATGGGGTGTTCCGTAGGCGGGCTGCTGGCTCTGGATCTTGCACATAAACACCCACAGGCGTTTCGTGCGGTGATTGCGGTGGAAGGCGCACTGCAGATAGAAGGCAGCACCGCGGCGCTGGGCGAACTGTGGCATCCGCAGGTGAGTAACGAATACAAAGCCCGACTTATGGATGGTTTAATGGCGCCGGGCTCGCCGGTGAATCTGCGTAAAGAGACCAGTTTTGTTTATGCCAGTGGCTGGCCGCCTGCCTTTCTGGGAGACCTTCATTACTACATGGATGAATTTGATCTGTGTGAGGTGGCGGGCGAAATCGATACCGCTCAAACTGCCGTACACATTCTGTCTGGGGAGTACGATTACAGCGGCACCAGCGAGCTGGGACAGGCAGCTCACGCTGCAATTCCAGGATCAACCTGGTCCGAAATGCGCAGCGTTGGTCATTTTCCAATGTCGGAAAATCCCGAGGCGTTTATTGAATATCTAGCGCCGATCCTGGATGGTATAGCGTGAAATATCTTGTTAGGGGAAGTTTATGCGTGTAGGGGTGTCCCTGCCGATCCGGGAAATGGGCGCTGATCTGGGTGCGATCCGGGAGTTTGCGCTAGCTGCGGAGAGCCTTGGCTTAACGCATCTGCGCGTGCCTGATCAAGTGATTCGGCCTGATGGCGGTTACGTGCATGAATCCATGACGCTACTCAGTTACCTGGCCGCGATAACTCAGAAGATTGAATTAGTCCCGTCGGTGCTGGTGTTGCCATTGCGCCAAACCGCGCTTGTCGCCCGACAAAGCGCCCAGTTGGACGTTTTGTCTGGCGGGCGATTGAGGTTGGGTGTGGGGATTGGCATCAATCGAGATGAATATCAGGCGATGGGCATCGACTTTCATACCCGTGGCGCCCGTTGTGATGAGCAGCTGGAGTTGTTACATGCGTTATGGACGCAGCCGGCGGTAGATTTCAAGGGTCGATTTCATACTGTTTCCAACATTGGGATTGAGCCGCGACCGCTACAACAGCCCATCCCTGTCTGGATAGGTGCGCGCTCGATTCCTTCCGACAGGGTGGTGCAGCGTATGGGTAAATGGGCATCCGGCTGGTTTGTGCTGGCAAACCCTGAGGAATTTGAGGGCGTTAAGCGGCGCGTAGATGCCGCCGCGAAGGCCGCGGGTAGGGATGCCTCAGCGATTGGTACTGAAGCGGGCGTTGCTGTGGCCGGGCCCAGGCAGCATGAGTGGCGCGAGCGTGTTACCCGATGGCACCAGATGGGACTGACACATCTCTGTTTACGTACGTTAGGCGGCGACCTTAACGTAAAAGATCACCTACCTACCCTGGAGCGAGCGATGGCGGAATTACCCGTATGAATGCACCCGAGTTGAAATTTGTTCAGGCCAACGGCGTCCGTCTGGCCTATTTTGAGCGCGGCAAGGCTCGTGCGGACAAGCCGACGTTATTGTTTGTGCACGCTACCGGTTTTCATGGTCGACTCTGGGATTATCAGGCTGAGGCTTTTCCTGAATATCACAGCATAGCCCTTGAGTTGCGGGCCCATGGCCGAAGCGAAAATGCCAGCTTTCACGACTGGAGTGACTTTGGCGTGGATCAGAGTGAATTTATAAAAGCTCTGGGTCTGCAACATGTTGTGGGTATCGCCCACTCCATGGGTGCGCATACATTGCTTGATGCTGCTGCTGTGACAGGTGTATTTGATCGCCTGTTACTGCTGGATCCAACGGTGGCCGAACCCGAGGCCTACAACGACAGTTATGAAGCCTCTTTTGGTGATCAACTGCATCCCGCAGCCAAGCGGCGCAACGAATTTGATTCACCGGAAGATATGTTAGCCCGTTTGTCAGGTAAGAGTTCGTTTCCATTTTTTCACCCCCGTATTCTGCGGGACTATTGCGAATACGGACTGGAAGCGACTGGTCACGGCAACTTTAGATTGTGTTGCCCGCCAGAGTTGGAAGCGCGGGTTTATATGACTGCGCGCACCAATGGCGAGGTGTATGACAGTATCCGTTCTCTGGATATTCCGGTCACTATTGTCAGGGCAAAACTGCCAGATCCTGATGCTGGCCAGGATTTTTCCTCGTCGCCAACCTGGCCTGAGTTAGCGGGTGAGTTCCCCCAGGCGAAAGACCTGCACTGGTCTGACTGCTCACACTTTATTCCGATGCAGCGTCCAGACGACGTGAACAAACTGCTTGCCGAGGAACTCCAGGCCTGGCGCAGTTAAACATGGTTATGTAATCAGGGGGACAGACATGCAAAGCTTTCCGTTAGAAGGCATCACCGTGTTGGATTTTGGGCAGGTCTACAATGGCCCGTATTGCGGGTTTCTGCTGGCGCAAGCCGGTGCCCGGGTGATAAAAGTCGAATCTTTAATAGGTGAGACCCTGAGGGGGCGAGGTATGGCAGCGTCTTCTGCTTATCCTTTTGCTTCGCTGAACGCCAACAAAGAAAGCATCACGTTGAATATCAAGTCAGCGCAAGGGCAGCAGCTGATCAAAGGTCTGGCGGCAGAAGTTGATGTGGTGCTGGAAAATTTTGCTCCGGGTACCATGGCGCGCTATGGCATTGGTGCGGATGTTCTGCGCGGTATTAATCCAAAACTGATCTATGCATCGAGTACGGGTTACGGTAATGCGCCGGGACCCTATAGAGATTTTCTGGGTATGGATTTCACGCTCCAGGCGATGGCAGGAGTGATGAGTATTACCGGAGAAGAGGGTGGCCCGCCGCTCAAAACGGCAGCTGCATTTGCTGATTTCCTGGCAGGTACTCATCTTTATGCAGGTATTGTTTCAGCCTTGTTCGGGCGGACGCAGTCCGGAGAAGGCGCTACGGTTGATATTTCCATGCAGGATTGTGTGGTGCCGACGTTGTCTACCGCGCTGGGTTCCTACTATGTTGCTGGAGAACAGCAGCCACGTGCGGGTAATCGTCATCCCGGCAAAGCGCTTGCCCCGTATAATGTTTATCCCGCTGCAGATGGTCATGTCGCCATTATCTGTATACGCGAAGGACACTGGCGAAACTTGTGCGCAGCCATGGATAACAACGTTGCGCTGCAGGACCCAAGATTTGCGACCATGGCTGAGCGGGCGGCAAATATGGATGTCGTGGATGACCTTGTCAGTGATTGGACTCGCCGTCTCAGCCGCGCTGAGATTTTACGGATTACCCAGGAGCATGGTGTTATCTGCTCGCCGGTGAACGACCTGGCCGATGTATTGGATGATCCCCACCTGGGCGCTCGCGGTACGCTGGAGAAAAGGCCACATGAAGCGTTTGGTGAAATATCTCAATTCAGAACCCCACTGCGCTTTACGGATCTTGAGCCCATGGCGTTACAAAATGCGCCTGCGCTGGGTGAGTCGACAGATGCGGTGTTGCAGGAACTGCTTGGTTTAGATGCTGATACGCTGGCGGAGTTGCACAAAAACGAAGCGATCTGACGGACGGGTAGCGACCTTCACCCGAAGGACTTATGCGCTGGCGACTCAATTTCTTCCTGGCCTGGTGCAGCCAGGCGCGTGGCCGCACTGGCGTATGCTCCGGTTGCGGGCACGCAGTTGAAAGCCCGCGCCAATCCAAACTCAGGCATGTTGTTGTACACACATTCGAATGTGCCAGGTTGACTCAGGTAGGTTTCATGCCAGATACCCACATCGCCATTAGAGCCAACCGCTTTGTTAAATGCCGCCCATGCTGGAAGGTGCTGCGAGCTGCGCGCTTTGGCGTAGTGTTCCAGAGCTTCGAATGAATCCCAATACTGCACCATGATCGAAGTGCGCCCGGACCAGCTTTCGATATGGCGTAAACCCATATCTCCGGCGGTCTTCAGCTCGTTAATCATTTTTCCCATAGCCCGTGCCACCGGCAACCATTTATGAATTTTCAGCGGTTTATTGATGCGCATGCCGATCAGGAACACCGCAAACTGGTCCTGTTCCACATGGGCGGTAACGCGGGCTTTGTTGATCTGATTGACTGAGCTGGTCATGATGATGATCCGCCATCTTTACAGTGGAAAGATTGAGCTTAAATCGACGCACATGTATTTGTCAAATATCCGGTATGGGGGCCTGTTCTGCGTGCAGCCTGATCAGCGGTTCAGCTCTACCAGTAGTTCCGAGGTTGCCGCCCAGTCGAGACAGGCATCGGTGATGCTCTGACCATAGTTCTCCGGGTGATCCTGCCGCCCGCCGCGCAGGTGGCTTTCGATCATGATGCCAACCAGGTTCTGCTGGCCCTGGCGTCTCTGTGCCATGATCTCCTTTGCCACAAATGGCTGCCTGTCCGGATCTTTGTTGCTGTTGCCGTGACTGCAATCGACAACAATGCCGGTGTGGATGTCTCTGGCAGCGAGTTCCTGGGCTGCCTGGGTAACGTCTTGCGCTGCGAAATTCGGCTTTTTTCCGCCTCGCAGAATAAGGTGGCAATCCGGATTGCCGGTGGTTTCCAGCAGCGCGGGGGCACCTTCTTTGGTCAGGGACGGGAACAGGTGACTGCTTCTTGCGGCCACCAGTGCATCCACAGCAACGCTGACGTTGCCGCTGGTTGAATTTTTGATGCCGACCGGCATGGATAACCCGGATGCCAGCTGTCGATGCACCTGGCTTTCAACTGTACGAGCACCAATGGCACCCCAACTGATCAGGTCAGAAAAATACTGGCCAAAGGTGGTATCCAGGAATTCGGTGGCGCAGGCCAGCTGCAGCGCGGTCAGCTCTGCAAGCAACGCTCGTGCCTGGCGCAAGCCATCGTTCACTTTAAAAGACTCGTCCAGATGCGGGTCGTTGATGAATCCCTTCCAGCCAACTGTGGTTCGAGGCTTTTCAAAGTACACACGCATGACAACAAACAGATTCTGATTGACCTGCTTTTGTAGCTCAGCGAGGCGCTGGCCGTATTCTATGACTGCGGCGGGGTCGTGCACGGAACAGGGTCCAACAATAACCAGCAAGCGTGGATCGCGACCGTTCACAATGTCCGCAATTGTATGGCGTTGCGCGCTGATGAACCGTTCGCTGGTGGCCGTGAGCGGGATGTCTTCGGCAAGGATTGCCGGGGCGATCAAAGGTCGCACCCGGTGTATACGTAAATTATCGATGTTTGACACCATAAGGCTGAAATTTTCTGCTGGATCTGGAGGAAGTAATAGTCATAGTAACGCGCGCGACAGGCGCTGTAACCGCCAACTGAAGTGTCACAATTCTGTCACGCTTGCTGCCTAGGCTGGCCGGGTACTGAAGCTCTCAGCTAAAGCAAAATAACTTTAAAGGTCTGCATGCCCGATCGAATATCTACCGCAAATGCTGCAACAGGATCTGTGGCGCAAAGCATTCTGCTCTGGCTCGGGGTGGTGGCGCTGGTATATCTGCTGTTGGTGGGTGTCAGCGTAGTAGGTGCAGGATTCAAATGGATATCCGGAGGTGCAGACGGCGCCGCCGCGATCTTCGCGTTTGCAAGCAATCCTATTGCCGGTGTCATTCTGGGCACGCTGGCAACAGCCCTGGTGCAGTCTTCCAGTACCGTCACGTCAGTTATTGTGGGTCTTGTTGCTGGTGGTGTGCCGGTGTCTCTGGCTGTGCCCATGATCATGGGGGCGAATATGGGTACCACCATAACCAATACCATCGTCAGCCTGGGTAACCTGCGTGACAGCGCCGCGTTTAAAAAATCGTTTCAGGCAGCCACGGTGCACGATTTTTTCAACCTTTTCAGTATTGTGATTTTCCTGCCCATCGAGATGATGTTTCATCCGCTGGAAAAGATGGCTGGGGTTGCTGCGGGATGGTTTGCCGGTGGCCAGAGCGCATCGATGTCGGATGCCAATTTCATCGGTGCCTTGACCAAACCTGTTGCTAATTATGTGGTGGATCTGGCAGGTGATCTGCCGGACAGCATCGGCGCCAGCCTGGCCATCGGGGTTGGTGTGTTGATGATCATGTTATCAGTTGTGTACCTCGGCAAACTGCTGCGGCGTGCGATGACCGGGAAGGCAAAAGGGGTCATGGAAAAAGCTATTGGCCGACGGCCTGAAACGGGTGTCATGTCAGGCGCGCTGGTGACGGTTCTGGTGCAGTCTTCGTCTACCACCACAAGTCTTGTTGTACCGCTTGCTGGTGCGGGTGTGCTGACCCTGAAACAAGTCTTCCCGTTCACAATGGGCGCTAACATAGGTACGTGTATTACGGCCTTGCTGGCTGCGACCGCAGTCACCGGCGCTTATCAAGTGTTTGCTCTGCAGATAGCACTGGTGCACCTGCTTTACAATCTGTTAGGTGTATTGGCTTTTCTGTATATCCCCTGGCTGAAAGCGCTGCCAATGCGGGCGGCTTCACTGCTTGGACAGAAATCTGCGGAGCACCGCAGCTGGGCGTTTGGCTATATCTTTGCAGTATTTTTTGTTCTGCCCGGTTCGGTATTCGGCGCGCAACTGCTCAGCGGCTCCGGTGACGCTGAGATCATTGACGCCCTCGAAAGTGAAGCTGCTCAGCAGTGTCAGGCTGAGATGGAAGGCTGCGCGGTAAATTTAGAATAAATAGATCTATGGCCACTGTGCTGCCTGATCTGGGTTAGTATCCTGCTCAGGGAGAAAGAGGGTTCAAGTAAACGTCATGCCTGCGACCACATCTACAGGTCCGTTGACGGACATCACGATCATCGATTGCACTATGGCATTGGCCGGGCCTTTTGGCACCGCGCTGCTTGCCGACCTGGGTGCCAACGTCATAAAAGTTGAACCCCCGACGGGTGACATGGCCCGGTCGGTTCCCCCCCTGCCTGAAGGTTACACAAACGCCGGCAGTGCTGATCAAAATACACAAAGCGGTGCTGCCGATTACGGCGGATACTTTGCCAGCATCAATCGCAATAAACGCAGCATTGTTCTCGACCTGAAAAATAAAGACGATGCTGAAGTGTTCATGCAGCTGTGTGAGCAGGCGGATGCTGTGGTGGAAAACATGCGCGTAGGCGTTATGGATAAACTGGGTCTGGGATACGAGGCAATAGCCGAGCGAAACCCCAAAATTGTCTATGGCGCCATTCGTGGCTTTGGCGATCCCCGTACCGGTGAAAGTCCTTACGCCAACTGGCCTGCTTATGACATAGTGGCCCAGAGTATGAGCGGCCTTGCTCAAATTACCGGGCCAGCAGATGGCGGCGGTTATCCAAGTGGGGTGAGTGTCGGTGATATATATCCTGGCACTCTGCTGGCGTTAGGTGTTGTGTCTGCCATCCATCACGCACGGGTATCAGGAAAAGGACAATTCCTGGATGTTGGGATGTACGATGCCATGCTCGCCTTCAACGAAACCACAATTGCCAATTATGGCTATGCCGGAATCGAACTCGGACCGCGTGGCCAGCATCATCCTAATCTCATGCCGTTTGGTTTGTTTCCAACTCTGGATGGCAGTGTCGCAATAGCTGCGCCTGGACCCGGTCACTGGGATGCGTTGTGTGACGCGATGCAGCGGGTTGATTTAAAAGATGATCCACGCACGAAAAATACATATGTGCGGCGGCGTCATCAGGCGTTTGTTGAAGCTGCGATAAGTGCATGGACCGAAACACTAAAAAAAGCCGAAGTGGTACAGGCTCTGGGTGGGCGCGTGCCGTGCGGACCGGTAAATACTGCATCAGATATTTTTGCCGATCCTCATGTGGCCGCCAGATCTATGATTACGCGGTTCAATCTGCCAGGGAAATCAGAACCCGTTGCCATTGTCGGCAGCCCGATCAAATATACGCAAACCCCGGCGGGCTTCTATCGATTACCACCGGGCCTAGGCGAGCATACACAGGAAATTCTGGGTGAGTTTGGTATCAGACTCGACCCATGACACGAAAAGTTCAAAAGATGTTTAACAAGGAGAAGCAATGAGCGATTTTGAAAATAAGGTAGTCATCATAACCGGTGCTGGCGGCGGTCTGGGTAAAGCGCATGCGCTGGAATTTGCCCGGCGCGGTGCGAAAGTAGTGGTCAATGATCTCGGCGGCAGCGGTGACGGTACCGGTGCCAGCGATATGGCGGATGAAGTTGTTGCTGAAATAAAAGCTGCGGGTGGTGTGGCCATTGCCAACAAAGCTTCAGTGTCCAGTCGCGAAGGTGCGCAGTCGATTGTAGACGACGCAGTTGCAGAATTCGGAACCGTGGATATTCTTGTTAACAACGCCGGCATTCTTCGCGACAAGAGTTTTAAAAAGCTTGCTCTGGATGACTGGGACATTGTCATGGACGTGCATCTGAACGGCTCGGCTTATGTCACCCACGCCGCCTGGCCCATCATGTACGAAAAAAATTACGGTCGGATTGTGTTTACCAGCTCTACCTCGGGCATCTTTGGTAATTTTGGTCAGGGCAATTACGGCGCGGCCAAAATGGGTATGTTAGGGCTTATGAACGTGCTGGAAAAAGAAGGGCGGGCCAAGAACATTCGCGTTAACTGTCTGGCGCCTGCCGCTTCAACCCGATTGATTAACACTATTCCGGGGCGCGATGAAGACCTGGACAATCCCGATCCCATGCGTCATCCGAAGTTAGTCACACCGGCGGTATTGTTGATGTGCGCGGACGATGCGCCAACAGGTAAGGTTATTCTTGCAGGTAACGGTCGTTTTTCCACCGCTGCAGTGTTCAATAATGAAGACCTGGAGTTTGATGCAGATGTCACCTATGAGGATCTGCTGAGTAAAAAGGATCAGCTTCTCGATATGAGCCAGGCAACTGAAGGCTGGGGTTGGCTGGCTAAGCGTATGCGCGAGCAGTAGGCGCGGGCAGCCGTTCAGGCGACGGCTTTTTTGAGCAGGTCGACCCGGTTTTCAGTGAGAAAGGTATAGCCTTTTGCCGGGTCACCGTAGCTCTCGAACTTGGCTTTGACCTGCTGGATTAACTCCGGCGTCAGAATGTGTTCGGTATGGGTCGCCGCCATGACGCCTTTTTCGAACTGGCCAAAGTGTTTGAGGGTGACCTGGTTTTTGAAGAAATATTCCTGTTCCAGCTTAAGGTGACGCGCGGCTACAGTTTTTTCAAGCGCACCAAAAGCCGCCTGCCTGACTTTGGATTCGTCATGAAACAGGCGCAGGACCTCATTAAAGTCGCCGGCGAAGACGGGTTCTGAAATGTAAGCCAGGCCACCGGGCTTTAATACGCGTTTGATCTCCGCGAGGGCTTGGTCCATCAAATCCAGTGGCACGTGGTGCAGGGATTTGAACATCAGGATAATGTCAAAAGCATTGTCAGGCGCGTCGATCGCTTCGGCGCCAAACGTTGCAAACTCTATTTTAGGCAGGGTACCAAGCGCGATGTTCTTGGCGTGAGCCTGTGGATCCACCTCTGCAGCCACAATGCTGGCGATGGGGGTTTTCTCGGCGAGTTCGCGGGTCTTTTCTGCCGTGCCGCAGCCAAGTTCCAGAACATGGGCGTTTTTCAATGGCAGGAGTTTAGCCAGGACTTCAATTTCATCAGCAATATCCTGCTCTGCGGGTCCAATCAGTTGCATAAAATGTCCGTAACAGTAGGTGTGCGGGTGCAAAGCCATTTAATATGTACTGCAAATAAAAACAATTCAACTGAACAGCAAAAACAAAAAAAGGTTGTGCATGCAAACGTTTACGCTCAACGCCAGCGATGGCGCAGAAGTGGCCTGTTATTTCTGGGCCTGTGAAACACCCAAGGCGGTCGTGCAGATAGCGCATGGCATGGGCGAGCACGCGCAACGCTACGGCGCGGTGGCGGAGCACCTGAACCAGGCGGGTTATGCAGTGTATGCCAATGATCATCGTGGTCATGGGGTGACGGGGCAGGCTAACCTCGGATACATGGGTGGCGACGGCTGGAACCGTGTACTGGCTGATGCCTACGAGTTAAATGCTGAGATTGCGCGCCAACATCAGGGTCTGCCTCGCATTCTGTTGGGCCACAGTATGGGGTCCATGATGTCTCAGCAGTATATTACACGTTATGGCTACAGCATCGACCTGCTGGTGCTTTCCGGTTCGCCAGGTTTCAAAGCCAAGTCTGCCGGTTTGCTGTCGCGCAGCATTGCAAAGTTTGAAAAATGGCGCCTGGGTGCCGGACAGTCCAGCGATGTCTTACAGCGACTGTTGTTTGGTGATGCCAACAAACCTTTTGCTGGTGAAGGGGCAACGGGTTTTGAGTGGCTGTCTCGGGATGCACAACAGGTGCAGTTGTATCTTGATGACGACGCCTGTGGTTTTGTACTTTCCACGGGTTCTCTTGTGGATCTGTTTGCAGGTTCCAGCACGGCAACCCAACCTGAAGTCCTGGCAAAAATCCCGCGTGACCTGCCTATCTATGTTTTTTCCGGCACCGAAGACCCGGTTCACAGTGAGCAGAAAGATATCCAGCGCATGTTGCAGGCATTTAACGACCAGGGTCTGTCCCGGGTTGAGGTTAAATGGTACCAGGGTGGTCGGCACGAGATGTTTAACGAAACTAATCGTGATGAGGTACTGGCTGACCTGGTGAACTGGTTGGACACAAATATCCAATAAAGCCCAGGCCTGCCAGGCGAAATAGCGGTTTCGAACTACACTTGTCCAAGTGAGTTGGAAACCAGCATGAATCAGAGTGCACAAAAACAACCGTCTCGGCGGATTGAGCTGTGGCGGGGCAAGTTAAACGCCTCGGGTTTGCCCGTGTTCTCCCGTACAATCCGGGACATCCGTAATGTCTCTTCCAGCAGTCGTTCCTCCGCTCAGGACCTGTCTGATGTTATTGGCCATGATGCCTCAATGGCTGCTCGGGTTATTCAGATAGCCAACAGTCCTCTGTTTAATCTGCAGAACCGGGACATTGATACCATCAGTTCTGCTGTTGTGCTGGTGGGTTTTGATGCTGTGCGTGAACTGGCCATTTCGGTATCAGTCATTGAGGAAATGCTCAAAGGACGCCAACACGCGCGGGTTGGGCAACATATGGCACAGGCCTTTCACGCAGCCGCTCAAGCGCGTTCGTTTGCGCGTATCTGTGGACACAAATGTGAGGAAGTTTTTGTTGCCGCCCTCCTCAAAGAAGTGGGTGACATGGCGTTCTGGTCGCGCGCGGACCGTGAAGCGATGGCGATTGAAGCGCTGGTAGTCGGTGGCGCGGACCTGCTGCAAGCCCAGCGGGAGGTGCTCGGGTTCGAGCTTTCGGAGCTGGGGCGTGTGCTCGCTGCAGACTGGAATCTCGGCGACCTTGTTGGCCACGTTCTGGATGGTCGTCACGATGAGTTACCGATGGTACAACATGTACAGTTTGGCCATCAGGTGGCGAACCTTTTGCGCAATCATGATGTGGAGTCAGAAGCGCTGATCGATGTAGTAGGTCAACTGGCAAAACACCTGAACATGAAGGTGACTGATGTCAAAACCCTGATCCGCAATAACCTTGATGCAGCGGGCAACATTGCCAGGCAATTTGGTGTATCGCAGTCATTGCTGCTGACTGACAAGTCATCTCAAGAAAATACTGAATCAGACAAACGGACGACTGCTGACTCAGGTACAAGCTCAGAGGCGAGTCACAACCCGCCGGTTTACAACGCGGAGGTGCTGTTCAGTGCTCTGACAAATCTGGCTGAGGAACTCGAGGGTGGTGCTTCCCGCGATGAACTGATGCAGCAGATTGTTGATGGTCTGCACCAGGCTGTGGGTTTCTCTCATGTTTACTTTGCTTTGTTTACGCCCGACCGAACCAAACTGGTGGTCAAATACAGCGCCGGTGTTGATGCAGCAGCAGCGCATGCGTGGCCGCCACACGATCCGAAAAGCGTGCCGGTTTTTGTCAGTGCCCTGGCTGACTTCAAGGCGCAGATTTTCACCGACGTGGTGCGGCAGGACGCCTGGCATTTTGGCGGGTCCGGTGCGGTTGTCGCCGTCAAGCTTGCGCAGAAACCTGTGGGTATGTTGTATGCGGAAAACGATGTCGGGCAGTCGGTCAGCCCGGAGCAGTTTATGGGCTTTCGGCAGCTCGGGCAGCAGATTGCACTGGTCCTGTCTCAGGCCGCCTAAAAAACCCATACAAGAAATGCAGCGCGGCGTTACACTGACGCCATGATCACCCTGATTCTCGATGGCCGCTATGAAGTGTTTGTGCTGCTTGTTATTGCACTTGTGGTATCACTGTCTTTCCATGAATTTGGTCACGCGATTGTGGCTAAATGGCAGGGTGACGATACAGCGGAGCGGGCTGGTCGTCTTACCTTGAACCCGATTGCCCACCTTGATCCGGTGGGTTTTCTCATGGTTGTTTTCATCGGTATTGGTTACGCCAAGCCGGTGCCTACTGATCCGCGTAATTTCAAGTCTGCGATATCTGATTTATACGTTGCGGCAGCAGGACCGTTGATGAATCTGTTAACGGCGCTGATCAGTTGGAACATTTTCCTGTTGCTGATCAAAGCAGGTTGGCAGAATCCTGGCGGCGAATTATTTTTCACGCTGCTTGCGCAGATCAATCTGCTGTTGATGCTGTTTAACCTGATTCCTCTGGGTCCTCTGGATGGGCACTATATCCTGCCGCATTTCCTGCCGAAAAATCTGGCCTACCAGTATCGGGTCATGAATATGCGTTATGGCACCGCGATTTTCCTGGGCTTGATCGTGGCCAGTTTTATGGGGTTGCCTCTGCTGGTATATCTGCAGAAAGCCTCTTTATTCATGCTCAACCTGATCACCCTAGTGCCCATGTAGCTCATGTAAAGGCGCGGCGTTTGAAAGTGACCGGGTGATGGTGAAGATGATAGGGTTGCGTACTCTTTTTTTCACGCTGAACGATGTCGCCTAGAAACAACTACCTGTTCGCCACCAGTACCTGGTTCATGGCATGGGGTATGCAGTCGGTGGTATTTGCCTGGCTGGTCACCATTGTGCTGCGCGAACCGGCCGAATTGGTTGGCTGGGCGCAAACAGCGTTATTGCTGCCCGGCATGCTGTTTATTCTGCTGGCCGGGGTGATAGCTGATCGCGTGGGGCCCGACCGTCAGGCACTTTTTGCACAACTGGCCGGAGCAGTGGTGCCCTGGATTCTGATCGCGGCAATTTACGCAGGTTGGTTGAGTTTCCCTGTCATGCTGGTTTACGCCGTGCTGATGGGTCTGGTTCAGGCCTTTGTTACCCCAGCCAGAGACGGTTTGCTGAATCATGTGTCGGGCAACAAGGTGCAGCATACGGTTTTGCTGACCAGCCTGTTCCAATTCGGTTTCCAGATTGTCGGCTATGGGATCGCTGCGTTTTCGGATCTTCTTGGTGCTTCTGTGGTGTTGGCAATGCAGAGCCTGTGTCTGCTGGCTGGCGTTGTGGCCTATTGGCAAATACGTCAATCCGGCATCGTTGAAACACAGCCCCGCACCACTGACTCTGTCCTGCAGAGTGTTCTCCAGGGTGCCAGAACCGTCGCCGGCTCACCCGTCATGCGTACAGTGGTGATACAGAATGTCGCCATGGCAATGTTTTTCATGGGCTGTTTTATTGTCTGTTTTCCGCTTGCCGTGCGGGAAGTGTTTAACGGGTCCTCCACCAGTCTTGGGCTGCTCAATGGCCTGAATTCAGCAGGTCTTGCGTTGACCATTCTGGTGATGTTGAGAATCGGCTATGTGAAACGTGCGGGACGTGCTTTGTTGGTGGCCCAGGGGTTGGGGTCCATGGTGCTGATTCTCAGTGGTAGCGTCCAAAGTTTTACTGTGTTTATTGTTCTGGTTTTCTGTTGGGGTTTATGTGGTGGTGCTGCGATGCCGATGTCTCGAACCATGATGCAGGAGTTAGCGCCGCCGTCGCAGCGTGCCCGTGTTATGAGTTTCTATGCCTTTTCGTTTATGGGCGCGGGTCCCATTGGTACCTTGTTTGCCGGCTATCTGTCTGAGCTTGTTGGTCCGCAGATGGCGATTCAGATATCCGGAGCGCTGATGCTGACCGTTGTGGTACTTGTCGGCCTGACTTCACCATTGTGGCGCGAAAATTTTGAGCAAGCGCCCGCTGGAGCAAGCTAGTGGCGGTGCGTTTGAGTGTAGATATTGGCGGTACTTTTACGGATGTTGTCGTTCAGCAGGGGCTGATGGTGACTTCGGTCAAAGTGCTGACCACACACGCAGACCCGGTGACTGGTGTTCTGCAGGGCGTTGATGATGTGCTGGCACGTACGGGCATTGCCGCGGCTGATGTGCAGCTAGTACTGCATGGCACCACGCTTGCGACAAACGCCTTGATAGAGCGTCGTGGCGCAAAAACCGCATTGCTGACCACTGCTGGACACCGTGATGTGCTTGCCATGGCCTTTGAAAACAGATTTGAACAGTATGATGTGAACATCGACCGGCCCGCCCCGCTGGTGCCCCGCCACTGGCGGGTAGGAGTTGCCGAGAGAGTGGCTGCTGATGGTCAGACTCTGCTGGCTTTAGATGAAAGCGGGCTCATGTCTGAAGTGCATGCGCTGGTAGAGCAGGGCGTTGAATCCTTAGCTGTCGGCTTTCTGCACAGCTATCGCCAACCTGCCCACGAGCTTCGTGTTGCACAGCTTGTTAAACAGAGTTTTCCGCAACTTTGGGTTTCGTTGTCCTGCGAGGTTTGTCCGGAAATACGTGAGTACGAACGTATGTCCACAACCACCGCAAATGCTTATGTGAAGCCGCTGATGGCCGGTTACCTGGAGAGATTGCGAGCCGTTCTGGTTGAACGTGGTTTCAACTGCAAGGTGCTTTTGATGACCTCCGGTGGTGGCTTGACGACGCTGGATGCGGCAACTCGATTTCCGATTCGTCTGGTTGAGTCCGGTCCAGCTGGCGGTGCGATGCTGGCTGCAAGTGTGGCTAAATCTCATGAGGAAAGCAGCGTGGTTTCTTTTGATATGGGTGGCACCACCGCCAAGCTGTGTTTAATTGAGAAGGGTGTGCCGCAACATTCACGCGCTTTTGAAGTCGACCGCAGTTATCGATTTAAAAAAGGCAGCGGCCTGCCAGTCAGAATTCCGGTTGTGGAGATGGTTGAAATTGGTGCTGGCGGCGGGTCCATCGCCAGTCTGGACAGTTTGAAACGGATTCACGTCGGCCCTCAGAGTGCGGGTTCTGAGCCCGGGCCAAGCTGCTACGGGCGCGGTGGGACGTTGCCGACAGTCACCGATGCAGATCTGCTACTGGGTCGTCTGCTGCCGGAAAATTTTGCTGGTGGCAGAGTGAACCTCTCGGTTGAGGCGGCGACCGAGGCACTTGAGCACCATATCGCGCAGCCGCTGTCACTGGATGTATTGTCTGCGGCGCTGGGGATCAGCGAAATTGTCGATGAGAACATGGCTGCTGCTACCCGTGCGCATGCAGCAGAGTGGGGCAAACGTGTACAAGGCACCTGTCTGGTTGCGTTTGGTGGTGCTGCACCGCTACACGCGGCGCGCCTGGCCCAGAAGTTGAAAATCCCGCGGGTGCTGATTCCGCCCGGCGCGGGTGTGGGTAGCGCCATCGGGTTTCTACTCGCCCCGGTGCGATATGAATTAGTGCGTAGCGCTTACGCGCTGTTGGCAGAGCTCGACCAGGCAGAAGTCACGGGACTGTTTAAACAGATGCGCGCCGAGGCTGCCGAAGTGCTCGATGATGCTGGCGCTACGGGTGAGCGAGAAGAGCGGCGGGAAGGTTATATGCGATATGTCGGGCAGGGTTACGAGATTGCCGTAGATGTCTCAGACCTGCAGGCGCTGTCTGTTGATGATATCCGTAGTCGTTTCGAACGTACTTACGAGCACCTGTATGGGCGCACTATTCCGGATCTGGCCATAGAAGTGCTCAGCTGGACGTTATCACTCTCCAGTGAACCGATGACAAAAACCTTACAGGCGGCAGATGCCCAGGCCATGGAGCAGGCGGTGAGTGATCAGGTTCAGTGGTGGTCAGGTGATAGCGCGTTTACCGCAAAGGTCTTGCCGCGTGCAGAGCTGCAGGTGGGTCAGAGCTATGCCGGTCCGCTTGTGATCGCTGAGACTCAGACGACCACAATTGTGCCAGCGAGCGCCCGGGTTTCTGTCTGCGCAGATGCTTCCCTGTGTATAGAACTTGCCGTGCAGGAGGACTAGGTCATGCAGGAACTGCAAATTCAGCTGGCGTGGAACCGACTGCTTGCCATTGTTGAGGAACAGGCGCAGGTGTTAATGCGTACCGCGTTCAGCACTGTTGTCCGTGAAGCGGGTGATCTGTCCGCCGGTGTGTTCAACCCTGCTGGTGACATGCTTGCACAAGCGGTGACGGGCACACCCGGGCATGTTAATTCGATGGCGGCAGCAGTGGCTAAATTTCTTGACAAATTTCCTCTGGCCACCCTGCAACCGGGCGATGTGCTGCTGACGAATGATCCCTGGGACGGTACCGGACACCTGAATGACTTCACCGTGGTGACGCCGGTTTTTTCCGCACAGGGGTGTGTTGCTTTGTTTGCCTCGACCAGCCACATCGCAGATGTTGGCGGGCGCGGTTTTGGGCCTGACGCAAATGATGTTTTTGAAGAAGGTCTGCGTATTCCTATTTCGCATCTTTTTCGCGCCGGTATACGCAACGACGTGCTCATGGACATACTGCTGGCTAACGTTCGCGATCCGCTGGTGGCGCAGGGTGATCTGTATTCCTTGACCGCGTGCAACGATGCTGGTGCAGCGGCGCTGCTGGATATGATGCAGGACTTGTCTTTGCCTGATTTGGATGAGTTGGGGGCTACCATCATCCAGCGTTCAGATGACGCCATGCGGGAGCAGATTGCACGCTTGCCTCAGGGACGTTATGCCTATGCCATGACCGTAGACGGCTACGACGAACCGGTTGAGATCAAAGCCGAGATGCATATTGACGGCAGACAGATCACAGTGGATTTTGCAGGTTCTTCCGGGGCCAGCCCTCGAGGGATAAATGTGCCCTTAGCCTACACCCAGGCTTATGCTTCTTTTGGTGTTCGTTGCCTGGTGGGAAATGAGATACCTAATAATGCAGGATCACTTGCGGCGATACATGTGCGAGCACCACAAGACACCTTGCTGAACGCACGCTCGCCCAGAGCGGTATCTGCCCGCCACAGTATTGGCCAGATGTTGCCTGATGTGGTGTTGGGGTGTCTTGCTCAGGTGTTACCGGAATCCGTGCCAGCTGAGGGTGCTTCGTGTATCTGGAATCCAGTCTTCATGCATGCATTAGGTGCTGCTGATGATCAGCAGTTTGTGATCAACCCGATCTTCAATGGGGGTACCGGAGCGCGTCCACACAAAGATGGCTTGTCCACTACAGCGTTTCCCTCTGGCGTACGGACTACCTCGACTGAAGTTAATGAAGTGACCTCACCTTTACTGTTCTGGTGTAAAGAGTACACGCCCGGTTCGGGCGGAGAAGGCCGGTTCCGGGGTGGTCTGGGACAGACGATCCGGGTCAGTCATAGATATGCACAGCCGTTCGTGATCTCCAAGATGTTTGATCGTATTGTGCATCCAGCGCGTGGTCGCGCACGCGGTTTGGATGGTGGGCCAGGGGCGGTGACCGTCGAGCATGCGGATGGCACCTCACAGTCTCTGGCGGGAAAAGGCCGCGAGCAGGTGCCAGCACAGGCTACCCTGGTGCTGAAAACACCGGGTGGAGGTGGATTCGGTCCAGTGGAAAAGCGCACGCGGCAAGCAGAGCAGGCGGATCAACAGGCTGGGCTTGTGAACAAAGCTGACAACCGCTGATTGACCCACCATTCAGCGGGGTTTGTGTTCCGTACCCGGGCAGGGAGTAAAGTAAAGCGCGTTGATGGGTGTCTCGATATTGGCGGTATGCCATACAACCGCTGGATTGATCACGGCGCTGCCAGCTTCGACGGGCAACCTGTGTTGTACACCATCGATATCCTGAATAAATTCTCCTTTCCCGCTGAGCACAACTACAATCTCTTCACCCTGAGTGTGTCGTTCCCATGAGTCCCAGTTGCGTGGTGATGCTTCGATCATCATGATTCGTCCAGGCTGCTGCTCGGAACAGTGGTGATCGATGTATTGCTCAAAAGATGCCCCATCAAAATTGAAGTCCTCAAGGACAACGGCGGGTTCAGCATTTTTGCCTATACTGGAAATATGTAGCGGTTTAGACCTCAAGTCGATGGCGTTAGCGAGCATTGTTGACTCTCCGTTTAGTGTAGGGTGCTCAGGACAAATGGCTGTGCCAGGGTCCTGAGTCCGATTTCCCTTGACAGCGCGGGCTACCGTCAAGAACATGATTGTCCAGAATTCCGCAGTGGCAAAGTCCCACTTAAGGCAAACTGAGCGTGCTTTTGCGTCGATTAAATGTATTTTTTCTGGTTCTCGCCAGCCTGCTGACTTCGTCTGCTGTGGTCGCGGTGACACCGCTTGATCGCAGTGATCTGCAATCAGCCTGCGAAGCCTACGAAGATGATCCGGCAAGCCCATCTGGCTTGCATTGTGTGCTTTATATTCAAGGTTTTCTAGACGGCGCGGTGGCCACCGACGAGCGTGTCACCATGAACATCGCTGACGAACTGGACCGGTCCGAAACCCTGACTGAACGCGCTATTCGTACGCGTCTTGGTGATCGGGTCAGGGTCAGTGGACCCACCATCTATGCTGAGTATTGCGTCGGTGATCCGGTACCGGTGCAGGAATTAATCAGCCATGTGCTGGAGCAACTCAGCGATCCCGACGAGACAACACCCGCTCTGGCTCGAGACGTTGTTTACGCGTCTCTACGTCGGCACTACCCGTGTGAGGGATAAGGCTGTATGCGCCTGGTTCTGACATTTATCTTATGGATGGTCATCTGGCTTTTATGGAGTGGACTGTATAAACCGCTGCTGATTACGCTGGGTGTGATTTCTTGCCTGTTTACCCTGTTCCTCGCTCATCGAATGGGTTTTTTCAAGCGCGACGTCTTCAGTCTGCATCTGAGCTATCGGCTCATCCCTTTCTGGGGCTGGCTTGCTATTGAGCTGGTGAAATCGAATCTTGAGGTGGCGCGCATCGTTCTGTCGCCGAAAATGCCTATCACCCCGACGGTTGTGCAACTGACGGCGCAAACCAAGAATCCGGTCCTGCAGGCGATTTTGGGTAATTCAATTACATTGACCCCGGGCACAGTCACGCTGGATGATCACGAAGGCGAATTGTTGGTTCACTGCCTTACTCGGCAAGGTGCGGATGCCCTGCTGGAAGGGGATATGAACCGGCGTGTTTCGACTCTGCTGCATTCCTGATGGATCAACAATGATGGCCGCAAAGTGATGAATAAATTCTGATGGGTATGTACTACGTAGCTTCGGTGGCCATTTTTCTGACCATGATTCTGGCTTTGAGCCGGGCGTTGTTAGGGCCATCTGTATATGACCGGGTGCTTGCTGTGAATATGTTTGGCACCAAAACAGTGCTTTTATTGGCGGTGATTGCGTTTTTATACGGTCGCCCGGACTTTCTTGATCTGGCTCTGGCATATGCTCTGATCAATTTTATTGGCGTTCTCGCAGTCCTGCAGTTTTTCCAGAATCGACGGGATGATTCTTTGCCTGCCAATATTGAAGCACCCCAGGACGAGCACTGATATGCAATTAGGTCTCGATATTCTGAGTTGGGGTCTGCTTGCTGGTGGTGGCTTGTTTGTGCTCATTGGGGGCATAGGCATCATGCGTCTGCCAGATCTCTATACCCGCATGCATGCGGCCAGTCTGACGGACACTATGGGTACAGTGATGATCCTGTTGGGCATCATGTTGCAGGCGGGTTTGTCCCTCGCGGCTGTAAAGCTTGCTGCCATTGCCGTTTTCCTGTTGCTGACTGGACCCACTGCAACCTATGCGTTGGCAAATGCAGCGATGCTCTCCGGTCTGCGCCCACTGGATGTTGAAATGCCGCCAAACCTGCCTGAGGACATGCAGCCGTGACAGTTCTGTTCGGCATATTTCTGCTTACTTTGCTGGTCATTTCGGCAATCGGCATAGTCCGTGCTGAAAACCTGTTCACCGCCGTCATGCTGACGGGCATTTTTTCGCTCCTGATGGCGTCTAACTTCTTTGTGCTGGATGCGGCCGATGTCGCGTTAACCGAAGCAGCTGTAGGCGCGGGTGTGTCCACTGTATTGTTGTTGGGTGCTTTGGCGCTGATTCCCCCAAACGAAAATCGTCCCAAGGGTGTGCGTTGGCTTGCACTTTCGGTTGTTACCCTCACTGCGCTTACCGTAGGGTATGCTACTTTCGAGAAACCGCGCCTGGGAGATCCAGAAGCGCCGGTGCACCAGCATGTTGCGCCATGGTATCTGGAGCAGACACCTGTACTTATTGACATACCTAATGTCGTCACCGCCGTGCTGGGTTCCTATCGCGGCTATGACACTTTAGGCGAAGTGATTGTTGTGCTTACCGCAGGCATAGGGGTTTTATTCCTGCTTGGTCTGCCGGGGGCGTTTGGCGATCGTAAGCCAGAAGATGTTGCTGGTGGCCGTACTTATCTCAGTCACCACCTTGTGCCACAGGTTGTCGGGCAACTGCTTATACCTTTCATTATCCTGTTTGCGCTGTATGTTCAATTCCATGGGGAATACGGGCCTGGCGGCGGATTTCAGGCAGGCGCAATTTTTGCGGCTGCACTTATTCTGTTTGCGCTAATTCAGGGTGAGCGGGAAGCGCTTGTTCTAATACCTCCTCGCGTTCTTGTTGTGTTGATGGCGACGGGTGCGTTGCTTTATGGCAGCGTTGGTTTGGTGACTATGTTGTTAGGTGCCAATTTTCTCGAGTACGGAGTTCTATCGAGCAACCCGGTTGCAGGTCAGCAGTGGGGCATTATCCTCATTGAGCTAGGTGTTGGCATTTCGGTCGCATCAGTTCTGCTTGCGATTTATCACGCATTTGCAGCAAGAGGACGATAACGTTGGAATTCCTTGGCCTGTATAACTATTGGGTTTTTGTGGTGCTGTTGATGATTGGCTTCTACGCTGTCATCGCCAAGCCGAATCTGATGAAAAAGCTGTTGGGTCTGAGTATTTTTCAGGCGGCGGTTTTTCTGCTGTACATCACTATGGATAAAGTTGATGGCGGCACAGCACCCATCATTCAACCCGGCGTAGTTGATCAGATTTATTCCAACCCGCTTCCTCAGGTACTGATTCTCACCGCAATTGTTGTGGGTATCTCTACCATCGCATTGGGCCTGGCTGTTGTTGTTCGCATCTACGAGGCTTACGGCACCATCGAAGACGATGAAATTCAACAGGCGGACACTCAGGAGTGAGCCTCACCAGTCAATTACCCGCGTTGCAGATTGTGGTGCCGATGTTGTCAGCGCCAATGATCATGTTGTTGCGTGGCGGGAGTTTAGCCTGGGCAACAGCAACTGCCGCAAGTGTGATGGCGTTCTGTATTGCTGTTGCGCTGACGCTTGGGGTTCGCGATTTAGGCGTGCTGACTTATGCAATGGGTGGTTGGCCCGCGCCGTTTGGCATTGAGCTGAGAATTGATGCTTTGAATGCGCTTCTTTTGCTTGTGACAACGGGTGCATCTAGTGTGGCCCTGCTCAGCGGTCGTGTGAGTTTAGCTCGTGACCTTCCTGAAGGTCAGCAGCCCCTGTTTTATGCCGCCTGGATGATTGCGTTGACTGGTTTGTCAGGTATCGCGGTTACCGGCGACGCATTTAACGTCTTCGTTTTTATGGAGATTTCCTCCCTGGCAGGTTACATCCTGGTAGCAGCCGGTCCTGATAGACGGGCACTGACTGCAACCATCAAGTATCTGGTGATGGGTACTATTGGTGCCACCTTCTATCTGATTGGCGTTGGTCTTGTTTATATGATGACCGGTACGCTCAACTTTGCCGATATGGAGGGGCGTCTGGTTGAAGTGGGTGATCAGACCCCGATACTGGTTGCTGCCGGTTTCATCACCGTGGGGCTGGCGTTGAAGGCCGCAGTGTTCCCGCTACATGTCTGGTTACCTAATGCTTATCATCACGCACCACATATGGTCACCGCCTTTATGGCGGCTTGTACCACGAAAGTGGCGTTATATGTATTGTTGCGCTTCGATTTTGTCGTTTTTCAAGGCAACCTGACCGGGCATATGACCCAATATGCGGGTTTTCTTGCACCGTTGGCCATTCTTGGAATTCTGGTCGGCTCAGCCGTAGCGGTGGTCGAAGGACACTTAAAGAGATTGTTGGCCTATTCCTCCGTCGCGCAGATAGGCTACATTCTGCTGGGTGCTAGTTTTGGCGACGTCCAAGGTCTGACCGCAGCATTTACTCACATGTTTAACCACGCGCTGGCCAAAGGCGGCTTGTTTCTGGTGCTGGCTGCTTTTGCACTTCAAACCAGTGGGCTGCGAATGACGGATATTGCTGGGCTTGCCCGTCGCATGCCACTGACTTCAGCGGCCTTGTTGATTCTAGGCGCTAGTCTCGTTGGCATTCCAGGCACTGCTGGTTTTGTCTCGAAATGGCTATTGCTGTCCGCAGCGTTCCAACAGGGTCCGCTGGGTATTGCCGCGGTTGCGGTTGTTGTGCTGAGTTCACTGGCCGGTGTGGTCTACGTGTGGAAAATTGTTGAGCAGCTTTATTTTGGTGAGCCCCCGGAGACTTCTGCTGCGACAGCGTCCAATGCCGGAGCAATCCCGTTCAAGTCCGAAGCGCCTGCAATGCTGCTGTTGGGAATCTGGGTGGTTGCTCTGGCGAATATTTATTTTGGTCTGTTTCCCGGATTCACGGTCAGCTTGTCTGAAAGTGCCGCAATGGGCCTGGTGAGTCATCTGCCATGAGTAGTGCAACCACCATTGTCCTGTCTCTGTTGCTGCCGTTGGCAGGCGCCATTCTGATCAGTATGACCGGGCGCTGGCCGAACCTTCGTGAAACCATCACGCTAGTGACCGCCGTTTCCGTTGCCCTGGTGGTAGCCTCGCTGGTGCCTGAGGTGATGGACGGTGGTCGTCCTGCCCTGATGGTCGCCGAGTTGTTTGATGGTTTACAGATAGCCTTCACCGTAGAGCCGCTCGGCATGTTGTTTGGCGCCCTTGCCGCAACCCTCTGGATTGTTAATTCGATCTATTCCATTGGTTATATGCGCGGCAACAACGAGAAAAAGCAGACCCGTTTTTATGTCTGTTTTGCCATCGCGATTGCCGCTGCCCTGGGTGTTGCGTTTGCCGGCAATCTGCTGACCCTGTTTCTGTGTTATGAAATTCTGACGCTGTCGACTTATCCACTTGTCTCGCACAAGGGTGATAAGGCGACGGTTGCCTCAGCCAGGGTTTATCTCGGCATTCTGCTGGGCACCTCTATCGGTTTATTGCTGCCTGCAATCATCTGGACCTATCTGGTTGCAGGCACCTTGACCTTCGCTCCGGAAGGTATCCTTGCGGGCCACATCAGTGGTCCTGCTGTGGGTCTGCTGCTGGCGCTGTTTGTTTTTGGCGTGGGTAAAGCCGCCGTCATGCCCGTGCATAAGTGGTTACCCGCAGCAATGGTTGCGCCAACCCCGGTGAGTGCTTTGTTGCACGCAGTGGCGGTTGTGAAGGCGGGTGTATTCACCATCACCAAGGTGATCATTTATGTCTTTGGGGTTGATAATCTGTTTTCAGAGCCTTCAAGTGGCTGGCTGATGTACGCTGCGGCGTTCACCATTCTTGCCGCCAGTGTGGTGGCGCTGCGTCAGACAAATCTGAAACGTATGCTGGCTTACTCCACGATCGGTCAGTTGTCTTATGTGATTATGGCGGCGGCGCTGTTGAAGCCGCTGTCAGAGATTGGTGCAGCGGTGCATATTGTCGCGCACGCGTTTGGCAAGATCACACTGTTCTTTGCCGCCGGCGCTATCTACACCGCAGCGAAGAAGACAGAGCTCAGCCAGCTCAGCGGGATCGGTGCACGCATGCCCTGGACCATGGCAGCCTTTACCATTGGCGCTTTGTCGATGATTGGCGTGCCGCCCACAGGTGGGTTTGTTTCTAAATGGTTCATCCTTGCTGGTGCGTTCGAAAGTGATAACTACGTGGCCATATTTACCATCATCGCCAGTACGGCATTAAACGCTGCGTACTTTTTGCCCATTATTTTTGCCGCCTGGTTCGGGCGTGAGGCAGAAGGTGGTAAAGACCACGGCGAAGCGCCCTGGCCCATGGTACTGGCGTTGTCTTTGACCGCTCTGGCGACGTTGGGCTTTTTCTTCTTTAATCAGCCGGTTCTGGATCTTGAAAGCCAGCTAGTGAGCCAAATGTAATGAATGACGCCGAAAAACAAAGCGCCCAAGCGCAGCAGGATGACCACTGGCTGGTGCGGCCGGCGACCATCCGCAAACTCTGGATTGTCTTCAGCATCGTGCTGGCGCTGACAGTTATCAGCCAGTTTTTCATCAAAATTAAAGGCTATTTCGGCATCGATGGCTGGTTTGGCTTTGGCGCTGTTTATGGACTCCTGGCCTGTGTTTTGATGGTGGTGGTCGCCAAGGTTTTAGGCGCTGTTCTGAAGCGCCGGGAAGACTATTACGATGATTGATATGGTCATTCCACCTGCATTTGTGCTGCTCGCTGGTGCACTGTTGATCGGCATCACCCGGGGTTGGCTGCGTACGGCGGTATTGCTGTTGGCGCCGCTGGCGACGCTCTGGGCGGTATGGCAGGTGCCGGACGGTGTAGCAGTGACTTCCTATTTCCTGGGTTATGACATTGAACCCGTCGAAGGCAGCGCCCTGCGTCGCCTGTTTGCCACCATTTTTTCCGTCATGGCTTTTGTTGGTGGCCTGTTTGCCTTCCGTCAGGCGCGTTGGTACGAACTGGCTGCTGCTTATGCGTACGCGGCGGGTGCAGTGGGCGTATGTTTTGCCGGAGATCTGATCACGCTGTTCCTGTACTGGGAACTGATGGCGATATTCTCCACTGTTGTGGTTTGGGTGGGGGGCACGCCCCAGGCCAGAGCGGCGGGCATTCGCTACGCCATTATGCACTTGTTAGGTGGTGTTATTCTCAAGGTGGGCATCGAAGGTATTGTGGTGCATACCGGTTCTGTCGATATCCAACCCATGCTGGCGACCAATTTTGATACCTGGATGGTGCTCATTGGTATTTTGATCAATGTGGCCGCGCCGCCGGTTTCAGCCTGGCTGGCAGATGCTTATCCTGCCTCGAGCCCAACAGGCTCAGTTTTCCTTTCCGCGTTTACCACCAAATCCGCGGTGCTTGCACTGATCCTCCTGTTTCCGGGTGAATCCGTACTGATCTGGATTGGTCTGTATATGGTGTTTTACGGCATCATCTATGCGCTGCTGGAGAACGATGCGCGACGAATCCTGGCCTATTCAGTGGTCAACCAGGTTGGGTTTATGGTGGTCGCTGTGGGCATTGGCACCGAAATGGCACTGAATGGTGCAGCCGCCCATGCGTTTGCACACATCATTTATAAGGCGCTGTTGTTCATGTCTGCCGGCGTGGTGTTATACCGCACCGGCTTTTCCCGTTGTACCGATCTTGGTGGCCTGTTTCGTACCATGCCGTTTACCACCCTGTGCGGCATTATCGGCGCTTTAGCCATCTCCAGCTTTCCGCTGACTTCAGGTTTTACCACCAAAACGTTGATTTCCGTAGCTGCTGAACAGCAGGGTCTGGTGGTGGTCTATATGCTGCTTGCCGCTGCCTCAGCAGGTGTATTTCTTCATGCGGGAATCAAATTCCCGTGGTTTGTCTTTTTTCAGAAAGATTCCGGTCTGCGACCGAAAGATGCGCCCTGGAACATGGCTCTGGCGATGGGCATATTTGCCTTCCTGTGTATTTTTCTGGGTGTTTATCCTGAGCCGTTGTGGGCGCTATTGCCTTATCCCATGGAATACGAAGCTTATACGCCGGGTAAGGTACTGTTTTATCTGCAGCTGCTGCTGTTCTCCGGCCTGGCTTTTTTCCTGCTGTTACCCTGGATGCAACGCACCCTCACCATCTCCCTGGATACAGACTGGTTATGGCGTGTATTGGGGCGGCGTATCGCGCTTGCTGTGATAGCCGCGGTGGCTGCGACAGGTGCTGGGCTAGGTCGGTTGCTGGAGAGCATACGCGGGCAGATTGCGCCACCGTTGCTGCGTCTGCTAGACAACAGAGGCGCTCTTGGACGCACCTGGCAGGTCGGTACAACCGCACTTTGGATTGTGGTGCTGCTGACAACCTACGTGTTGCTGTATTACCTGTAAGGTGCTTTTAGTGGATGTGGCTACAAGCATTTGACACGGGCCACAACTGCTATAGAATTCGCGTCCCTGGAATATGTTGAACCAACTCAACAGACTTTTGCCAGGTAGTTTTTAAAGCGGGTGTAGCTCAGTTGGTAGAGCGCGACCTTGCCAAGGTCGAGGTCACGAGTTCGAGCCTCGTTACCCGCTCCAATTAAAAAAGCCCGGTTTGTTAGCCGGGCTTTTTTGTGTCTGGATGAAAACAGGGCACAATAGCAGCCATGCAAAGATCCATAGCAGATTGGGGCGGCAACATTGCTGCTTTTATCGTCGTCCTGGTTGCCAATACCCTCGCTAACGCGGTGCCCCTGGGTGGCCAGACGACCGGCGAGATATCCGACAAATACCCCTCATTGTTCACGCCAGCGGGTTATGTCTTCTCCATCTGGGGTCTGATTTACCTGACGTTGTTGTTTTTTATTGTCTGGCAGGCGTTGCCTGCACAGCGTGACAGCGTGTTGTTGAAAACACTGCGGGTTCCGTTCCAGGTCAGCTGTCTGTGCAACGCTGGGTGGATTTTTGCCTGGCATTACGATCAGCTGTTTCTGTCCTTTGCAATCATGCTGGGGCTGCTGTGGATGCTGGTCACCGTCTATACACGGCTCAATCTTGATCGCGCCGCTCATAACCTGGGTGAGCGCGTTTTCTTATATCTGCCGTTCAGCTTGTACACCGCCTGGATCAGCGTTGCGGTCATCGCCAATGCCAGTGCGATACAGATTACCTATGGTTGGAACGAGACAGTTTTCAGCCCGGTTGTCTGGACCGTGTTGAAGCTGGCGGCTGCCGGTACGGTGGCCGTTGGCGTCCTGTTTCGTTTCCGTGATCCCGCATGGATGTTGGTGCTGGCCTGGGCGAGTTTCGGGATCGCGTTCAGACATGCCGAAACCTCTGTGGTTTACGGCGCAGCTTTGTTGCTGGGTCTGCTGGGGCTGGGGTTAGTCATACTGCAATTATGGTGGTCTTTCAGGCACCCCCAGGCAGTTTAGGCTGATCTTGTCAGACGCAGATACACCCACACCCGACCCACATAAAGATAAGTGGGATGCGCGGTATCGCTCAGCCTCGCTGAACTGGTCTGCCCAACCTAATGTGCTGTTTGCTGAAATTGTCAAAGATCTACCGCCAGGTAGGGCTCTGGATGTGGCCTGTGGCGAAGGTCGGCACGCTTTGTGGCTGGCGGAGCAGGGCTGGCAGGTCACCGCTGTAGATTTTTCTGCTGTAGGACTGGCCAAGGCCCGGCAAATTGCTGAACAGCGTGGGCAGAATGTGCGCTGGCTGCAACACGATGTCACCCAGCGGATGGATGATCTCGGATTGTTTGACCTGGTGGCGGTGGTTTTTCTGCATACAGACCCATCCAGTCGGAACATATGGTTTGCCCATGTCAGAAACTGTGTCGCCCCCGGTGGGATGCTGGTTTACATCGGGCACGATCCGCGCAATATTGATAGTGGTAGCGGTGGGCCTGATCGGCCGGAAGTTCTGCCCGATGCTAGTGAGGTGTCGGCTTTACTACCGGGTTTTGAAATACTTAGAGCTGAGACTGTCGAGCGGTCAGTGGTTAGTGAGCCAGGTCATCACCATGACACTCAAGGCAAGGCATTTGATACGGTGGTCGTAGCGCAACGTCTCGATGGCTAACAAGGCGAAGTTCAGGAGAGAACGATGACAACCTACAGGAATGAGCTGAATTTGGCGTATACCGCTTCGTCTGCTGAGTCGTTGCAACCCTTTGAGGCTGCGCTGACGTCTTATCTTGGTGCGCGTCCAGACGTGATGGCAATCCTCGATGGTTTGCAAAGTGCAGATCCTGATATGTTCATGGCCCGGGTGTTTCGCGGTTATTTACTGAAACTCGCCGGGCATCCGCAGTTCAGCGGCGCGCTCACAGACCTGGTGAAACAACTCGAAGACCAAGTTCGTGCCCAGGCGCTGACCTCGCGGGAACAGACGCACCTGCAGGTCCTGAAGTTCTGGATCGAAGATCAAAGCGCAGCAGCGTTGTCTCTGCTTGAACAACTGCTGTTGGAACATCCGCTGGATATGCTGGCGCTGCGCATAGCGCACTATCTGCATTTTTATGACGGTAGCGGCGCAGCCATGAGTGCATCCACCGGGCGTGTGTTGGGTGCATGGCCGCAGAATCATCCGCATTATCCCTTTTTGCAGGGTATGCATGCCTTTGGTCTGGAGGAGTCGGGTGACTATGAACAGGCGTTGGCGCTAGGCCAGGATGCGGTGCAGGCCAACAGTCAGGATATCTGGGCGACACATGCCGTGGCTCATGTGTATGAAATGCTGGGAGAGCATGAGCAGGGTTTCAACTGGTTGACACAAACTGAACCGGGTTGGAAAGACACGAATAATTTTCGTTACCACGTTATCTGGCACCAGGCGCTTTTCTGCCTTGGGCTTGGTGAACACGACCAGGCACTTTCTATTTACGATAACCAGCTGGCAGACAGTGTCGCAGATGATTTTTACCTGGATATCTGCAACAACGCTGCACTGCTGTGGCGACTGGAATTCCTGGGTGTGGACGTAGGGGAACGCTGGCAGCCGCTGGTAGATACCTGTGCCCGTCACTGCAACGACCGCGAATTGCTGTTTGCTAATCTGCATTATCTGATTCCGCTGGCGGTCACCTGCGCACCAGCGCTTGAACCCGCGCTTGAAAACCTGTCCGACTGGGCACAAGGCTCTACGGACCAGGCCGTATTATGTCGTGAGGTAGGGGTTGCGTTGGCTCAGGCAGTGGCACAGGCACCGCAACAGCCGGATGCTGCGTTGGAACCGCTGCTGGCGGTTAAAGATGAAACTTATCGCATCGGTGGCAGTAAAGCACAGCGCGATTTGTTCCGTCTGTTGGGTCGTCACGCTGCTGTACAGGCTGGCCGCGGGGAACTTCTGGCCCAGTTAAGCTGAAGCTGGTCAGCTACCTGGCACACTGCTACATTGTCGTCGTTGGATCTGGGTAAACCCTCGTATGTTAAATTTCCCTCAGCCGCCGAAAAGCTACAGTCATGTCTTCTTAGAAGACACGGACCGTCCTTTGGCGGAGAAAATCAATCCGAATCTGCGTTATGCAATGTTTTCAACCATTGCCACTGGCGGCAAGTCGCTGATCAAATCCTGCAAAGACTTACATCTGTCCAGAGTGGTCTGTTACAAAACCCTGCGTCCCGAATTTGCCAAGGATGAAATAGAACAGCGCAGACTGCTGCGAGAGGCACGGGTTTCTGCAATGTTGCAGCATCCGAATACGGTGCCTACCTACGAGCTGGGACGCGATCGCGCCGGTAACTATTACTTCACCATGAAACTGGTACACGGATACACACTCCGGGAGATTCTGGATTTTCGCGAACGATACGACTTAACTCAATTGGTGGATGTCATCGTGCAGATCTGCCATGCGTTGGAATATGCGCATACCCATGGTGTTGTGCACCGAGACATCAAGCCTGAGAACATACTGGTTGGCCCCTATGGTGAGGTGCTGTTGCTGGATTGGGGTCTGGCCAAAGTCTGGAATGCTGACGGATCCACCAACACAGAAGCTACGCAGATTGATCTAGACCCTGCAGCTAACCCCTCGTTAACGTCCAGAGGTGCGTTACAGGGCACAGCGTCTTACATGTCGCCGGAGCAGATTCAGAGAGACCCGAATATTGATGCGCGTACAGATGTGTACAGCATCGGCGCGGTGCTTTACGAAATTCTTTGCGGTTCGACAACCTCCGGTCTTGATCAGGTTGACAAGATCGTCAACGCTACACTTTATGACGAACCACCCAAACCCTCAACGGTGAGTGACATACATGTGCCTTCGCTGTTGGAGTATGCCTGTATGCAGTGCCTGCAGAAGAACCCTGATAACCGTCTGGCCTCCATTGCCGAATTGCTGCGGTTATTGCAGGAAGACTGGCAAACCGACCTGGTGCCTACTGAATAAACAGGAGTAGTTCTTGAAAACCTGGCAGATCCTGATTGTGATTCTGGTGCTCATCCTGATGGCGGGTGGCGGTTACCTTTACACCCAGATTCGTGCGCTGGAGGTTGAGCAACTCAGTGATGACCTCTGGGTGTTGCGTGGTTTTGGCGGCAACACGGCGGTGCTTAAAACCCGGGCAGGTACGGTGGTTGTGGATACCATGACCTTTGGCATTCAAGGCGATCATATCCGTGAAACAGCTCGTGAGCTGACAGGTATGCCAACGGTGATGGTTATCAACACGCATTACCACCTCGATCATACCCACGGGAATCCTGCATTCGAGCCAGGCACCCGGGTCCTGTCTACCGAACGCACGCTGAAGTATTTACTCACGGTGGATGCAGATTTCTGGCAGGGTGGGGCTGCTGAACTGATGCCCAACGAGACATTTTCAGATCGGCAGACATTGTTTGTTGGCGATAAAAAAATTGATCTGGTCCACCCTGGTCCAGGGCATACCGATGGTGACCTGGTGGTGATCTTTGTGGATGAAGGTGTGGCTCATCTGGGTGATCTTTTCTTTAATGGGCACTATCCGAATATTGACCTCGAGGCTGGGGGTACCGTGCAGAGTTGGCCGGAGACTCTGGATAAGGTGCTGGCGTTGAACTTTGACCGGGCTATTCCCGGCCATGGTGCAACTACGGACCGAAATGGCATTCGCGATTTTCAGCGCTTTCTGCAGCAGTTGGGTGATATTGGTAAACAGGCGGCTGCTGAAAACTGGACGTTGGATCAGGTCAGGTCAACCCAGGCACTTACCGAGGATGCCGGTTATGAGCCCATTGAGTTTATTGTCTCCCTGGGTCTCGACCGCGGCTTTGTGCTGCAACGGGCCTGGGAAGAGACCACCGGGCAATTTGTCAGGCACCTCAATACTGCAGGTGCCCCTTAATCTACAGTTAGAAATGTTGCTTATTCGGCAGGTCCATCGCTATCTGCAGCAGCTTCGTTCATAGCATCCGCTTCGAGCACCCGTGCACCGCGCAAGATGCCGCCAAGGGCATAGTTGCCTTCATGGCAGGCGTACTCATAAACCTTATCTTCGGTGGCCGGCCAGGGATACTCGCCGCCCCAGGGCTCCACCCAGTTAGGATCATCGACGGTGAACGCGTAACGCAGTGTGTTCTCATCGATGCGGCTGAATCGTTCAGTGACGTGTAACGCCTGTGAGGCCATGAACAGACCGGGTTCCTCGCGGAAGTTTTTCGTTTCAACAACCAGCGTGTCGCCATCCCAGTAGCCAATGGAATCACCCAGCCAGCTGCGTGAGGAGTCGGGCAGGTGATCTGCGTCTATGCGCACTACGCGGGCATCGTGGTTCATTTCGTTAAAAATGATGACGTGGTCGTCTGTCTGCACGATGCGTTTTAAGTTGTTGTACATCACCGGGAGTGCCGGCGGTCCTGAGGTTGAGCCAAAACCAAGGATACAACGCTCGGCCAGTGGACGATTCTCGGGATTGTCGTATGGTCCCACACCTTTTTCTATCCACCAGGCAGTGCCGGTGTTTTCATGAAAGTTGGCCCGCTGTGCCATGGCTTTCTGCATGCCCTGAGGAGACAGCTTCGGCAGACGACCGTTGGCAGGCTGATTGATGATGGACGTTCGATACAGGCCATCCAGGAGGAATTTACTGTCGCCGATATCTACATAAAATGCGTTGTATCCACCGACGCCGCCTGCAGCACCGGAAAACTCCGGTATGTAAATTTCTGTGCCGCCTTCCGGGGGTGCTTCCCGGTCAGGGTCGCTTTTCTCATCGTCTTTGGCCAGATTGTCAGCCCAGTACTTTGCTGTCGCTTTTGCTTCTTCTTCGGTGACAAAGGCGCGGTCTCCGAATTCTTCGGGGCGTTGCAGCGGGGTGAGCGTTGCGATGTTGTAAGTACCTGATAAATCTGGTTTTTTAGCGGTTTCTTCCGCGTTCTGGGCGACTTGTGCGCATCCGCTAAGCGCAGCGATGCCTGCGACGAACACCAAGTGAGCAGTGAATTTCTGCATGTTTCTCCATTCTCCCTGTAAATCTCCTAAAGCATATCATCGAACAGGCTCGGAATATTTGCAATTTGAACTAGGCTTAGCGAGGTAAGTGTTTAAAAAGACTGGGAATTTTTACATTCATGTATCCGAGTGGTCTGCATCCCATCAGGTTGTGGTTGGTAGCTGTATGCCTTCTGGCAGGGCCACACCTGTACGCTGATCTGGTGGCGGAGTACCGCCTTGATGCGCAACAGTGGAATGGTACGCCGGGCGAGGTGATTGACAGCTCTGGAAACGGCTTCGCCGGACGCGCGCGTAACACCAGTCCGGTTACCGGTTTGCTGTGTAATGCCGCCGACCTGAGCGATGGTGGCACCGCAGATTATCTGGATCTGGATCATCGTGCGCTGGACGGTTTGCGTGATTTCACCCTCATGCTCTGGTACCGCTCCACAAATAGCGACCGTTCGCTGTTGCTGAGCGCCGCGAATGCCCGTGAAGAAAAAGAACTGTACTGGATGACCCGGCGCGGGGATCGTTTCGAACCGCAACTTTTTGATGACAGTGATGGCCGTATAGACATAGAGGATATTGATGATGGCGCCTGGCATCACCTGGCCTGGACGCGTATAGGTTCACGCAACTGTTTTTATGTTGACGGGCAGCAGCAGGACTGCAACCAGTTGCCACAAGGGGCGCTGAATGTCGACTTTACTGGATTCATCGTCGGTCAGGAGCAGGATGATATTGGCTACGACTTCCGTAACAACAGGGGTGTCGAGGGTCTTGTCGATGAACTCTATGTGTTCGACGAAGGTCTTTCTGGTGAGGCGATCGAAAGTATTCGTGCGAATAACGTAGCGGGCAACAGCTGGAATGGTGCGCCTCGTCGCTGTGCCCGGGTTGAGCCGAGAGCGGCCTACTTTTTTGATGAACCGAGCTGGTCCGGTGTCGCAGATGAAGTGCGCGACAGCAGTGGCAACGGTTACGATGGTATCGCCATCAACAGCACAACGACGCAGGGCCTGCTTTGCCGAGCGGCTGACTTGTCTGCAACAGATACGTCGGACTATCTGAGTCTGGATTTTCAAGCGCTTAACGGCGTGCGCGATTTCTCGATAGGTTTCTGGGCGCGTACCTCAAATTCAGCCAACAAAGCGTTTGTTTCCGGTGCACGTTCCGGTCAGGCAAATGAGCTGATTTTCTGGTTTAGCAGCGCGACCCGTTTTCGCCCGCATATAGAAAATAATAATCGAGACGTTGTGGTACCAAACGTCTGGGATAATACCTGGCACCACTGGATGTGGGTGCGCAATGGGGCGTCAAACTGCATCTATCTGGACGGCACCCTACGTGGCTGCGTCAACTTGATCACAAACTCTATCGATCTGGATCCGCGAGGTCTGGTGATTGGCCAGGAGCAGGATTCTGTAGGCGGCAGGTTTGTTGCTTCCCAGAGTGTGCGCGGGGAAATGGATGAGCTGCTGATCTTTGACCAAGCGCTCACCGCGTCCCAAGTTGCTGACATAGTGGTTAACAATCGCGACGGTTTGAGTTGGGATGGCAGTGTGCGTTCATGTCCCACGGTGGGTGCCAATATACTTCAGGTTGTCCATGACGGAAACGGTATTTACTGTAGTAGCGAGCGGATTGGGGTGCGTGCCATCAACGCCTCTGGCGACGTCGTTAGTGGGTATGCGACCACAGTCACGCTGGATACAGGTAGCGGCAGAGGCAACTGGGCGTTGGCTACCGGGGCCGGTACCTTAGTGGACGCAGTCGCTGATGATGGTCTTGCCACCTACAGCTTCAGCCCTGCTGATAGTGGCGAAGCCTGGTTCGCGTTGAGCTATCCCGACGGCCCTGCGGTGCTCGATATTGACGTTTTCGAATCTGCGGATCCCAACGTCCGTGATACAGATGCCGAAGGCACACTGATCTTCTCTCCCACGGGTTTCACCGTCACCGCAAACCCGCTGTCTAACCCACCGGTCAGTCCGGTGTCTGATCCTCTGTTAAGACAAACCGCAGGCACCGACTTTGATATTCATCTAACGGCTTTTGGCACCACTGAAGATGATCCTGTATGTGGCGTGATCGAAGACTATGAAGGTGTGCAGGCTGTGCAGATCTGGCAGGATCTGGTGGATCCGCTTGCAGGATCCGTTCGGGCGCTTGTTAATGCCAGCCCTGTGGGAGTAAATGCAGCTTCACCTGTGGTGCAGAATATTCTGTTCAGCGCAGGTCAGGCGGTTGTGTCAGCGAAGTACAAAGATGTCGGGCGGCTGCGCCTGAATTTTCAAGCCGGCAGTCTGACTGGGGCAACGGATAGTTTTGTCAGCCCACCTGCGGATCTTTCCATCAGGCGGATTGAATCATCTGCTGGTATCCCCAATCCCAGAGCTGACAGTCTTGCTGGTGCAGGGTTTGTCGCTGCAGGTGAGCCTTTCCGGATAACTGTGGCCGCACTGGACGCTGAATCTGATCCAACACCTAACTATGGTAATGAGCTGGCCAGCGAGGGTATTCGGGTGTCCGCGGTTGACTTGTTGCTGCCCGCCGGGGGGCGTCTTGGTCCTGCAGACGACGGTGTGCTGAACAATGGTGACAGTTTTTCCCCAGCGGCTCCGCTGGGTTACTTCCTCAACAGTGATATTGCCTTTGACGAGGTAGGCAGTATCACGCTGCAGGCCGAGGTTGGCGATGGCAGCTATATGGACACTGGCAACGTTGTGGGCGGGCTCGCAGGTCCAGTGGGACGCTTCTATCCGCATCATTTTGAGCTGCTTAACGCAACAGTGGATACCCAGTGTTCAGGGTTTGCTTATATGTCAGCGCCGTCCGTTTCACTCACCGCTGAGATCTATGCGCGAAATCAAAGTGGGTTCACAGTTGAAAATTATGATGCGGTGCTGTTCAGTAATGGGCTTGCACCGGTAGGTTTTGTCGCTGAGTTTCAGGATAACGGTATTGACCTGGGATCCCGTTTAACCATTGCTACTGCGCAATGGCAGTCTGGTAGATATAATGTGTTAGACACTGGCGCTGCCTTTGAGCGTCTGGGTGTCGCTGACGGCCCGTATGAGCTGATGGCAGTAGGTGTTTCAGTTAACGACACGACTGACACGCGCCAGCTTATGGGGTTGGACATGAATGCTCAGGCTTCAGGCTTTTGTGCGCTGGGTGCTACCTGTAATGCGCAACGCATTGGCACCCTCAGTGCATATTTTGGGCGTATGGTGATTTTACCCAGCCAGGGCCCGGAAGATCAGGATCTGGATATCCGGCTGCAGACACAGGCTTTTCAAAATGGTGCGTTTACCGCGTTTGAGCAGGACAGTTGTACAACTTATCAGGCTTCACAATTGTCTTTGAGTAACTTCAGTGGCGACCTGCAGGTGGGTGAAACAGCTGTGTTGGGGCCGCTTGGCGCAACGCCTCTGGTAGATGGGCAGGTTGATCCCAGCAATCCTCTGTGGCTGTCCGCACCGGGCAGCGGTAACACGGGCGCCGTCGACGTTGAGTTACAGACACCAGCCTGGTTGCGTTATAACTGGTTGGGAGCCGGTGAGGTGAATCCCCGCGCGCAGCTCACGTTTGGAAGATATCGCGGTCATGATCGCATCATTATCTGGCAGCAGGATCCCTGAAGGGTTGCACTGCTTTCCTAGATACAGCGCCCGCCATCAATTTCCAGAGCCACACCTGTAATCAAACTGGCGCTATCACTGCATAAAAACACCGCTGCAGCGCCCAGATCCGTTGGTGTGGAGAAACGTCCTAAGGGGATGCTCTGCAAGAACGTGGCGCGTTGCTCTGGCGTGTCCTCACCCATGAATGTTGCCAGCAGTGGCGTTTCTCCAGCAACCGGGTTAAGTGCGTTGACGCGGATGTTAAGCGCGGCAAGTTCAATGGCCATTGATTTGGTGGCGGTGATGACCCAGCCTTTAGATGCGTTGTACCAGGTGAGGTTGGGCCTCGGGCTCACTCCAGCGGTGGAGGCGATGTTCAGAATGACCCCCTGCTGACGTTTCTTAAACGCGGGTACAATCACCTTGCCACATACAAAAATGGATCGCATGTTGACGTCACACAGGCGTTGAAAGTCTTCTGCGCTCACGTCTTCCATTGCAGTAGGTGGCAGGCCGATGCCGGCGTTGTTAACCACAATATCTACGTCACCCGCACGACGCTGTAACAGATCTATCGCGCTACGCATGGATGCTTCGTTGGTGACGTCACCTTCCAGGGCAATGGCGCGGCTGCCCAGGCGGGTTGCAACCTCTGATGCCGCGGTAAGGTTCAGGTCAAGCAGTCCTACCGTTGCACCAGCAGCAATGAAACTTTCAGCAATGCCCGTTCCAAAGCCTGAGCCTGCGCCAGTGACAATCGCGACCTTGTCTTGCAAAGCGCTCACGCCTGTGAACCGTGAAGCAGGTTGTGCAGGGCGATGGCCATGACTTTGGCTGAGTCGATCATATCCTGCACCTCAACATATTCGTCGGGTTGATGTGCAAGGGTCAGGATGCCCGGGCCGTAAGCAATGCAGTCGCTCAGTTTGCCAATACGATCTATATGTTTCTGATCGTATGTGCCCGGCGATACCACCATCGTGGCAGGCTTGTGCAGTACCTGTTCAATGGCCTGGCTGACGGCCTGAACCACAGGGGCATGCTCGTCTGTCATGGTGGGAATCACCTCGAACAGATCTCTGATGGTGTAGTCAAACCGGTCGCGGTCTGCGCGCAATCCGTCCAACAGGCTGACAACCTCCTGTTTCACCGTGGCCAGTTGTTCTTCGATAAGAAAGCGTCGATCAATAATCATGCGGCAGGAGTCTGCCACCAGAGGTGTGGGTAGACCCTCAAACGCTTCTGATTCACCGCCATGCATTGAGTTGATGTTCAGCGTCGATTGTTTTGCGCCATCCGGGACAACCGGCATGTTGGTGCGTTTGGTCGCCAGGTGAGGAAAAAGTTCGGATTCAAAGCGGGCAAGTACGGCAGCCATATGGCGCACGGCACAGTCGCCATCAAAGGGCATGCTGCCATGGGCAATGTGGCCCTTGGTTTCAATTTCCGCCCACCAGACACCACGATGACCTAAACATACGCGGTCTTTGTCCAGCGGCTCAGGGATGATCACATGGTCAATACGTGGCTTTGCCATGATGCCCAGTTCAGCCAGGTAGGCGACGCCGCCATAGCCACCGCTTTCTTCGTCTGCGGTGCCGGATATCTCGATGGCACCAGGATGGTCAGGATACATCTCGAGGTAAGTTTCAACGGCGATAACCGAGGCGGCAAGACCACCTTTCATGTCACATGCGCCGCGCCCGTAGATCCGGTCACCCAGCAACGTCGCGGCGAATGGATCCTGTTGCCAGCCTTTACCGACTGCAACAACGTCAATGTGGGAGTTGAAATGCACACAGGGACCGCTGCCGCCATGGTGCCGGGCGACAACGTTCATGCGCGGATACTGATCCGTGTCCCCAGGGCTACCTTCGGCGCGAAAGTACTCAACCGTAAAAGCACGCTGGGCCATACGCTCACCGACAAAGTGCGCGCAGTCATCATAGAATTCACCGGGTGGATTGATTGTGGGGATACGTATCAGATCCTGTGTGAGGGCAATCAGCTCATCTTTTTTTGCGTCTATGCGGCGGCTCAAGCCGTCTATATCGATTGTGCTGTTCACGCGGTGTCCTTGATTATTATTTCTGTTCGGACATTTGTACTGCTTCAAAGACGCCGCGCGCAATGGCTCTGGCCATGGTGTTACCAGCGAGCACACCCAGGTCAAGCAGCGCTTCTTCATCTGCATCATACTGTCCGGTTGAGGCGACAAAAATCAGGTCGCCGTCGGCGGGTGTGTGTACCGGGTATAACGCGCGGGCAAAACCATCATGTGCTGATGTGGCGATGCGTTTGGCCTGAGCAGCGGTCAGTTTCACGTCTGTCACAATAATGCCCAGGGTTGTGTTGGCGCCTGCGACACGCTGTCCTGATTTGGTGCGGCCTTGTCTGGCATCGTCTGGCCAAGGGTGTGGGTAGCCGTAGCCGCCAAACTCAGCATCTTCTTCAAAAGGTGCTGCCCAGAAATGATGGGTATCGCCAACCAGGGCTGAACCGGCTGCATTGACAGCGGCAGCGGCTAACAGAGTGCCGCCACTTCGAAGCTTTGTTTCTGCCATGCCAAAACCGCCCGGTGCGTTAGCCGTTCTGGCGCCCAGCGCTGCACCGACAGCACCTAACTTAGGCTGTTGGGTCATCGTTTCCATGGCTGCGTAACCCAGATCTCGATAGGGGGAAAAGCGCCCCCAGTCCTTGTCGCCTTCATTGCGCATATCAAACAGAATCGCACAGGGGACAATGGGGATACGCACCGGGTCCAGTGGAATGCCGCGGTTGTGTTTCCGTAGCCAGGCCTGAACACCGCCGGCGGCATCCAGCCCGTAAGCAGATCCGCCAGACAAAACCAGCGCGTCGATATGGTCGACGGTAAACTCCGGGTTCAGCAGTTCAGTATCGCGAGTGCCAGGTGCAGCACCCATAATGTGAACGGCGGCGACTGCTGGGCGATCAAAGAAACAAACTGTGGTGCCGGTTAGAACCTTGTTGTCTTGCGCATGACCAAAGTGCACGCCAGGGATAGAAATACTGAACTCTGCCGGCATCTTAAGTTTACCCGTTTCTACTAGCTAGCGTCATCGTTGAGCAGACGTACTTCAGATTGCGGGAATGGGATGCTGATGCCGTGCTCTGCGAAGGCTTTGAAGATGGCCAGATTAACCGTATGGATGGTTTTGAAATAACCACCGGTTGGCGTCCAGTAGCGGTATTCGATATCGACACTGGAATCTCCAAAGTTGCAGATGCCTACTTCCGGCGGTGAGTCCTGGATAACGCCGGTTTCGTTGTTCAGGACCTGGGTAATCGCTTGAATCGCCAGCTCCGGGTCGGCGCTGTAGGCGATACCAACACAACCTTCGACAATTCGATTGGCTTCAGAGTTGGTATGTACCTCGCCGACAATATGTTTGTTGGGAATAATAATCAGCTCGCCATCTTCCGCTCGCAGCGCGGTCGCCGCGAGGCTGATGTCTTCAACAAGCCCTGAACAACCCTGGGTGGTGATGGTGTCGCCGACGCGATACATGCGTGTGAGAATGATCATCAGGCCTGCGCCATAGTTGGACACCGGTCCTTGCAGCGCCAGGCTCAAACCTACTGCCAGGCCACCAATCGCGGCAATCAATGGTGTGATAGAGATGTCCAGCTGACCCAAAGCCACAACCATGAACATGATCAGAATCAGCAACCGTACGGTAGAGGCCATAAACTGGCGCAGGGTCACGTCTACATCACGCTTTTCTAAAATGCCGGTTAACAGGCGGGCAACCCAGCGGGCGACAATGAAACCGGCGAGTACCACCAGAGCAGCACCAAGGAGTTTGAATGACCAGGTGATGGCCTGTTCAGTAAGGAACTGATAGGCGGTGTTAACCAGATCCAACGGGATTGTGAGCTGTTCTTCCATGAGCGGTGTATCTAGAGCAAACAGCCAACATCATATGCCGGGTAAAGCCCGGGCTCAAATCAAACGCGCTTCAGGTTGCCGCCAGCTGCAGAATCTTTTTGTCGTTGCCGCTGAGGTACCACAGACGTAGACCCACACTGATGGCCACCAGCGACAGACCAAGAGTCAGCGCGGTCCAGTAGCCGTACACGCCCGGCGCCAACCCAGGCAACAGCAGCTCCTGTGACAGGAACCAACCCAGCGGAACGGCAATAAACCAGTAGCCAACCAGGCTGATATACATGGGTACTTCTGTATCTTTATAGCCACGTAACGCGCCAATGGTCACCGCCTGGCTGTCGTCAACAATCTGGTACACGGCAATAAACAGCAGCAGCGTGACGGCAATCTGGATCACCGCGGGATCGGCGGTATAGATGCTGACCAGGTGATAACGCATCAACACCAGCATTACGCTGACAATCAGCGCATAGCCGATAGAGAATTTATACACCGTCACCGCGGTCAGGCGGGCAGCTACCAGGTCGTTGGCGCCAACATGAAAACCCACGCGGATGCTGGCAGCAGCACCGAGGCTCATCGGAATAACATAGGTCAACCAGTTGATGTTGCCGGCAATGGCATTTGCGGCGACCTGCTCAACACCCAAACGCGCGATTAGAAAAGCGATCACTGAAAAAACGGCCATTTCCAGGAAAATGACCAGACCAATGGGTGTACCAATTTTAAAGATCGAAGTGATGGGGGCGGCTTCCGGCCACTCAAATCGTTCAAACAAACCGGTGGCTGTGAAGTAGGGGCGCTTGATCACAACCATCATCATTATGAACTGTAGCCAGAAGACCACCGCCGTGGCGTAGCCGCAACCGACACCCCCCAGTTCAGGCAGCCCCCATTTGCCGTAAATCAGCGCGTAATTCAGAGTCGCATTGACGGGCAGCATGCTGCCAGCAATGATCATCGGCGGACGTGTGTGTCCAAGCCCTTCGCAGGCATGGCGTAACGCCACATAAAACACCAGGGCAGGGATTCCCCACGCTACTGCGGCCAGGTAGTCGGTGGCGATCCTTGCCACTTCAGGTTTAAGTCCGGTGAGCGCGTAGATGGCGCCGGCGTTACAGAGAATCACAACCAGGACGGTGCTGGTGGCCAGACAGATCCATAACCCCTGACGAATCTGATGGCCCACTTGCGGCAGCTGCCTGCGCCCGCGTAACTGGGAGATGATGGGTGTGAGCGCCATGGTTATGCCGGTAAACATCATCATGAATGGCCACATCACGCTGCCACCCAATGACACGCCGGCCAGATCGGTAGCACTGTAGCGTCCGGCCATGGCGGTATCGACAAAACCCATGCCCATGATGAACATCTGGGTCAACACCATCGGCCAACCCAGCTGCAATACTGTCTTGAGTTCGCTTGCGGGTTTGATGCTCACGGTTTGAGTTTGCTCTGCCAGTTTGGGTTTGATTTAGTTTTTACGAATTTCCGTCAAAAAAACCGAGGTGGAGATGTTGAGCGGCGATGCACACGGGTATCATAGTCGTAATCTGGTGAACGGTAGAAGTTTTATGGTTATTGAGTGGGTCGTTGGGATTGCAGTTGTCTCCATGCTGATTGGTTTGGCTCTGGGTTACTTCCTGCCATTGGGTAATGCCAGGAAGGCCAGGGTGGGTGAATTGGAAAATGCTTTGGAAACAGCCCAGCAGGAACTCGCTGACTATAAAGGTGAAGTGTTCAATCAGTTTGCTACCACAGCAGAGAAGTTTCGCGATCTTGATCAAAGCTATCAGGCGTTGCATCAGCAGCTCGCCAGAAGTTCAGTGGATTTATGTGGTGATGCAGCGTCACCGCTGCTGACCGCGGCAGTTGCACCTGCGCTTGCCGAGGGACTCAGTGAACCCGCTGTTGAAGACAGCAGATTTTCAGAAGAAGACCTGGACGCACAAACTCCGGATCTTGGTGAAATGAAAGCCTCTGAAGAGGAGGCCAGTGAAATTGAACAAGAGATTGTGGTCGCTGAGGCATCTGCAGAGCTGGAAACAAACATTGCCGCAGATAGTGTGCCCACGTTGACTGACCGGGATGCAGATTTCAGTCCTGATCTTGAGGGTGAAACTGACGCACCAGCCAAGCGCGAAAGCGCTTAGCTTCAGGGGCGAACAGTTTGAGTTCGATCAGGCCGCAGGGCGCTCGTTGCCGAGAATAGACACCCGTTCCCCATAGCGGCTGTGCGGGTAGTAGTCCCAGACTGCGTGATGCTGGGTGCATCGATTATCCCAGAACGTCAGCGTGTTGGGGCGCCACTGCACCCGGCAGTACAGCCGTTGAGTCTGAGCGATGTGATTCAATAGCCCGCCGAGTAAAGCTTTGCTTTCCCAGACATTTAATCCCTTGATGTGCGAAGTAAAGCCACTGTTGACGTATAAAACCTTTTTACCGGTTTCAGGATGGGTTGCAACAACCGGGTGCTCATTGCGTGGGTACTTTGAACCTTCCGGTGGCGATACCTGATAACCGCTCAGATAAGGGATGGCGCCATCGTGCACGGCAACAAGTCCATCCAGCATGTCTTTCATGGTGTCGCTGAGCAGCTCATAGGCAAGGTACATATCAGCAAATAACGTGTCTCCGCCGCCACACTCCGGAGTTTCTGTGATGTATAACATGGAGCCCAACGGCGGAATTTCATCGCAGGTAACGTCGGTATGCCAGCCATTGCCAGCGGTATATTTAGAATCTCTGGTGGTTTTTACACGCAGGATCTCCGGGTCGCCGCCATAGCTGTGCTGCATTGGGTGCACATGCAACGTGCCAAATTTGCGCGCGAAGGCTTTGTGCTGTTCCTGGTCAATGACCTGGTCGTGAAAGACTAATACTTTCCAATCTAACCAGGCCTGGTAGATTTCACTGAACTGTTCGTTCGATAGAGGTTGTGCCAGATCGACACCCTCTACAACAGCTCCGATATGTGGCGTGATACTGTCTACGCCGATGGTTTCAAACTTGTCGATATGCGCCATATCTGTCTCCTTTGTGTCGTATTATTTATTCTGGTAAACCCAGCACCCGTTTGGCGATGATGTTGGCCTGAATTTCATTGCTGCCACCGTATATGGTGGTTGCTTTGCTGCCCAGCCAGTCGCTGGCTGCTTCTAACTCTGAAGCGGTGAATCCGTTCGGGTCGTGTGCACCCAGGCCACGGAAGCCCATCAACTCACGTTTCAACGCAGCGCCATCCTGCTGCAGCGCTGCGCCGTATAATTTGAAAATTGAAGTGGCTGCCCCGGGTGTGCCTGATTTATTTTCGGCATTGGCTCGAGCGGCGGTGAGTTGGAATGCCGCGCGGTTCATGTTCAAGGTGGTGATGGCTTCGCGAAGGGCCGGGTCTTTGATGCGGCCGTCGTCTTCTCCGACATATTTTTTTGCGGTTTTGACGAGTCCCGCACCAGGCTGGGCCTGTCGCGCACCCCCGTTCAGACCGCCAATGCCTGATCTTTCAAACTGCAGCAGACGTTTGCCTACTGTCCAGCCTTTATTCAGATCCCCCAGCAGGTCTTCTTTTTTAGCCACGGCATCGTCAAAAAAAGTTTCACAGAAAGGTGACGTGCCGGAGATCAGACGAATCGGTTTGACCGTTACGCCGGGTTGATCCATGGTCAGTAACATGAAACTGATACCTTCATGTTTTGGTGCATTAAAATCTGTTCGTACCAGAATGAACATCCAATCTGCGGTGGCAGCACCCGATGTCCAGATCTTCTGGCCGTTGATCAGATAGTGATCACCTTTATCTTCGGCTTTGGTATTTAACGCGGCCAGATCAGATCCCGCGTTGGGTTCCGAGTAACCCTGGCACCATTGGATTTCACCTCGAATAATCTTAGGCAGGTGGCGTTCTTTCTGGGCATCATCGCCATACTCGAGCAAAGTGGGCCCAATCATCGACATACCCATGCCCACCAGCGGCGAGCGGGCGTTGATCTTGCCCATTTCGTCATATAGAACCCGCGCATAGTCCTGGCTCAAACCGCCGCCACCATATTGGGTAGGCCAGGTTGGGGCGGTAAAACCTTTCTCGACACAGGCCTCAAGCCACTTTGCAACGTCTGGTTCCAGGATGATTTTGCTGGAGCCGTTGGCCATCTGGCCAGGCCCGCGTGCCCCCTCCGGGCAGTTTTCGGCCAGCCAGGCTGCGGTATCTGCCCTGAATTCAGATAATTCTCCCATCATACCTCCCCAATATTTCTGCGAATCCAAAACTGTACTCGGTATAGTGGGAAGTTCAAGTTTGCCAGGTGCAGGAAAACACAGCGTCATGAATATAACGGTGCCCCCCTTTTCGTTAACCAACACTCAATCTGAGCAGGTCAGCTTCCCGTCGGGAAAAGCCAGTCTGGTCTGCTTTGTAAAAGAAGACTGCCCGACCTGTCGCGAGGTTATGCCGGTATTGGCTGCCATGGCGCAGGCGGTGGGAGACACATTGGACTTTCACGTGATCGGTCAGACCGAAGCCGGTAATCAGAAATTGCTGGAGACCTTTGCACCACCTTTCGAAATCCTGGACGACAGCAGTCTGAAAGTATCGTTTGCCAGCGACATCGATACCGTGCCGACACTGGTCTGGTCTGATGCCCAAGGTGAACCCGCACAGACGCTGATCGGCTTCGTTAAAGAGGAATGGCTGGCTCTGAGCGAAACCCTGACGAAATCAGAGGGTGTGGCTGCGCCGTCGCTCGACTGGCAGAGTTTGCCGGATTGGCGGCCTGGATGCGGTTCATTGTCAGTGGATCCACTGATTGCTGACCGACTGCGGGCGGAAGCGGAGAATTCGCCGTTACGAGCGCGCCGTATAGACATTGGCGTTGCCGACGACGAAGTTGAATTCATGTTTGACCAGGGGTTTTCTGACGGTCTGCCCCTGGTGCCGCCTACACCGGAACGCGTTATGCGTATGCTGGCGGGTACCCGGCGCGATCCCCAGGATGTGTTGGCGCAAATGCCCCCCAATATGGGCGACGTGACTGTCGAAAAAGTTGCCATCAATGCGGTCATGGCGGGCTGCAAACCGCAATACATGCCCGTCATCAACACCATCGTCCAAGCCATCTGTACGGACGAATACAATATTCACGGCGTCATGGCGACAACCATGGGTGCAAGTCCGGTGGTTGTGGTGAATGGTCCAATCCGTGAACGCATCGGTATGAACATGGAACTGGGCGCACTCGGGCAGGGCAATCGAGCCAACGCAACCATCGGTCGCGCGGTGCGTTTGATTATCCGTAACGTAGGCGGCGCAAGACCCGGCGGTACCGAGCGCTCCACTTTAGGCAACCCGATGAAATTCACCATGAGTTTTCCGGAGTGGGAGGAGCGCAGTCCTTGGGCACCTCTGCATGTCGAACGCGGCTTTGCTGAACAGGATTCTGTGGTTTCGGTGTTCACCATGTCCAGTGGTCCTACCTTGATTGTTGACCAGGATTCCAGGACGGGTGCGGGCCTGGCGGGTACCATGGGGCTGTGTTTAGAGTCCGCGTTTAACCCCAAAGCCCACTATGCGACAGATTGCCTGCTGGTGGTGGTGCCCGAACACGTCGACACCTTCGTCAGGGATGGCTACAGCAAAGCTGACATACGTGCCCGCATCCAGGAGGTGACGGCTAAGCCGATCCGTGAGTTGATGGCTGATGACATTTCAGGGACGGGTTTTAAGCCGGAAATGGTTGAGAAAATGGGACCTGGCGCCATGGATAAAGTAATGCCGAAGTTTCGCTCGGAGGACGATATTCATATCGTCGTAGCGGGATCCCAGGCAGGCAAATTTTCAGGGGCCTTTCACGGCTGGGCGACGGGAGAGATTGGCTCTATCCCTGTTTCGCGTAAGATAGAAGAGCTGTAATTAATAAATGGAGAGGGTTTATGACAACCATTTTAGATCCCACTGATGAACGTGTGCCCGTCGCGCGCGCCATCAGCCCCAGACCTGCGGTGATAGAAGGTAGTGTAGCGCTGCTGGATATCTCCAAACCGCGCGGTAATGTGCTGATCGATCGCCTGGAAGAAGTGTTACAACAACGCCTGCCGAAGGTTGAGTTCAAGCGCTACGCCAAGCCCACATTTACCAAACCCGCGCCAGATGCATTGCGCCAGCAGATCCAGCAGGACAATGACTTTGTCATTGAGGCCCTCGCCGACTGAGGATCCTGTACCACGTGCAGTTTGCATGACACGGTATGGTTCGAAATCCAGGGCACTCCTGCGGTTTCTATAGCTTCGAGCGAATTTGTTGATGCAGCAACGACGCAGGCTCAGGCTTTGGGTATGTTGGATGCCCCGCGCGTATTTGTTGATCATCCGATCCAGGATGCTAATGATGATGAGATGCGCGCAAAGGCAGACAAAGTTGTCGATCAGATTATCGCGGCACTCACACGCTGAGTGTTTGCGGTAGCTGAAACAGCTGTGCAAGTCCTTGAGCCGATTGTTTGAACGCTAGTATTGTCGAGGCGACGATCTGTCTTGTCGTCGTTGGCGTCAGCTGCGTTTTTGTTTTAGCAAAAGGCTCACCTCGCTTTTTAGCCGCCTATCTGCCACTGGCTTGTGTCAGCGCATTTGTTTATTGCGCCGGCCATCTGGCCAATCGCATTTTTCTGGACCCTCAGTCGCACGCGCTGGCGGTTTACGTGCTCTACGCAGGGCTTATGGGTACAGTGACATTCTGGTGGATGTCGATTTTGGATGTTGCCCAACACTACCGCTATGTGCCGACCAGAACGGCAAAAACTGTCCAACAGGTTTCGCTTGGCGCGATGCTGTTGCTCCTGTTGGGATTGATCACAAACCCCTGGCACGGACAATTTCTTATTCCTAACCCGGCTGGTTTCAGCGAGTTCAAACTGCTTTGGTATCTAAATGCCGGGACGCTCTGGTTGTTTATCGCTTCAGCCTGCCTGCTGGCGATTTATTGTGCGGGTAAAACTCAGGTTCGAGCGGACCGCGTGCAGATGATCCTGTTAGCCCTGGCAATGCTCATTCCAGGCCTGTTTAACGGATTGTATCTTTCGGGCGTGGCGAACATTGAAGACGATCCAACCGCCATTGGTCTGGCATTCAGTTCAACGGTGTTCATTTATGCCATTTTCCGTGGTCAGCTTTATGTGTTGTCAGGCGTACGCATCGATCAATTCATGGATAATCTCAAGCGTCCAGGCATTCTTGTTGATCGGAACTATCGATTGGTTTATTTGAACAATGCTGCCCGCTCAACCTTCGGTGATCTGCCGATTCACACCCAGGTGGGGCCTGTGCTTGCTGCCAAGTTGATCTCGCCTTCAGGCGAAACATTAACGCCGGAAAGAATTGATGCTTCGCCCAGCGACGTATTGCTGGTAGTCGACCAGCCTGACGCGTGGATTAGTATCTCTGCGCAGCCTATACGTAACGGGCAGAAGCAGATCGGTTCCATGTGGTTGTTTGAAGACGAAACCTCCAAGGTGCGCGCCTCCAGGCAATTTGAAGCCGACAAGCGTTTAGAAAGCCTGCGCATGATGGCGGGTGGGATTGCTCATGATTTTAATAACCTGCTGCAGGGCGTGATTGGTAACGCGGAACTGGTTGAGCTGAACCTGCAGGGAGATGTGGCCCACGCAAAGCACCTGCTGACAAATCTTATTGGCGGGGCGCAGCGGGCAGCAGGTTTGTCACAGAAACTGCTGGCTTATTCCGGCCGTGCACAGATTAAGGTGGAAGCCGTTGATCTCAATGAACTTATTGAAGATGTTCTGGCATTTATGCAGATTGATCTTGCACCCAGTGTGCCTATTGTTGTGGCTTTATCAAAGCGACCGATCCGGGTAGCCGTAGATCCTGTGCAGGTGAACGAAATTGTATTCAATCTGCTTACCAATGCTTATGAAGCAGCGCACGAACAACAGGCATCAATCTGGTTGCGCAGCGGACAGGTAGAGTTGGATCGGGCCGCCATCGACGCCTGTCAGATTGCGACAACCGCTATGCCCGGGCATTACTGTTATCTGAGTGTTGCCGATAGCGGTCCCGGGTTAACGCCAGAAACGCTGGCGCGCATCTTTGAACCTTTCTATTCCACCAAGGAGTTAGGTAGAGGTTTAGGGTTGGCGGCCGTGTCAGGCATTGTTGCCAGTCACGGTGGTGCGTTGCGTGTTTTCAGCCCCGCTGAGATGGATGGTCAGGTGCATAGCGAAGTGGGGGCGGAATTTGTAGTGTATTTCAAAGCCCTTGATGCAGCATAACTATTTTGTTGTTTGACACCGAAAATCGGCTGTACTTTGGCTATTATCTGATTTGCGCGGCGTTCATCGCGCAGTTCATTTCAATTGGCATGTACAGCTATGTGCTGGGTCCTTTCATGATCCCGATGACCGAAGATCTCGGTTGGAGTCGAGCCGATTTCACGTTGACCCGAACCATAGGTCAGCTGGTGATGGCTACCGTCGGTGTTTTTGTTGGTGCTCGTGTCGATAAAATAGGCGGCAAGCCGATCATGCTGGTGGGGACAACCATCTTAACGGCGGGTCTTGTCAGTCATAGTTACATTGAGCAGTTGTGGGTCTGGTGGCTTCTGAACGGTGTGATTCTCACGGTGGGTTGCGCCATGGTGGGCAACCTGGTCGTCAATGTGACACTTTCCAAATGGTTTGTGGTGAACCGTGGTAAAGCGATTGCATTTGCTGCTATGGGGGTGTCTTTTGGTGGTGTGGTTTTAACACCGCTTGCAACCTGGCTTATCGATACTATCGGCTGGCGTGACGCCTGGGTGTGGTTAGGGGCCATGGCAGCGCTGTTTCTTTACCCGGTTGCGTTGTTCATGCGACGTGCGCCTGAAGACCATGGTCTACACCCTGATGGGCTAAGTGATGCACAGGTCGCCGCGGGCGCCAGCCAGCGGGCGTTGGATGAAGAAGCGCGTGCTTACACTCGACATCAGGCGTTGCGTACTTTTTCTTTTTACGCCCTGGTCATTGCATTCGGCTTTTTCTCCATCAATATTGTTGTATTGCTGCTGCAAACGGTTCCCTATCTGACGGACAGTGGTTTCAGTCGCAACGATGCGGCCCTGGCGATGTTGATAGCATCGGTGCCAGCTATGCTGTCCAAACCTGTCTGGGGTTATCTGATTGATCTCAGTCCCGTTAAACCGTTGGCGGCTATTTCCGCGTCAGTAACCGGTATAGCGCTGTTTCTAATTGTGTTTGCGGTGGGCAGCCATCAGCTGTTCTGGGTCTATGCAGCTTACGTGGTTCTGGGTCTGGGCTGGGGAGGCATGATCCCCATGCAGGAAGTCATCTGGGCGTCGTTTTTTGGTCGTCAACATATCGGTGCCATCAGAGGGGCAGGCATGCCTTTTGCGCTTGTACTTGGTGCTGCCGCCCCATGGCTCGTATCCTATTATTATGATCTTATTGGCAGCTACGATGGTGCGCTGCTGGTGGTGGCTGGACTGAACGTATTTTCCGGGGTGCTGATATTTATGGTGCCGCCGCCGACTAAAATGGGTGTCAGAAAAAACTGATCAGATGCTTGATCGCAGGTGAGGGGATAAAAAATGGAGTATCAGAATATTGTAGTGGCACCGACGCCAGGTGTTGGCGCGTTTATCAGTGGTGTTGATCTGTCTGAGTTCGATGACGCCAGCTTGATTGAGCTGAAAAAAGCATTTGCGGAATACGGTGTGCTGTTCTTTCGCGATCAGCAGCTTGATGAAAGCAAACACATTGCCTTAGCCAGGCGTTGGGGTGAGATCAACATCAACAGGTTTTTCACCCCGGTTCCCGGTTACCCAGAAATAGCGCAGGTACTTAAAGAACCTGAACAGACCGCTAATATAGGTGGTGGCTGGCACACTGACCACTCTTACGATCAGGAGCCAGCGCTGGGTTCTATGCTCTACGCAAAAGAGGTGCCACCGGCAGGTGGCGATACACTTTTTGCAAACTGCGCCGCTGCCTATGAGGCTTTGTCTCCCGGTATGCGCGCAACACTGGCTGGTTTGCGTGCGGTACATTCGTCGCGTCACGTTTTTGGTGAAAGTTCATCTTACTCAAATGAAATGTCGGGACGACTGGGAAATGCTGAAGCAGCAACACAGGATGCGGTCCACCCGGTGGTGATCAAACATCCACTATCGGGTCGAAAAACGTTATACGTAAATCCTGCATTTACGCTGCACTTCGAAGGTTGGACGGCGGTTGAGTCCATGCCGCTTTTACAGCAGCTGTATAATCACATGATGCGCGCTGAGTTCACTTACCGTCTGCAGTGGGCGCCTGGCACCCTGGCTTTCTGGGATAATCGTGCAACCTGGCACTATGCGCTGAATGACTATCAGGGTGAGCGTCGGCTGATGCACAGAATTACCCTGGATGGCGGGCGAATTGCAGCTTAGCCCGATCAGTCGCGTAATTCTGGACGATTGTGATATTCGGCCAGGATTTCGGAGTTTGCCAGGGCGCTGGCATTGCCAATAGTCTCCCCCTGCAGGGTCTGACGGACAGCGAGTTCGGCTACTTTGCCGCTCAATGTACGCGGCACATCGGTTACAGAGAGTATCTTTGCCGGTACGTGGCGGGGGGACGCATGTTCGCGGATATGGCGTTTGATCGTTTCGCGAAACGCCTCAGTCAGTGTATGGCCCGGTGCCATGACAACAAATAAAACCACCCGGGTATCATCCTGCCACTGTTGACCGACACACACCGCGTCTGCGATTTCCGGCATGGCGTCCAGCAGGCTGTAGATCTCAGCGGTGCCGATCCTGACGCCACCGGGATTGAGGGTGGCATCGCTGCGACCATAGATGATGTAGCCGTCCTGGGCGGTATGGCTGGCATAGTCGCCGTGTACCCAGACGCCTGGGAAAACATCAAAATAAGCTTGTTTAAAACGAACCTGGTCCGGGTCGTTCCAGAAACCAATCGGGCAGGCTGGAAAAGACTGGGTACAAACCAATTCGCCTTTGCCCTCACTTAAAGCCTCACCAGTCTCATCCCAGACCTCGACGGCCATGCCCAGACCTGCGCATTGCAGTTCGCCGGCGTATACAGGCAGGTTCGGATTACCCAGCATAAAACAGGATACAATATCGGTGCCGCCAGACATGCTGGCTAAGTGACAGTCAGATTTGATGGCTGAATAAACGTAGTTGAAACCCTCTTCGGTGAGCGGTGATCCGGTGGATAGCACCGCGCGTAAACTCGACAGCTGATGAGATATGCGTGGCGTCACCTGCGCCTGTTGGGCAACGCTGAGAAATTTTGCGCTGATACCCAGGACGCTTATCCCTTCATTATCACAGAGGTTAAATAAGGTGGCCGGCGAGGGATGGGTGGGAGATCCGTCATACAAGACAATTGTGCAGCCTGTTGCCAGGGCCGAGATTGTCCAATTCCACATCATCCAGCCGCAGGTGGTGAAGAAGAACAGCGTATCGTCTGCCTTGAGATCAACGTGGAGTTGATGTTCTTTGATGTGCTGTAGCAGCGTGCCGCCCTGACTGTGCACAATACATTTTGGTTTGCCGGTTGTACCGCTGGAAAAGAGAATATAAAGCGGGTGATCAAAAGGCAGTTGCTGGAAGGTCAGTTCAGCCGCTGGACGTGCAAGCCAGTCGGACCACAGCACTTCGCCTGATTCAGGGCGCATCTGTGTGTTGAGGGTGTCGACCCAGATGACCTGTTTAATCGACGGCACCTGGGCGGCAACAGCGCGAACTTTCTTCCGTAAATCTATAGTTTTGCCGGCGTAGTAATACCCTGTTGCGGCAACCAGCACGCTCGGTTCGATCTGACTGAACCTGTCCAGAGCACCCTGCTCACCAAAGTCAGGTGAACAGGATGAGAAAATCGCGCCAAGGCTGGACGTTGCCAGCATCGACACAACAGCCTCAGTGGTATTGGGCAACCATGCGGCCACCCGCTGATTCAAGCCTATCCCAAGGTCGCGCAGCTGCTGTGCAACACAGGCAACCTGTTGATAAAGCTCTGCGTAACTTGTGGTGTAACGCTCGCCATTTTCCAGTAGAGATATCAACGCGGCTTTTGACCCGCGCTTGCGCAGCAGATTTTCCGCGAAGTTCATGCGGGCGCCTGGAAACCACTGTGCGCCTGGAAAACTGTCGATATTTTCTACGGTTCTGTCAGGTCTTGTGCTGCTCTTGATCTGCAGATAATCCCACAATGCTGCCCAGAACAATTCCGGCTGAGCCACGCTCCAGGTATGCAGGTCTTTGTAGTCCGCAAACTTATGGCCGTGGATTGATTCAACATAATGGGTGAAGGCAGTCATCGCCGAGTTGGCGATGACTGATTGAGAAGGTGACCACAGCGGTTCGGGCATCGGTTGTTATCCGGGCATCAGACGCTCTGAAAACAGGCGCGAACTTCTGCGACATAAACCTCAGGTTGTTCGAAGGCCGCAAAGTGACCGCCTTTATCTTTGACTGACCAATAGATGATGTCCGGATAAAGGTTCTGCGCAAATCTTTTGCTCGTACGGAAAATTTCCTTGGGGAAAATGGTAGCTCCGGTGGGTACTTTTACCTGTTGGCCAGCCAATGCACCGCCAAAACTCTCCCAATACAGGCGCGCACTGGATGCCGCTGCAGCGTTGACCCAGTACATCATCACGTTGTCTAACATGTCATCAAGGCTGATGACGTTCTGCGGGTCGCCATCGCAATCCGTCCACTGGTAGAATTTTTCGAGAATCCATGCGGCTTGTCCGGCGGGAGAATCAACCAATCCGTAGCCCAGTGTCTGTGGGCGTGTGCTTTGTTGTTTGGAATAACCTGAGTCCCAGTCCTGGTAGAACTTCAGCCCTGCCAGAGCAGATTTTTCTTCATCGGTCAGGTCGTCTGCGCTGGCATCTGGTGGTGACACAACCATGTTGAGATGAATCGCTTTACAGTGTTCCGGGTCTTCGATGCCAAGGGCCGAAGTGACAATGGCGCCCCAGTCTCCACCTTGAGCGAAATAACTGTCATAGCCGAGCTCACCCATCAGCTTTGCCCATGCTTTTGCAGTTTGCTGGGTGGTCCAGCCTGTTGCGTTGGGTTTGCCGGAAAAACCGAAACCCGGCAAAGAGGGAATAATGAGGTGATAAGCCTGCGCGCCCTCTGCGCCGTATTGATCCGGTTCGCTTAAAGGGCCTATGACGTTAAGGAATTCCACTACGGATCCAGGCCAGCCATGTGTCAGAAGCAGGGGCTTGGCATCCTCATGACTGGAGCGTATGTGCAGAAAGTGTATTGATAAGCCGTCGATGTCAGCCGTGAAGTTTGGCCAGGTGTTCAGACGGGCAGCGAGTCGCTGCATGTCATAGGTATGCAGCCAGTGATCGATGACTGATTTTGTATAGTTCAGGGGTATGCCCTGTGACCAGTCCTGGGTGGTTTCCGCCTCTGGCCAGCGGGTGTGCTGCAGGCGGCGTTGCAGATCTTCTACGCACGCTGCCGATATGGTGGGTGTAAAGGGTTTGATGTTCGACACGGCTGCCTCCGGTTGGTTAGTGATGGATATGTGTCACAAAGATGCGCACACATGTCCGCCGTCGACGGTGAGAATTGAGCCGGTCATATATTTGGATGCATCGCTGGCTAGCAGCAGAATAGGCCCGTCGAGATCGTCAAAATCACCAAAGCGTCGCATGGGTATGCCTTTCACAAATTCGCCGGCACCATCACTTTCAAGCAGCAGGCGACTGACGTCGGTGAGGATGTATCCCGGTGCCAGTGCATTAACGCGTATGTTGTACCGCGCCGCTTCCAGTGCCATGACCTCGGTCATTCTGGTCAGCCCGCCTTTGGAGACCGCGTAGGGAAATTGACCTTTGATGGTTCGAGTATCCGTGATCGAAGAGATCATGATGATGTTGCCGCTGCCCTGCTTGTGTGCAACAACCTGTTCCGTATAGATTTTGCTGGTCAGCCATGCGCTTTTAAGGTTCGTGTCGATGACAAAATCCCAGTCATCTTCATCGATCATGGCGTAGGTTTTTGCGCCGGCTTCGACCCCGGCATTGTTGATTAAAACGTCCAGGCGGCCATATTGATCAAAAGCATGGTTGATAAACGCACTGATGCTGTCTTTTTCGCGTACATCCAGCGCGCAGGCCTGGGCTTCGCCACCGGCTTTTTGTATTTCCGCAACCCGCGCTTCCAGTTTGTCCACGCGCCGAGCGCCTAAAACAACCTTGGCACCGGCCGCAGCCAGCACACCGGCAAAATGAGACCCAAACCCCGATGATGCGCCGGTAATCGCAACAACTTTGTCATGCAAATCGAATGGCTGATCCACGCCTAATCTCCCTGAACTGATCAGGTTTTATCCTATCACAGGCTGGATTGGACGCAGCTGTCGATGTCAGGAAACTGGGCCTTACCGGACGGGGGAAAGGTGCTACGCGGCTCGAGGAAGTAACGCGACGCGATTGCGTCCTTGTTTTTTGGCCATATACATGGCGTCATCAGCGGCTTTAAAAAGTGCCGGCATGTTGCGGCTGGTGAGCGTGTCCGCGATCCCGCAGCTCACCGAAAATTCGATAATGGCGCCGGGTTCGGTCAACGGGTTAGCAGAAATTCTTTCGACAACCCGGGTGGCCAGGATATTGGCCTGATCTGCATTCATGCCGCAGACCAGCACTGCAAACTCTTCACCACCAACGCGACACAGCAGATCCTTCTGTCGAAAGCTGCTGCGTAGAATATCGGCGATCGCCACCAGCGCTCTGTCACCCACGGCATGACCGTAAGAATCGTTGAGTTCCTTGAAATGGTCTGCATCAATGACCATAAGCGCAGCTGGTGCAGACTGAGTTTCCAGAATGGCGTGCGCCTGTCGAAAAAATGATCGTCGATTGGGTAATTTTGTCAGGTCATCGGTTTCCGCAAGTTGACGAAGTTCTGTCTGGGTTTCGGTTAACTTGAGGCTGGTACAGGCAACGTAGTAGGTCATCGGGCTGGCGATTAATATCGGCAGGATGGCGGCCATGATGATGACGTTCTGCAGGTGGAATGCCTCCAAGCCGGCCATCAGATATAAACACAGCACGCCGGTCAGCGCGCTGAAAACTGATATGAAAACGATACTGACCGTGCAGATCCAAACGTCTTTTTTTGTGCGTATACGCATCGCCTTACTGCGGCTGCATCCCTGCGCGTGATTTGTAACATGTTAGGAACATTGCCTTAATCAATGTGTGCGGCTCCGCACATATTCAAAACAGCTGCAACGTTCTATCATCCATAAACACAAAAGTCAGGCCAAACAGGAGATCAAACGAGATGACGCGACCCAGAAGATCGGTGTTGTACATGCCTGGCGCCAACACACGCGCTATGGAAAAGGCTAAATCTCTGGATTGTGACACCGTAGTTTTTGATCTGGAGGATGCTGTGGCGCCAGCGGCCAAAGCCCAGGCGCGACAGCAGGTTGCAGAAGTCGTGCGGCAAGGTGGCTATGGCTATCGGGAGATTATTGTCCGCTGTAATGGCCTGGATACAGAGTGGGGCATTCAGGACATCGCCGAACTGGCTGCGCTGAATATTGATGGGATGTTGTTCCCAAAGATTCAGAGTCTGTCCCAAGTTTCTGAAATCGTTGCAAAAATTGACCTTGCTGGAGCGCATAGTTTGCCGGTATGGGTAATGGTCGAAACCCCCCAGGGGGTTATGGATCTGGCTACATTTGCTGATCATCCACGGGTTGCAGCGCTGGTCATGGGTACCAGTGATCTGGTCAAAGAGCTGCGTGCGGTGCATCAACCCGCCAGAGCGAATATCGCTTTTGCGCTGCAATCTTCGCTGCTGGTGGCGCGGCGCTTCGGTAAAGAGATTTTTGATGGTGTACATCTCGACTTCAAAGACAGCGCCTCTTTTCGGCAGGCTTGCATCAGTGGCCGGGAAATGGGTTTTGACGGTAAGACGTTGATTCATCCGAGTCAGATTGATGTTGCCAATGAGATTTTTGGCTATTCGGAAGCGGATATCACCGAGGCTCATCGCGTGCTGGAGGTCTGGGACGCGGCATTGGCTGAAGGTAAAGGGGTTGCGGTGCTCGACGGTAAGCTGGTGGAGAATCTGCATGCTGAAGAGGCACGGCGAGTGGTTGCTTTTGCTCAGGCGATTGCAGCCCGGGTGGAATAACGCTATCTATTTTCAACCACGCTCATTAACCAAAGAGGGAGGCTCACTTGGCTTTTGCACAAACCCCCGACATTAAACTTTATTACGAGCGTGGTGGTGACGGGCCGCCATTGTTGTTCATCAGCGGCAGTGGGGCGGATTTGCGCAACAAACCCAACCAGTTCGATTCGCCGTTAGCCAGGTCATTTGAATTGATCAGCTACGACCAGCGCGGTCTGGGTCAGACCGAGCAGCCTGCGGGGGTGTATTCCATGGCGCAATATGCAGATGATGCAGCGGCTCTGCTGGATTATCTCAACGTGGACCAGGTGCCGGTGATGGGAGTTTCGTTTGGCGGGATGGTGGCTCAGGAATTTGTCTTACGGCATCCTGATCGCGTCAGCGCCCTGGTGCTTGCCTGTACCTCGTCTGGCGGTGCCGGTGGCGCTTCTTTCCCGTTGCACGAATTGCAGGATCTATCCGCTGAAGCCCGTGCCGCAGCACATTTGAAAGTTTCTGACCTGCGTCACACTGACAGCTGGATCAGCGACAATCCCGAAGCCTGGCAGAGGCGACTGGCCCTGACCATCGCAGCTCAGCAGAGCCGGACCAATGAAGCCGGTGCCCGCGCCCAACTCGAGGCGCGCCGCCTGCACGATACATTTGACCGTTTAAGCACTTTAGATCAGCCGGTTTTACTTGCCGGGGGGCGTTACGATGGCATTGCGCCGGTTTCAAATATGCAGGCGTTACATGCAGCAATTACTGGCAGTGAGCTTAAATTCTTTTCCGGGGGGCATATCTTCCTAATACAAGATCGAGAATCTTATCCTTATATAATTCAATGGCTTGAAGCTAATATATAAAATAAATATCTAATCGTAAGGGTTGTTTTCAGGTTCTTCGTCGACCAGCAGAGGGGTCGCTGGCGGCTGTTGCCGGTAGATGGCAGCGCCCAGACTGGGTCGGAAAAAGGCGTAGAAAGCCAAAAGGTGCGCAGTCACGACAAACCCCAATGCCCAGGCCACAGGCTGCCAGAAAGTAACGGAAGTCAGCAGTAGAAACCCCACCAGAATACAGAGGCTGGCTACCAGACGCAGTGCCGCACGTGCGGGGTTCGGCTCGTCGATAACGCAACAGATGTTGGCCAGCAACCAGACGCTGAACGGTAGTGCACCTACAAAAATTAGAACATTGATCATAAAAGGGTGATGCTCCCTGCAGTTGCATTGAGATGCAGTCTCTGGCCTGTTTGAATCAAGCGGGTGCAGTCTGCCACGTCAACGAGGCAGGGTACCTGCAGCTCCCTGGCGATGGTGCCTGCGTGGGACAGGAAGCTACCTGTCGCAACAATTACGCCAGCGGCTCTTGGAAACAAAGGTGTCCAGGCGGGGTCAGTGTAGGGTGCAATCAGAATTTCTCCCTCACACAAAGTGTGCGCCTCACTCAGGCTGGTGACGACTCGCGCCACACCTTCAATTTCTCCAGGGCTTGCACACTGTCCGCATAAACTGTCGTTGGAAGACACTGCTCTGTTGATGTTGAGCGTTTGAGGTGCGTTCAGGCGCGCTTGACGCTGCCAGTTACGCCGGCGTTTTCTGATCAGGGTATGCGCCTGTGTTGCGCTGAGGGTGTCCTCCTGCAGATCGGTTATTTCTGCTTCGGTTAAGAAAAAGATATCGCCTGCAACCCGCAACTTAGCCTCGCGAATCAGCTGATGCTCCAGCGTGAGCGCTTTCTGGCGAAGTGCATCGAAACCCATAATGTGAAAGTGCCGGGTGTTTTCCCGGAGTGCCATGAAATGGCAGATCCTGCTGGTCAGAAAGCTGGCGATCCGTCGCTGCCAGGGTTTCAGGTGTTGGTTCAGGGTGTCGCGTGCGGCCAGGTGGTTACCATGGATCCGGTCTACCCGAGCTTCGCGAGGTGGGTTGTTGTAGAGCAGTTTGAGCAGCTCAGTTGGCGTCTCCCGCCAGCTGGGAGAGGCCAGTTCCAACTCTTTTGGACCGCGGTGGCCAAAATCCTGCAGGAACTGTTCGAAGGCGAGCGCAAATTCGGTATCTGAAGGTAGTTCGCTGGCACTGCCGTTGATGATCTGCGCTACTCGAGCCGCGAGGTCGGCATCAGTTTCGATACTCCGATACAGCAAACCTGATAAATAGTCAGTTTGCCTCAGCAGTTCCATGGACTGCATATCACCGCGTCCGTGGAACGTCGTGCTCAATTGCTCCTGGGGATATTCGGGTGCGTAACGTTTGATAAACGCTTTTAACAGGCCGATGTAGAAAAAATATCGGCCCGCTGAGACATTGGTATAGAAGATGCGGTAGCCGATGGGTGCAAACGGCCAGTGTCCCCAGATCAACTGGCGTGCGGCCTGGTGCAGGGATAATTTTGGATTGTCCTGGACGGATCTGGCGAACCCGGCGTAGCGCGCGAGGGCGGCGTAAGATGCCCGCTGTGTGCGCAGCCAGTGGGCGCCGTCAAACAGGAAAGCCAACACAAATACCGGCAGTATCTGCAGCAGTTTCTGCCACGAAATATGCAGTCTATCCGGTAGTCCTCGCAGTAGAGCAGCTTCTACGAGTTCGTTTTCGCTCAACTCGAAGACGTTGATTTTCTGCAGCTTATCCAGGTTAAGGTACAGACGACCTTCGTAAAAAGCGCCGATTTTCGGCAAGACCCGGGCCACTAAATCTTCAGTCAGTGGGGTCATCGGCTCGGTGAAATTTTCTGCCAGCGGTTTGAATAAGACCAGCGGCTCGGTAAACGCATGGGTCTGAGCAAGCTTTGTGATGGGTCGACTTTGCAGCCAGAATAATTCATCGCCCACGTAGGCCCACTCTACATCCTGGGGACCATCAAACAGCGTTTCCAGTTGCGCTGCCGTATTTGCAATCTGGTTTGCTTCGAAAGTGCTCAGCACCGGCGCATTACGCAAATCCTGCCCCACTTCCTGCAGGCGGGTTGCGGCCTGATTTTCAGAACTTACGCTGACCCGCATGCGCTTGTCGCTTACGTGATAGCTATACAAGTCCTGATCTTCGTTAATGCGTACGTGATCCGGTGTGACGCGTCCATCCACCAGCGCGGCACCCAATCCCCAGGTGGCTTCGATGACGCAGTCAGTGCTGTCTGGAATAACCGGATCCGCGCTGAACACCACGCCCGAACGGGTTGCGGGTAACATTCTCTGGATGATGACAGCCATGCGCGGTGTTTCGCCGCTACTGACTTCTACCCAGCCATCGCGACGATACGCTAAGGCGGCACTGGACCACAAAGACATCCAGCAATCGAGAATCGCCTGATCAATACGATTGGGCGTGACAAAGTAGTAGGTCGAGTGTTGACCGGCAAAGCTGGCGTGCTGACCGTCTTCATCTGTTGCTGAACTGCGCACGGCCAGTTCACCGGCATCTGGCAGATAGCTGAGCAGGGCCTGCATCACGTTGTTCATCAACTCCGCCTGAAGTCGCGGTGGTGTGGGTTTGACCAGTGGGTCTGTGACCTCGCCAAAGTGACTGATAAATGCGTCGATGTCGATGACAAAGCCCTGCGGAACGTTAAAACCCGCGCGCATCATTGCACCCAGGTGGGCAGCTTTGGCGCCAACTCGATCAATGTCGGCAAGGGATAGTTCGCTTAGGGGGGCAATCCAGTTCAACGCTTCAGACGGCAGTTAAGAATGCGCGCATAGAGTAGCCAGTTAGTCGGGTAATTGCACGACCGACTGGTTGCTCGATGCGTGTTGATGTCAGCCGGCTGAAGAGGTGCCCAAATTGGTGTCGTCACTACCTTTGTACTTTCTCTTGATCATCGCTTTGATGCGATCGATAAGATGCCTGGCCTGGTGTGGCAGAGCGAGCATGGCGGGTGTCGCCACCAGGGTCAGCAGGGTAGAAAACGTCAGACCGGAAACAATGGCTTGAGACAAAGGTACCCAGAAAGAGGACAACATACCGCCGTAGACAACCGTACGGTTGACCAGATCAATGCTGAGGTTGCTGGCCAGCGGTAACAACCCAAAAACGGTTGTGATGGTGGTCAGCATCACCGGACGCAGACGTTGAGCGCCCGTGCGGACAATCAGTTGGGAGTAGTCGAGCCCGGGGTGTTCTTTGCGCAGATGGTTGTAGGTATCAATAAGGACAATATTGTTATTGACCACGATACCGGCCAGGGCAACAACACCGACACCGGTGAGAATGGCGCTGAAGGGGCTGCCGGTTATCAACAGGCCAAGCAATACGCCAGCGGTAGACAACACGACCGCAAACAGAATCAGGAATGCCTGATAGAAGCTGTTGAACTGCGTGACCAGAAGAACGAACATCAGTAACAGCGATAACATGAAGGCAACGCCTACAAATGCCATTGATTCGGCCTGTTCTTCGTTGGCGCCACGAAACTCAATTTTCAGGTCAGGATGCCAGGTCTGAGTATCCAGCCAGGCCTGAAGCTCTTTCACCTTATCATCCGCAAGTACACCGGGTGCAACGTTTGCTCGAATCTGCTCGACGGGGACGCCATTGATGCGCTGAATGGTATCGACGTTAGGCGTTGCCTGCTTTGTGACGAAGTTGGACACGGGCACAAGACCGCTGGGTGTCGCAATTTTCAGTTCGTTTAACGCGTTAATGCCGCGTGCATCGCTAGGGTAGCGCACGCGGATATCTACGGCGTCGTCTGATCTGTCAGGGCGATATTCACCAACCTTCACGCCATTGGTTATCAGCTGCACGGCTATCCCGACCTGACTGACGTCAGCACCAAAAATTGCAGCTTGAGCGCGATCAACGGTGAGTTTCCATTCGACGCCCGGTAGTGACCTGGAATCGTCGATATCGCGAATCCCAGTCATGGAATTTTCCATGTAATCGACAATTTTTGTGACGGCAGGTTCTAACAGATCTTTGTTGTGGGAGGAAAATTCCAGCAACAGGGGTTTACCAACAGGTGGTCCCTGTTCCATTTTTTCGATTTCGACGCTGATGCCTGCATAATCTTTTGTGCGTTCGCGGATAATTTCGAAAATTTCCGTGCCGGTGACATCTCGCTGATTCTCATCCAGCAGTTCCAGGAACATTCTACCAATGCGGTCCATGCCGCCATCGCGGCCAGGCTGGCCGGTTAACATGGTTGTCGAATTGAGGCTCTGGATGCCTTCAACTTCGAGAATTTCAGCTTCGACTTCTCTGAGCAGTTCGTTGGTCTCATCGACGCTCAGGTTGCCCCTTGCCCGCACTGAAACGTTGGCATATTTCGGTTCTGAGTCAGAGAAGAAGGTAAACCCGCGACCGTATTCACCGTATGCCCAGAACGTTGTAAACAGGACGCCGATGGTGATCGCCATGGTGACAAGAGCGTACCTTGAAGCATAGCCAAGCACCCGTGCATACATGCCAGTGAGCGAGCGCAATGTTCTGGGATCACCTTCCTCAAGCTGTTTCAGGGTTTCCATGGATTTCTCATCACGGCTACCGGCTTTGCCGAACAAAGAGCCCAACACCGGACCAAAAACCAGCGCATATAGCAGCGACCCGCTCAGGACCGTGAACACGGTAACTGGCAGGTAGCGCATGAACTTGCCTGAAACACCGGGCCAGAACATCAAAGGTAAAAACGCTGCCAGCGTGGTGGCGATGGATGCGGTGACCGGCCAGAACATGCGTTTGGCTGCCAGCGCGTAGGCGCCGCGACGATCGTAGCCTTCGGTCATTTTACGGTCAGCGTACTCGGTGACAACGATGGCTCCGTCAATCAGCATGCCCAGACCTAACAACATGCCAAACATGACCATGAAGTTGAAGGTATAACCTAACTGATAGATGAAGATCAGAGAGAATAGGAATGACACGGGAATACCCAGGCCCACGATGAGACCACTGCGGAATCCCATCGCGGCAACGATGATGATCATGACCAGGCCCAGGGCGGTGAAGATGTTGCCCTGCAGTTCTGTGACCTGACCCTGGGCAAACGGTGCCTGATCGGTGGTGTAAAAAATATCCACTCTGCCAGGCAGGTTCTGTTTGAAGTCTTCAACGACAACTTTGGCTGCTGCAATGGTGCTCAGAATATTGGCATCGGCGCGTTTGACCACCTGCAGAGAGATGGTGGGTTTGCCGTTAACCCGGGCGTAGTTTGTGCGATCTTTGAATGTTCTGCGAACTGTTGCCACGTCACTCAAAGTGACGACGGTGTCGCCATCTGTGCGCACCGGCAGATCAAAAATGTCTGAGGCTTCTTCGATAATGCTGGGCACTTTGACAGAAAAACGGCCCTCGCCTGTATCCAGGCTGCCGGCTGGTATCAGACGATTGTTGCGCACTATGGTGTTGATCAACTCCTCAGAGGATATTGAATACGCCTCAAGCTGATTGGGGTCAATGATCGCTTCCAGCAGTTCTTCCCGGTTACCGAACATGTCGGCGGATAGGACGTCTGGCAGGGCTTCGATTTCTTCACGCAGATCTATGGCAACGTTGTACAACATGCGTTCGGGTACATCCCCGACGATATTGATCTGCAGGATGGGAAAGTCGTCGACGCTGGCCTCGGTAACAATGGGCTCTTCTGCTGTGCTCGGCATTTCCGCTTTGGCACGATCAACGGCCTCACGCGTATCCATCAATGCTTTGTCGAGGTTGTGGTCTGCGTCGAATTCAACCATCAGCGTACCAGCACCTTCGGAAGCAAACGCTGTCATTTCTTCGACGCCTTCGACGTCGCGCATCTCAATTTCCAACGGCATGACCAGCAGGCGTTCAGCATCTTCTGGCGAGATACCTTCATGTACCACGGTGATGACAAAAAACGGGACGTCGATATCGGGGTCGTTAGCGACTGGGATAACGGCTCTGGAAATCAAGCCGGCAATGATCACCATGGTCATGACGAGCATGGTTGTGCGTGATCGGGCGATGGCAGCGTCAATCAACGAAAACATTGTCGATCCTCGGTTTAAATCGGTTGGGCGTTAGCAGAGGACAGTGTGGTGCGCGGCGAGACTAATTTGGCCTCTGCGGGTTCGGGCAGTGTCTCTGCTTTGAGCGAGCCATTGTTTTGAAATACCGGGTCAACGCGTTCACCAGCAGTGACCAGTTCCTGACCGACAGTAATAACACCGGCGCGGTTAGGCAGGCCGTGGACCCAGATGCCATCGCTGGCATCAGCCAGAATGTCAATATGGTGGAACTCAACAACATTGTTTTCGTTAACGGTTCGAATGCCGATTTCGCCAGCGTCATCCAGGCTGATCAGCGCCGGGCTGATTTTCTGTGCAAGAACCGTTTCCACCGGGATGTGAATTTCAGTGGTGATTCCAGAGCGAAGTGACCGGTCCGGGTTGGCAAGTTCGATTTCAACGGCATAGGTCCGGGTTGTTGGGTCTGTGAGCTGGCCGATAAATGTAACCGGTCCGGTGACTGAGGCGCCGTTGCGTAAATAGCCAGTCGCCAACTGGCCAATACTCAGGTTTATCACGTCCCGTTCTGATACCCGGCCCACCAGTAACATCGGATCCATGTCAACAACAGTGGCGCAGTTGGCGCCGGGGCTGACGTAATCGCCAATTTCCTGGTGCACATCTTCAACGATGCCGCCGAAAGGTGCACGCACGGCTATCTTCTGTAAATCAAGGGTGCGGCGGCTGATGTTGGCTTCAGCTGCGGCCAGGCGGGCTTTAGCGCCTGCGATAGCTGTATCTGAGTTATAGCCTTTTTCCTTCAGGCTCAGTGCGCCACTGTATTCAATTTGTGCCTGGGCAAGTGCCGCCTGGGCTTCAGACAGAGAGGCCTGCCGATCTTCCACCGACAGCTGGCACAGGAGGTCGCCTTTAGCGACCAGGCTGCCCCGATCTACAGGGCGGGTAACAATGGTGCCCGCAAGTTCAACTTTTACATCAACGGTGCGTTTGTTTTCGGTCTTGCCACGAACTTTTATCAGTCGTTGTTGGGGTGTCGCCTGCAGAACAGAGACTCTGACCTTGGTGGGCGCTGCTTCTTCTTCAACACGACTCTGCTCGCGATTCTGCTCTGCCAGCGAGGCCGGATTGGGTGTGTCTTTGCTACCCAGAACGCCACTGGCGAGCCAGGCTGCAAGCAGTAGGGCGATAATTGTGGCGGTGATGTATGTTGTGCGCATTGCGCGGGCCTCTTGGTGGTGCAATTGGCGTGATTGTCAGAAGCCAGCCGTTGGCTATCTGTCGATATCTATGCCGTTAAATGCTACCAAAGGTAACACATTGCAAGTTGTCGGACAAAATGCTTTTTTTACTCTTTACAAGCAGAGTATCTCGCAGTTGATATCAAGTTTAGGTGAAGGTGAGATGAAATTGATGTGAGGGCGATCAAATTGTTTTTAGAGTCGGTTAGTGGCTATCCACTAACCTGTTTGATGCGCAAAAGCGCTCTGGAGAGCCAGAACCTGCGCTTCGCTGCAGGTTCTGGTTAAAAGGATGGCGAATCAGGCTGCCGCGCTGGGTCTTGCTGCCATGCGATCGTACCAGGCTTTGATATGGCTGAGATTCTGGTCAAAAGGCTGCCCCACAGCATTACCGAATGTCAGCATGCAGTACAGCAGCACGTCTGCCAGGGAAACCTTTTCGCCGCCAATAAAGCTGCGGCCATCTGTCATCAAGCCGTCCAGCCAGGCGGTTTTTTCGCGGGCAATCTGCTTCAGGCTATCTGCTGCAGCGGGAATGGTGATCATTCTTTCCTGAAAAATAGGCATGCCTTCTGAGTAGCGGAAGCCGTTTGCCAGGGGTTCACAGATATTCAGATCTACTCGGCGAGTCCACATGCGTGTTGCTGCGCGCTCCTCGGCGGTTTCGCCCATCAGAGAGGGTCCATCTGACACTTCATCGAGGTATTCACAGATCGCAGTGATTTCTGCAATCAGGGTGCCGTCATCAAGTTGCAGGCAGGGGAGTTGTCCCGCAGGGTTGATTTTCAGGAATTCAGGTTGTCGATTTGCACCTGCCATCAGATCGATATCTTCGAGTTCAAGTTCAGCCCCAACCTCGGCTGCGTACATACGCACAACGTGTGGGTTTGGCCCCATGGAGTTATAAAGTTTCATTGTTTCCCCTGTCTTTTTTAGTTTGTTACGGTTTGGTGTTACCACTGACCGATGTTTTCCAGACTTTTCCACGGTTCAGCTGGCGCCAGGGCTTCACCCTTTTGCAGCAACTCAACCGAAACGCCGTCTGGCGAGCGTACAAATGCCATGTGCCCATCGCGCGGTGGCCGATTGATGATGACACCATGATCTGCCAGACGTTGGCAGGTGGCGTAAATATCATCAACTGCGTAGGCAAGGTGGCCAAAGTTACGACCGCCGGATAATGTTTCCGGATCCCAGTTGTAGGTTAATTCTACCTGGGCTGAGCTGTCGCCGGGTGCCGCCAGAAAGACCAGGGTAAAACGGCCCTGCTCACTGTCGTAGCGGCGCAGTTCTTCCAGGCCCAGGGCATTGCAGTAAAAATTCAGCGAGGCGTCAATGTCGGTAACGCGCACCATTGTGTGGAGATACTTCATAGCGGAGTCCGAGTCATATCGTAAGGTCAATTTTAGCGGTCAGTTTAGCCTTGTCTGGCGTGCTTGGACAAATAAGCCCGGGAGAAAAGTCAGAGAGAATGTTACGCGCAAAAAAAACCCTGCATTTGCAGGGTTCGCGATAGATCATCACAAGAGACTCGTTAAATGAGTCCGGGTCTTTGGAGAGAAACAATCAGTAACGGTTTATAAAACAGATACGGCCAGAATGCTGACCACCAGTGTGCACAGCGCAGCAAGAATAAGCGCGCTTTCGCTGCCGCTCAGTATCTCGTCACGCTCAGAGATTGCGATGGCTTGTGTAGTTAACTGATTCTGATTGTAGTCTTGCGGTGCCATTACTGCCGTATCCGTATTTCCGATAGGTTGTAAGATACGTCTTAATGCTGAAGGGCGATTGCAGTATTAATGGAAGTAAAATGGAAAAAATCCACGAGTCAGAGACACTTCCATGTGCTGGGTCGCATCGTCACAATAGCTTCAGCTTTTCTGTAACGCGCTTTGGGCGTACAAGATAGTCATTTGGCTAAGGTGTGGGTGTGATGTTCAGGTATTTGAACTGTTTAGGTGGTGTTTTCCTGATTGGCCTGCTCGGTCTTTCGGGCTGTGTTGTCAACCCGGTGACCGGACAGCGTGAAATAGCACTTGTGAGTGCTCAGCAGGAAGTCTCTATTGGCCAGGAGCAATATGTTCCGTCTCAGCAGATGCAGGGCGGCGCTTATCGAACGGACCCAGGCTTATCTGCATACGTCAATGGTGTGGGGCAGAAACTCGCTATGGCCAGCGGTGTTGATCTGCCTTATGAGTTTGTGGTTCTGAATAATTCGGTACCCAACGCCTGGGCGTTGCCAGGTGGCAAAATTGCAGTGAATCGCGGCCTGTTAACAGAGCTGCGTAATGAAGCCGAATTAGCTGCAGTGTTAGGGCATGAAGTGGCACATGCCGCGGCTCGTCATGGTGCCAAACGTGTAGAGCGAAGCATGCTTTCTCAAGGCGTTATGCTGGCAGCAGTGATTGGCGCAAGCGGCTCTGAATATTCCCAGGAAGTTTTAGGTAGCGCCGCGATCGCGACGCAGCTGTTTAATCAGAAATATTCCCGTGATGCTGAGCGTGAGGCCGACTTTTATGGCACTCAGTTTATGGCCAAGGCGGGTTATGACCCCTATGGGGCTGTGACCCTGCAGGAGACATTTGTGCGATTGGCCGGGGCAGGTGAGCCTGATTGGGTGAAGGGATTGTTCGCTTCCCATCCGGCGTCCCAGGAGCGCTTGACCAATAATCGCGGGTTATTGAAGCGTCTGCGTTCGGAAGGGTTCACCGGTGGTATTTTGGGCCAGCCGGAGTACGCGCGTGCGATGCAGACGCTGGTGAGTGCCAAACCAGCCTACCAGGCCTATGACGAAGCCAGAGAGCTCTATGCGGAGGGTCGCTATGACGCGGCGCTGGCGAAGGTGAATCAATCTCTATCGTTACTGGATAACGAAGCGCTGTTCCATGGTTTACGCGGAAGTATTCGCTATCGACAAAATCGGTATGAGGATGCGATTACCAATTTTGATCGAGCGCTAGCGCGGGACGACAGCTATTTTCTGTATTACCTCAGTCGCGGTCTGTCTTACGCGGAGTTGGGGCAGCGGGATACTGCACGGCGCGATCTGTCTGCATCGGTTCGTTTGTTACCTACAGCACCTGCTTACCAGGCATTGGGAAAACTGGCTGAAGCAGATGGCGATGTTGAGCGCGCCAAACAATATTATGCCCAGGCGGGGCAGAGTAATGGACAGGAAGGCCAGGCGGCACGCGCGAGTCTGGTAAGACTGGAGCTTCCTTCTCAGCCTGCGAAATATATAGCGGCGCGAGTCAGCCGAGATGATCGTGGTCGGCTGGTGTTACAGGTCAGCAACGGGGCCAGTCTGGCGTTGGCGGATATCGTCATTCAGGTTGAATTGATGACCGCGGAAGGGGTGCGTAGTACGACCAGTCGGTTGGAAAAACTGGGTCCGGGAGAAACGCGTTTATCGCTGCTCAATGTAGACCCTGAGAAGATCCAGAGTGTGAATGCGTATCCGGTATCAGCGCGATTAAGCGACTAGTGGCTCAGGATGTAATCCCAGGTTGTTTACGTTGCGCTGCCCTGCAGCCCATTGTCTGGCCGCTGCTCTGACAGGATGCCCAGATGTTGCCGCTGCTGTCTTTGTGAAATGGAATATCCATTTTTTCCAGATAATTCTGCAGCTGGTCAAAGCGAACATCAAAATAGGCAGCCAGGTCTTCATTACCCAGGACGGTGAACTGGCTCTGTCTGCGCACTCTTCGGCGGTGTAAAGGTCTAAGTAGCTTCATACTGTAAATTTATACAGTAGTTTTGTTTTGCTGCCAAGCGATTTTTCTAAACCCGCTTATAAAATCAACCTAGGCCTATCGCTGGATCCATCCGCCGGAGAAAGGTATGGCCTGACCAACAAAAAAATCACTGTCATTTGATGCCAGAAACAAAGCAAACCGTGCGTCTTCCTCGGCAGTGGCGAGCCTGCCCAGTGGCACCTGTCGTTTCAGGGAGGCCTGAAATTTGGGTTGTTCGCGTAACTGTGAAGGGTAATAAACCGGATTCTCGACGTAGTTCTGCGCAATCAGGTTCACCTGAATATTGTGTGGCGCGACTTCAACCCCCAGCGATTGCACATAACCCACCTGGGCCGCTCTCGCCGCAGAATAAGCGCTGACGGTTTTCATCCCTCTTAATGCAGTTGCGCTGCCGTACACCACTATTTTGCCTGCATTACGGGCAATCATCTGTGGTAGAACCGCTCGACTCAGCCGATGTAAGGGGTGAACCATTTTGTCAAAGGTGTCATGCCAGGCTTCATCTTCCAGATCTGTTGCGTGGATACCTGAATAGTTGGCTGAGGCCAGATTAGCAATGAGAATATCGATATCACCATTGTCGTAGATGAGTTGCTCACATGCGCCTGCCACGGTTAGATCATCGTTACTGGCGATGACCTCAGCGCCTGCCTGGGTGAATACCTCTACTGTGGCCGGGCCCATGTAATCATTGGCCTGGGTGACGAGGACGCGCTTACCGCTCAGATTCTGACTCATGTTGCTTATCCTTTTATCTTTCCAGCAGAAGGTTATTCAAAACAGAGAATACGCCACCTGCCAATATGCGCAAAGTGACCTAATCCCGGGCTCTGTCAGGTCTCTGACTTTGTCAGGAGACATTTTTTACCAAGTCTAATTGTATGATCTGGTAGTTTTAGCACCGCGACAGCAAATCAATACTTTGCGGTAAAAGCAGGAGAGTTTATGAACAGCCATGAAGTGGACTATGAGATTTTTGGTAACGATATGCAGATTGTTGAGGTCGAGCTCGATCCCGGAGAAACCGTTATTGCTGAGGCAGGTGCCATGAACTACATGGAAGACGGCATTAACTTTGAAACCAAGATGGGCGATGGGTCGACGCCATCCGGTGGGATGCTGGGTTCCATATTAAACGCAGGTAAGCGCATGCTGACTGGCGAATCGATTTTCATGACTCATTTTTCCAACGCCGCCAGCGGTAAGAAAAGAGTTGCATTTGCTGCGCCTTACCCCGGCAAAATCATTCCCATAGATCTTGCCCTTGCGGGCGGTGAGCTGCTTTGTCAGAAAGACGCATTTTTATGCGCAGCATTTGGTACTAACCTCGACATTGCCTTTAATCGACGCCTTGGCGCCGGTTTTTTTGGCGGCGAGGGTTTCATCCTGCAACGCTTATCTGGTGACGGTAAAGCTTTTGTGCATATTGGTGGCACGGTCATCAAGCGCGAGTTGAACAATGAGGTGTTGCGCGTAGATACCGGCTGTATTGCGGCGTTTACCCCGGGCATTGATTACGATATTGAGCGGGCCGGTGGATTAAAGTCGATGGTGTTTGGTGGTGAAGGATTGTTTCTCGCCACCCTGCGTGGCACCGGTACCGTTTATCTCCAGTCGCTGCCCTTTTCGCGTCTGGCAGAGCGCGTGATGCGTGCTGCACGACCTGGGGGGTCTAAAGGTGAAGGATCGGCGCTTGGTCCATTGGGAGATATGTTTGGCGATAAATAACCGTTGGGCGCGATCTAATCACCGGACGCAATCCGGTATGTGGAGGTAAGGTGAATTATTTCCCGGTCGCAAAGATCAGTCAGGTGCCTGAGGGTGAGGCTGTGCTTATCAGTGTGAACGGTAAAGCTGTGTTGCTGTGTCAGGTAGATGGCCAGTTTTTTGCGGTCAGCGCCATCTGCCCGCACGCTGGGCAGAAGTTATACGGTGGGCGTTTACAGGGGTTTGAAGTGGTTTGTCCGCTGCATCGGGCGCGCTTTGATGTGCGTGATGGCACTTGTACGGCAGCACCGGCAACAGAGTCTTTAGAGCGCTATCCGGTAATGCTTGAAGCAGGCAAGGTGTCAATCGGCATGTCCTAGTGGCAAGGCTTTACGTATACTAGCGGGCTTTTCCGGAATAAGACGATTGCCATGACTGACAGTGGAGTAACTTATCAGAGAGTCCAGCGCGGCACGCTGCAGGTAGCTGCAGATCTTGATGCGCTGATCAAAAACGAAATTCTGCCTGGTACCGACGTTGACCTTGATGTTTTCTGGGCTGGCTTTGAAAGCTGCTTAAATGAACTTGGTCCGGTCAACAAGGCTTTGCTGGCCAAACGCGATCAGCTGCAGGCGCAAATTGATGAATATCATCTGGCACGTAAAGGCCAGGCGCTGGATGCGCAGGCGTACAAAGCGTTTCTTGCAGAGATTGGTTATCTGTTACCCAGTCCTGCGGATTTCAAAATCACCACACAGAATGTCGATGAGGAAATAGCGGGCACAGCGGGTCCACAACTGGTGGTGCCGGTGATGAACGCACGGTTTGCATTGAACGCGGCAAATGCACGCTGGGGCAGTTTGTACGATGCGTACTATGGCACCGATGTCATTCCCGAGACCCCTGGGCGG